ACATATCCCTTGGAGAATTATAAATGGAAAGATAGCTATTGTGTCATGCGGATGTCGTTCTCGACCGGCCAATACTAGCTGCATAAAAATTTTAGTTTAAAGGCAGCTAAAGCATATAATCCAAATATCCAAGGAGCTTTGAGCCGGCAGCCAAAAGAGATAGTCTATGCTCGTTTCACACGGCTTCCACTGGACTTGACCTTTCGTGCTTCAGGTCGGTTGATGTGGTGAGAGGGAATCCACTCAGTATCGTAAGTCTTGGTTGAAGGAGTTCCTTCGGTAGCAACTGGGTCTGCAGCGTCGACAGAAGACGAAACACCGGCTGACTTTCGGGGACGATCGGATCCCTTTCCGCCCTTACGCTTCTGGGGGAAGTAGGGTGCAATCCAGAGAGTGTAGAAGAAGTACATTGACCCTGCTGCGCAGGCTAGGAGGAAGAGATAGAGGAAAAGACTGTCACACGATTATATATGTTAGTAATTATAACGAGAATGATACAGGACCATTGCCCCGGAAGACTGGAGGTAGTAGAAGCTTACACTTGAGGATCGAAGATGCTGGTGTCTTGCTCTACAACGCTAACAGTGCCGTTGTAAGCAGTGATTGGATGCATGATTCCTTTGCTATCGCTAATCACAGCTGCAAGGTTCAATGTCAAATCTTGAGGGTGCATATCGTTGGTGAAGATGTAAGGAAGAGAAATCTGATCTCCCGCCGGGATGTCCATGCCATATGGAGTCGCAGTAAGGTTTCGAACATTAACTGGAAGCTTTCCTGGAGCTTCAATGGTCCAAAGGGATCCTCCGATAACGCTGACCGTTACGGTCTCAGGGTCTGGGTTGGTAAAATGGAGAAGCGCTTCGGTAGGCTGACCGTTGACAAGCTTAACACCGAACACCTCAGCATTAGGGAACGTAGTTGATACTGTTACTCCGAGCTTGGGGATATCAGCTGGAGCCTCTGTCTTTTCTTCAGTCCCGGCCTGTCAGTTATCGTTAGCTATTGGTCACACTTCTAGATTGCTTTTGGGGTTTAGATATCGTACAGATCCCTGGCCATTGACGAAGACGGATTGTGCTGCGAGGAGCGCAAAGGAAAGCAGAGAGAATTTGCCCATATTGACGGTAGCTGCGCCAGGAAAACGGCCACAACAGAGAGAAGGGAACCGGCAAGAAGAAACGGGAGGAAGAGGACGAGATGATGAACAGTCGAGTTTCGGTGCGATGTTTGGTCTTGTGGCTTTTTACGCATTTTCTCCACGTATACAGAATCGCGATCGTTGAGTCAGCAAGCGCTTATCCGCGCGGCTTCCTTAGCGCGCTAATCTCTTTTTTGAAACGGAAAAAGCAAGCGCTTACAGAAGAGCGAGCGAGCATCGTTCTTTATACCACCACCTGCTGGAGCTCCTGTTTCTTTATCACGCTACCTCTGGAGGAGCAGATATATTGCCTGTGTTCATTTCCCTGGCCCTCTTGACTTTCCGTTTTTTTTTTTTGGTAAGTCGCCGAAGATGTCTCCTGTATCTGCGCAAGCTCAGGAGTTCTTCAACCGGTACGAGCAATTAAAGGCCATTGAACAGACCAAAAATCTTCTGATAGAGGTTAGTATTCGTTTTTTTGAATCTAAACCCAAGCAATTGTTTAATTCGTCACGTCAATTTCCGAATATATTACATTATATATTCTAATCAGGCCATCTTGCAGGATCTACTTAGTAGAATTACAGAGCTTGAAGATGCGTATCAGCGAGAGCGACTAGACCATGACAGAGAGACCAGATTTAATCGTGAAGTGCAGATGCACGAAATGGAGCTTATGGAACAGTTGACGAGGTTTAAAACCGCCATGGTATGCCTCTCCCAACGAGATTATCCATCGGAAGCTAATACATCCTGCTCAATAGGACCAAGAACCATTCGTAATCGCACTTCTAGATGGTGATGGTATGATATTTCGAGACTATTTAGTTCAGCAAGGAGAAAAGGGAGGGAAAGACGCCGCGAATCAGCTCTGGTTAGCTATCCGTGACTACACATCCGAGACCTTCAACAACATACATTCACCCAAGATCATTGCGAGAATATATGCGAATGTCCGAGGATTAGGGGAAACCCTCTTTAAAGCCGGGATTATTGATAAACCTTCTCTCTTTGAGGACTTTGTTCGTGGATTTAATGGAGGTAGACTGCTTTTCGACTTTGTCGACGTTGGGAGCGGTAAAGATAGAGCAGATGATAAAATTGCGGGTGAGTTGTCCAGCAACTTACATTACTGTCATGGCCTTCCTTCTCAAAACATCAAGCTAATAAGCTCCCTTCCCAACGTTAGAAATTCTAAAACTGAATTTATTCAATTGCCATTGTCAGCAAATATTTTTGGGCTGCTCCCACGATAACGGCTACGCACGCCTCCTTGAAGATAATTTAGCCGATATAGAACTCACAAGAAGAATAACTCTCTTGGAGGGATTTCCCTTTGAGAGAGAGCTCGCCTCGCTTATAGGCTCGTATAGAGTGACGAAGTTTGAGGCCTTATTCCGGGAATCAAAGTTAACCCCCTTACCAAGTAATACTTGGGAAAGCTCTGTTGCCACAACAAACTCATCCTCACCATCAAATACTGGGCTTTCCAATCCTCGAATGGTTAGCAGAACTCCTTCAAATTCTAATGGAACAGCGACTACCACATCCGCCGCCTCCGCTACTTCGGGTAGCAGCAGTACTACACCAGCAACGACATGGGCATCTACCATCGCTGCCAGTGCAAATACAACTTTCAAAGATTTAACCCCATCCAAACCAAGTACCCCGTCTCCACCAGTTATTGAGCGGAACAAGTATGGCCAACGAGTTGATCGGATTGATTTTAAAGCCGCGCCCAAGGACGAATTAAATCGCGTGAAAAAGTTGAAGCTATGCAACTTATATTTTCTACTAGGAGACTGTCCTAATCCGAATTGCTATCATACTCATGACTATAAGCTCGGAAAACAAGAACGAATGGTATTGCAGGTAGTTGCCAGAATGACACCTTGCCATTTCGGTACCGAATGTGACGATGCTACTTGTATCTACGGTCACCGCTGTCCTCTCAGTGAAGCTGGGAAGAAAGATTGCTATTGGGGGTCAAATTGTCGATTTGATGCTGACGCCCATGGCGTTGATACTAATATTGTTAAGCTTACCAAAGTTTGAATGGGCCCTGATATTCTCCTATTCTGCATGTTAAAACTTCACAAATGCCTTGTAGCAGGTCATTCGGTTCTGACCAATTTGATTACTCGGGAATTCCATTCGTTTCTTGTGTACCTTTTATGGATGGGGCTGTTTGAATTTGGTCGCTTTTACTCTACATGCTGCTTTACGCTTGCATAGTTACATTAGGTCTTTTAATTAGTTATGTTAGCTAAGTGATTACAGAATTAATTGACATTTGGGATTGTTTAAAAAAATAAAGAAAAATGCATGCTCCTATTTCTAGAGGCTAGTCTTGAAAAGATGTGCAGCAGATGAAACCGAATGCCGGGGCTTGTTTACACAAACGCAAAGGGGGTATATTGATAACAAAGGCGAAAACAGTTAAAGTCACTAAATAAAGAATGGCCAATGCAGGAGAATCATGTAATGGTAGTTTGGAACATCTGAAAACGTCTTTCCCACCCTAAGACATCAGAGTTGCTCTCCTTGTCCCCAGTCTTGACGCCGTACTCCTTAATGCAGCAGGTGAAGGGCTTTGCAGAGACAGTACCTGCCTTGTTGGAGTAGAAGGCATCTATATCGGCATTTTTGCGTTCCTCTAGGTCACCCCAGAGAAGAAATAGCCTCTCTCGTAGTTGAGCTAGCGTTTCCGGGTTATCACGTAGACTATTCACACCAATTAGCGATAGGGATAGTAAGGAGCTGAACAAGATATCAGTAACAGCGTACTTTACAGCGTCAATGTGAAGTAGAAACTCTGCCTCAGAGCCGTATACAAGGAGTGGCATGCGTTCTCGTGTTTTTCCTGGTGGGAGGTGTGGGACGTTTGGACCTCCGTCTTCAACGAGGAGACAGAACCGCCATTCCCACCACCTACGGGCGCCAGGATCGCTGTCATCGGAGGCATCACCTCCATCATTGGTGAGGGCGTAATCCACATTATATGAGACGGAAAAATCTTCTATGTTATGTGGGAAAAAATCAACCACGCGGACGGAAGAGCGGTAGCGGACGTTTTGGAAAGGTAACTGAAATTCGACACCATCAGGACCCTTGAATGTATGGGTATCGGGGTCTAGGATGTCTCTGATCAACCGACAGGGTATGGCTGGGTTTGATGCACGTACTGTCCCGGGTTCATTAGCCTGACCGACCAAAATTAGATAACGAGGATCAGACATATACATACTATGCGGGTTAAGCTCGTCCCTTTTAGTCTGAACTAGGCGAGGGAAATCCGGCTGCTCAGGATCTTTCTTTTTCCTTCTCTTTTCCTCTTTTAATCTCTCTCGTTTCTCCTCCAGCTTCTGTTTTTTCCTGCTGCTGGCAAGGTCGGAGGTAGACTTTTCTGATCGATTGCTATCCCCAAAGGCGCTGGGTAGATCTGCACGTAATGTCCGCCAATAGTGTTTCTTTCGCCCAACTAACTGCCTTATATGAACGTCTGTTTCGTTATCGTTAATAATATGCACCTGTATTTTGTCAGGGTATCTCCTATCCGTGTGCAGGACCCCTTCCATCCTGCCAGAAAACTTGTCTGTCTTGATATTGACATTATATAGAGTGACATAGTCATCCACCTTGACATTTTCTCGGGCATATCGCGCATGCGGCTCCCAGAGTGTCACCTGGATGGTCATTGTCCCAAAAGGGCCAGGCCACTGTCTGCCCTTGTTCTTGTTGATGTAGCGATACTCAGAGTCATCATCTCCCGTGCCTCTAGACGGCTGCACATAGTTATAAAGGTTTTTGTTTGAGGTATAATCAGTGACATAAAGTATGAATCTACCGTCACCTTCCATGAAAGTTTTTACAACCTGGCCGGTGATATCAATAAAGGACGAAAAGGCAGCATCCTTGAGTAAACAAAACTTGCGACCTGGGAGTCGAGGACTTGCCGTTTGGCTTGAAGTGTGCTTCGGGGTAAGTTGTTTCTGGGGAGCTGCAGCGACATACCGCTGACCCTGGGGGATATCCTGGGCAGAGCCGTTATTTAGCAACCGCAATGCATACTCGCTCTCTGCTCTATCTGGGCCACGAAACCCAGGCTTGCTCTTAACCGAGCCCCGTTTCTTCCACATAGTCCAGAGGGCGCTGTCAGCATTTGAAGACACGTACATACATACACCCTTGACAAAGCCTACCTATTACAGAATATTAGCACGCTAGAAGAAAATATACATATACATGGAGAAACATGTAGACATCTGAGATCTCAAGACATACTAACCCTGATATTCCGCAGCAAAATGACGTCGCCTTCATCAGGGTCCGGGAGATGTGCCTGGTCATTATGGAAGTATTTCACTTTGAGACCTCGCCATGATTCAGAGCCAAAATCGCAGTCCTTGACCGTAAATGTTGACATATAAGACGAACCCCCTGTTCGAGTCGGGCTAAGAGCGTCCACAACGACTGCGATGATGCTGGCCGAGCCAGACTTCCTTGACTGCGCCGTTGCAACATCATCGAAGCCAGGAGGCAGCCGATGCATCTCTACAGTCCTTTTTTGCTCCTGGATTCCTCGTATTTTGGCTGTTGAGACCGTTTGTAGCTGCCCGTAGCTGCTGGTTACTCAGACTCAACCATGGCCGAGACGCAGGCAAACGACCATTCAGGAGTTTCTCCGGCTCGTCTAAAAACCCAGCCACGCACTCATTTGTGTCTGCCTTTGCATAACCTCTGTCGTCGCCTTATTTTTAAGAGCTGATCAATAAACACCGTTTGGCCGTTGGCAAGTGAAGTCGTTAGTTGCTCAGCGAGTGAAAGAAGCCAAGCCGAAGCCCACCGAAGAACAAAAAAAAAGAAAATAAAAAAAATAAAAAAAAACAACCACCACCACCACCACCACATCTTCTTCTTCCCTCGCATCTTCTTTCTTCCTCTTCCTCTTCACAACGCCAACGTCCTGTGTCGACCCCTTTTTTGCTCTCGTCGCCGTCTTGTCTCGCCAGGCTGTTCGTCTCTCCTACGCTCGTCTCTCTCTAGCGCTTGTGTCCCTCCAGCTGACTCGCGATCCAGGCAAAAAAAGCACAATCTGTGACAGGGACAGCCCCTCACTAATAAACAACCCGCAAGAACCAGCCGTGGAATAGACAAACAGCATCGAACCGACCACCATCATGGCTGAACGCTACATTCCCGAGCATCGTCGTACCCAGTTCAAGGCGAAGGGCACATTTAAGCCGGATGAGCTCCGCCGTCGCCGCGAGGAGCAGCAGGTCGAGATCCGCAAGCAGAAGAGAGAAGAGAACCTCGCCAAACGAAGAGGTATTGGCACTCGCGAGGGCGGAATAGGAGCCAGCGATGGCATGGTTCCAGACAGTGACGATGAAGCTGGTCCTATCGAAACTGAGGTATGCTCGTTCTGTTTCCTTAACTCCCTTGAAGCCGTTCTTTCGGGGCGTTTAAGTCTTATCTACACCCCTGACGCACATACACATACCCTTATTCCCCTTTTCCTCGTGGAGGGCTATATCACTATGTTATGGTTGTTATTATTATTCATATTATTGCAGCTGTCGTCATCATTAGTGTTCATATAATATGAGACTAGAAAATGGACCCTTACTGACATGTAACAGTTGGATGCGGAGCTCCCAGAGATGGTCAAAGGCGTGTTTTCAGACCAGATCGAATTGCAGATTCAGTCCACTACCAAGTTCAGAAAACTACTCTCGAAGGAGAGAAACCCTCCGATTGAACGTGTTATCGAGACCGGTGTCGTAAGCCGTTTCGTCGAGTTCCTACGATCTCCCCACACTTTGGTCCAGTTCGAAGCCGCCTGGGCCCTGACCAACATCGCCTCTGGATCCGCGCAGCAGACCCAAGTCGTTATCGAAGCCGGAGCTGTCCCAATATTCGTTGAGCTCCTCAGCAGCCATGAGCCTGACGTGCGGGAGCAGGCCGTCTGGGCCCTTGGAAACATTGCTGGTGACAGTCCCCAGTGCCGTGACTTCGTACTCGGTGCCGGTGCTCTTCGCCCCCTCCTCACCTTGCTCGGTGACGGCAGGAAGCTGACCATGCTTCGCAACGCTACCTGGACTCTGAGCAATTTCTGCCGAGGAAAGACTCCTCAGCCAGACTGGCCTACCGTATGTCTATTAATTTCAATTTTTATCTATTGTTTATCCTATCCGTATACCCTGTGACTAACTCCTTTGTAGATTGCTCCAGCCCTTCCAATTTTGGCCAAGCTCATCTACATGCTTGATGACGAAGTGCTTATCGATGCTTGTTGGGCTATTTCCTACCTTTCCGATGGCCCGAACGACAAGATCCAGGCCGTTATCGAGGCCGGTATTCCCCGTCGTTTGGTCGAGCTCTTGATGCATGCTTCCACATCTGTCCAGACCCCTGCTCTACGATCAGTGGGCAACATCGTCACTGGCGACGACATCCAAACCCAAGTCATTATCAACTGCGGTGCCCTCACCGCTCTGCTCTCGCTGCTGAGCTCAAATAAGGACGGTATCCGCAAGGAAGCGTGCTGGACTATCTCTAACATCACTGCTGGCAACCCAACACAGATCCAGGCCGTCATTGATGCCAACATCATCCCACCATTAATTCACCTGCTATCCCACGGAGACTTCAAGACCCGCAAGGAGGCCTGCTGGGCGATCTCTAATGCCACTTCCGGCGGTCTTCAGAAGCCAGACCAAATCCGCTACCTGGTTACCCAAGGCTGCATCAAGCCTCTCTGCGATCTTCTCTCTTGTCCTGACAACAAGATCATTCAGGTTGCCCTTGATGGTCTAGAAAACATCCTCAAGGTCGGTGAGATGGACAAGGAGGCCGGCCAGGGTCCCGAGGCCAACATCAACCGATACGCACTCTTCATCGAAGAGGCTGGTGGTATGGAGAAGATCCACGACAGCCAGAACAACGCCAATGAGGAGATCTACATGAAGGCATACAACATTATTGAGAAGTACTTTTCTGATGATGATGAGGCTGGTGCCGATATCGATGAGCTTGCCCCCCAGCAAACTCAAACTGGATTCGCCCTTGGCACCAACCAGCAGCCTACCGGCACTTTCAACTTTGCCAACGGCGACTCAATGGATATGTAAAAGCCGTTTTTTCACTGGTAAAAGAAATTCTTATCCCCCACTTAGCTTTCGACGCAGTCCTGCCATCAGCAGAAATGTTATCTTTCTCCCTTTATTATATTGACTGCCTTCCTGAGCCCACCCTCTGTGCATCCGTTTTCATTATCAACCTATTTCTTTCCTTTCTCTTCAAATTTAACCACCATGTTACCAACCCCCAATTGTCAATTCCTCCTGCCTTTTTTTACCTTTGTAATGAACGTTATATCATGATATACAAGATTCACAGTCATGTAACCCCCTGAATGTTCCTTTCTTTTTGGTATTTCCTTGCATCAACATTTTCCCCTAGCAGGTTTCATTCATACAGGCGTCGTTTTCTTTTCTATTCCTCCCCCCTTTCCTCCTCTTTTCTACCTCATTGTCTGCAGCTTGTCTCCCTCCATTCCCGCCCCCTTCTGTGCCTTTCCATTCATCCGCCACGGTTCACATCCCAAATCCCCCAGTTCTTCAAGTCGAGTCTGCCTCCCGAGTGTATTTACCAAAAACCCTTTTCTAAGGCAAAACGTGGAATTCCCCCTCTATCTACTTATCCCTTGTCTTCACTCTTCTCTACTCCTTTGCCGTGGTTTAGTACATTACTACTTCCAGCCGCTTACCTGCTCCATTACCCCCCTGATCCCAGAGCCCAAACCAAGCCCAACGCAACCATCCATGCAATGTGTCTGCCCAATGCACCTACATACGTCGCAAACATAATGAGGTGGCACATGCTCCTATATTCTCCGTGTTCTATTTATAATAGCCTCGTCTTGAATAGCGCAGGCGGTGCCTCCTATGCATACCCCCTTATATTCGCCCATATATCGCCCTAAGCTAGCTCCTCCTTACCCTGTCTCCCACCAAGGGAAAAAAGTAAAAACAATGCTTTGATCTAGTTCTTTTGGCAGCATGTAGTAGAGATAACTAGTTTGATCCAATTAAGGCTGAAAAGTTCATAAACTAAATTGTCTATCTACAGTTGGACCATGACTGTACTAGGTGGAAGCAATCAGTATTAAAGATACTAATACATACTTCTATCATTGCGTCTACCAAATCCAAGTACATATATAGCTAGCTAATTAATTAAGATGGGTTAGGTCGAAGAGATAGATCTCATCTATAGTGCTTGTAAAATGGCATCACACATCTTCACGACCTTTTCTTCCTCGAGACGACGCCCAACTAGCTGAAGGCTAACAGGCATTCCGTGAATGACACTCGAGTTATCTGTGATACATTAGTAACATGCCAGCTTAGTTGGAAAGTTGGCAAGGAGGAAGTGGAAAGACATACATTCATTCTGTACCAAAGCATCCTCCTTGCTCAGCGGCGTTTCGCCAGGTACAGATACGTCAACCGCCTCATCAACGGTCACATTACAGGGGAATGATATGCAGGTATAGTCCAAAATATTGAATACACCAGTATAAGCAACATGTCTGAATTTAGAATGCTCGACGGCAGCAAACGGCGCCGTTGGGGCTTTTATAGAGTAATTAGCATATGATCCTTAAGGGGCCCAGGTGTTCGTTCATTGAGGGCATACTTAGTATAGCATCGAGTTCTAATGCATTCCATCGATCCAAGTAGTCCTTCTGTAGGATGTTTCGTTCCTGATGGAGTTGCCATAAGTTATATACACCATGGTCAACTGCACGGCCATACCGTTCCATCTCTGGACGGATAGGTTCGTCGGACATTGCAAGTAGTTTTTCAACTGACTTTCCACCATCAGAGAGGAAAAAGCGGTCCTATACTCACGTTAGAAAGGGGGTGAATATTGATCGAAATCAAGAAAGAAAACGGGCATCCATACTAGTATATCAGCAGCTTGAGCATGGCCGATGGGCTCCCAGTCAATAACTTCATGCCCTGCCAGCCTCAACTTCTCTGCTGTTTCTTTCAAAGCTCTCCTGACCGGTGGAGTGGGCCTGACCATGCCATCGTTCCACATAATACCTATTTTTAAGCTCTTCGTGAGCTCGACTTGTCTCCATGGGATAGGAAGACATTTGGGGTCGGTGATCCACGGCTGAGAATTGACAACTGCTTCAGCCCAGAGAGAGATTGCCTGTAGATCCCGAGCCATTGGCCCGTTAACACTGGTAACGGACTCCTGTCCCGCGAGACCAGATTTGGTCTTGAGGTTAGGGAAACGGCCAACGGAAGGCTTGAGAGTGAAGATTCCCGTGAGAGCAGCGGGTATACGCAGGGAACCACCTAGGGTATCGATTATCAGTCTACTTAGATTTCAGGCTTGGTGGTAATAAGGAACTTACCTATATCAGTGCCGACTCCAAGGGGGCTCCCCTGGAACGCTATCAAAGCCGACTCGCCTCCTGAAGAGCCTCCGGAGGAAGTAAGGCGGTTAAAGGGGTTCGTTGTCCGGCCGAAGACATTGTTCACGGTCTCTGCAATCATCATCGCCGTGGGCACGTTTGTCTTGACATAGAGCACCGCACCGGCTGCCTTCAGCAGATCTATCAATACACTGTTATGCGTCGCTGGCTGCCCGACCCAGGCCGTGAAGCCCAATGTAGAGTCTTTGCCGGCGATGTTGAAGTTATCCTTGATAGATATCGGAAGGCCATGCAGAGGACCCACGGGCTTGCCAGTGGCAGCGAGATGGATATCAAGGGCCTGCGCAGTCTTGATGGCTTCAGGAAACAGTGTCTCTGACAGGCAGTTTGTCTGGTCTCATCGGTTAGCCAGGATAGTTGACTGCACAAAAGGGAGGCATAGCTATACAAGCTGGTGGGCAGCCGCAGCCCTCTTGCAGAACGCCCGAGCGACCGACTCTGCCGTCCACGACCCTGAGGCAGTCTTCTCGACGATGACAGCGGCAGGAGAAGAGGTGATCGCGAGCTCTGCCGCGGTGAACCATCCGGAGGTTTCAGGCCAGGATGCGACGTCCAGCTGAGAGTCTGGCGGCATCATGCTGACATCGATCAGCCATTCCGGAGGAATCGAGGCGAGCAGGGCCTGCTGCTTTGCCGCGCTGATAGCCTGCCACTGCGTCTTGGTCATCGTGAGTTCTGTTTCCGCTGTTTTATAACTATATCTATCTAGCTATCGTCTTCTCTGGTATCTCGTCATTGACATTTGACTGAGTAGGTAGTTATAACTACGTCCAGAGACAACCGGAGACCGCCAGCCAGCAGCTATTAACTGCATGAAAAACACCACCAAGCCGCCAGCCGGCTCGTCGGTAAGCGGCTGAGGGGGCATGATAGACGAGCTACCTAGGCAGGCACTGATTATAACTGGCTATCCGGGCTGTAGCTAACGAGCCGACGTCGGCCTCTCGTCCGTTCGATGGGCGCCATTCAGCCGTACGAAGCGCGGCCAGACGACCAGGTCACCAAGACGCCTCCTCGGCGAACAGCCCGGAGCTCGATAACTAGCTAGGGAGTTAACACCTAAGTTACCAAGCCGAGCAGAAAGAAACGGACAGACAGGAAGACATCCAGGGGAGTACGGAGTGCAGGATGTCTCCCGGCCAGTCGAGGGTCGCACTTGGACTGTCGCTACTAGATACACCCGGACGTCGATGTCCCTATAACTACGCATTGATACCTACCTACGGAGTACCTGGGGTAGTTATACCTACGCAAGCGCCGGACAAGCACAGAAAACTCCGACTTGAGATCGAACGCTGCAAGTCGTGGCCAAATCGACTCGACCGAGGCTAGAAAGATAGCCGCGGAATAAGCCCGCGGGCATAAAGTGCTCGTTCAGAAGATGGGAGGCTTTTACTATGGGGTTTGCCGCTGATCAAGGGCCTCTTAGCAGCCGGAGATGGAGATATCAAGTTGGGGGTGGCTACTGAGCTGGCTCGAATTCTCTCCCCTGTGGGGATGGAACAGATTCCGCGCCATGCAAGCCTGTGCATGATGGCCCAAGGATGAGAGAACTGCTGGCCCAATCACTGGCTTTGCGATGATGCTGATATGCGGAAGGCGGGAGTTGGCTCTGGTGTCGATGATGGCCCATGGGGAGAGAAAGATACCTGCGGGCACCAATAGCCACCTCCGCATAAGTAAAAAAGATATTAATATCGAACCGGGCCGCACTCCTTTCCCTGGGTTCGGTCGGTCTCGAGGGGTCATAAATATATACTTAATAGACCGGTGATGGTATCTTAGCTGGCTGGGCTGTTATCTATCTATCTATCGACTGTGCAGAGAGCGGATGGGATGGCTGCCCACACGATATTGATAGCCCTCGTGGCCATCGGTTACCTACTCCTCAAATACTTCAACAAAACCGATGTTTCTAAGGTCAAGAATCTCCCAGAGATACCTGGAGTGCCAATGTTTGGCAACCTCCTCCAGTTGGGAGACTCGCATGCCAAACGAGCGGCCGCCTGGGTGAAGGAGTTTGGACCAGTCTTCCAGGTGCGACTGGGCAACAGGGTAAGTAACACCCGGCTGTTATTATATTAGTTAACTACTGATCTATTAGATTTATATACTGATCAGCTGGGATAGAGAGTTATTTTTGCCAACAGCTTCGAGTCCGTGAAATACCTCTGGATAACACACCAGTCGTCCCTGATTTCACGCCCAAAGTTGCACACCTTCCACTCCGTCGTCTCCAGCTCTCAGGGGTTCACCATTGGAACATCACCATGGGACGAATCATGCAAGAGACGCCGCAAGGCTGCTGCCACCGCACTGAACAGACCCGCAGTGCAGTCCTACATGCCCATCATCGATCTCGAGTCGACCACCAGTATCAAGGAGCTGCTGGCAGACAGCAAAGACGGGACAGTTGATATTGACCCGAACCCATACTTCCAGCGTTTCGCCCTCAACACCAGTTTGACCCTGAACTACGGCATCCGTATCGATGGCAGCATCGACGATAAACTGCTGAAGGAGATCGTGACGGTAGAGCGTGCGGTCAGCAACTTCAGAAGCACTAGCAACAACTGGCAGGACTATATCCCACTCCTCCGACTATGGCCAACCAGCAACACCCAGTCAATCGAGTTTAGGGAGCGTCGAGACAAATACATGAGCAAGCTGCTTGAGATGCTCACGGAGCGTATTGCGAATGGAACAGATAAGCCGTGTATCACGGGAAATATCATCAAGGACCCTGAAGCAAAGCTCAACGAAGGTGAGTCCTTGAGATGCTGCGCTTGATGTTTTGATAACTGGTCACTCCATACTGACTGCTGCTGTTCTCAGCGGAGCGAAAGTCTATCTGCTTGACCATGGTGTCGGCTGGGCTTGACACTGTCCCCGGTAATCTGATTATGGGTATTGCATACCTGGCCTCTGAGCACGGTCAGGAGATCCAGGCTCGCGCTTATGAGGAAATCATGAAGGCCTACCCCAACGGAGACGCCTGGGAGAAATGTCTGGTCGAGGAGAAAGTCCCCTACGTCACAGCACTTGTGAAAGAGGTTCTTCGATTCTTTATTGTGATTCCCATCTGTCTCCCCCGTGTCAGCATCAAGGATATCACCTGGAAGGACTCTGTCATCCCCGCTGGAACCACATTTTTTATGGTAAGACACCAAGCACCCGCCTCCTTCCTCCCTTTTCCACTAATTTAGATATCCTGGGATTCCGAATGGCTAACCGAAACCACCAGAATGCGTATGCCGCCAACTACGACTCCAATCACTTCAAGGAGCCATTCGAATTCCGACCGGAACGCTACCTCGACGTTGCTGATGGGACGGGGACACCCCATTACGCCTATGGCGCGGGAAGTCGCATGTGCGCTGGCTCGCATCTCGCGAACCGGGAGCTTTTCACTGCATTCCTCCGTATAATCTCCGCTTTTACGATCGTACCCGCGAAGGACAGGGCGGATGATCCCGTACTCGACCCCATTGACTGCACCGATAACAAAACCTCTCTGACCCTCGACCCTCGGCCATTCAAAGTCGGCTTCAGAGTCCGTGACCGAGCCCAGTTGGATAAATGGATCAAGGAATCGGACGAGAGAACCAAAGACTTGTAGAGTTAATAAACAGCTATACATATGTTAGCCGGACTATATACAAACCAGTTAGTGCAATAACACACGACGGATATAGCCCCCTTTTAGCTACCCGTCTTGACTGTTTTATGCTTAAAATAATAACTAGTTTAAGCTGCCAAGTCGTCTCCTTCTCTTCGAAGCAAACAACTAAATTCGGCTGTCTCTGTTTCTCTGGCAGCCATCGTACTCTGTCCTCGTACTCTGCCTGGTGCTGTTTCTTCTTTTTTTCTCAGCCGGAGATGCGAGCCAATCCTGGCTGATGCACTCCGTTCGAGCGCATGGTATTACTCTGGACGCCCACGATATGCACTCCGTCCGCTTGGCTTGCGCACGTCAGGAGCAGCTAACCAACTCGGCAGCTAGTTTGCTGCTCAAGGGCTCCAAAGGCGTTCAGGGATTAAAAGGGCTCAAAGGCTCCCTGACCCTGCAAGCGCCTGTTTCTTTCCTGCCGGCGGGCTCGTCGTGATGTTTCTGGAACAGAAAAGGGTGTATCCATATGTATCCATCTTGCGAAGCGCCTGGGATGCTCCCCCCCCTTGACCCGGTCACCAAGGGCAGGATTCACATTCCTCTAAGACAGTCATATAACGCTGGATGACGGTGTCCTACTATACAGAGTGATGAGGATGTAAGCCCGGAGTTGTACGACCTTGATTTGCTGCAACATGGCCGTGGCAAGGCGCCCTCGATGGCATATGTAACTACCTACCTAAGGTAATGCATTGTCCCTCGCTAGCAAACCTCCCCCTTCTGCAGCCCATCCCTGGACTCTCCTCTCTGCGTGCAGCACCGGCCTTGGTCGTGCACCCGACTTGATTGGCACAGTGTTTGTTTCCCATGTTACAGAAGTGATGCTATAGGTGCCGGGATCGAGCGATATCCTGGTCTCCGAGCCGAATGGCAGGTAGTCATATGTACATGCCCATACAGCGGACACCGCGTAACATTATGCAGCTAGGTACTTGATATTCTTATATTCTGGGGTCCCACAGCCGATGGCAGAGGCTGGCTAGAGCCTTTCTTTTATTTTAAGGATGTTTACGTCCTCTTGCTGTGCGCCTGCTGGAAATCCGTCAGCTCCAGCCCGTTTGAACTACACGAAGGTACAGAGGAGTGATACCTGAGTCTGGGCCTGACTTAATCTAATACCCCCCATGATGAGTGAGAAGGCTACGGCCAATGAGGCCGTCATGAGGACCTCGACGGGGGAGCCCGAGCCGTTAGATATCATCCATGATACTGAGGCCGAGAAACGGCTTCTTCGCAAATGTGATCTCCACGTTGTGCCGGTTCTTACTTTCTTATTCTTGCTTGCGTTCCTCGACCGAATCAATATTGGCAATGCTCGACTGCAGGGTCTAGAGAAGGATCTTCACATGAGCGGGCGGGACTACAACATTGCTCTGTTGATATTCTTCGTACCATATATTCTCTGCGAACTTCCCAGCAATTTGATACTGAAGAAAGTGGCACCTTCAACCTGGCTAAGCGGTATAATTGCAGCATGGGGTCAGTATTCAGCATGAGAGCTATTGTCGTTTAAGGATGCCGCTTCACCGATCTGACTAGCTGAATAGGAGTGGTTACTATTTGCCAGGGTGTCACTACAAACCTTGCAGGTTTGGTAGTATGTCGATTCCTCTTGGGAGTGTTCGAGGCTGGATTCTTCCCAGGTATTCATAATCCATATACATGTTTGGGGCTGTACTCAATGCTAACCAAAGCTCCAAGGATGTGTCTATCTCATCTCCATGTACTATAGGAGACATGAGCTCCAGAAACGGGTCAACTTTTTCTTCTCGGCAAGTATCATTGCTGGTGCCTTCAGTGGAGTAAGCTTGCCCTTGGTCTTCGTTTCTAACATGTATCTATTGCATACTAACGGTTGATAGCTACTCGCGTATGGAATTGCCCGTCTAGATGGGACAGCAGGCTATAGCGGGTGGCGCTGGATCTTCATCATCGAAGGACTCGCAACCGTCGTCTTTGCCGTTATGTCAAAGTTCTTCATCGTTGACTGGCCTGAGACGGCCAAATTTTTGAACGACCAAGAGCGGAAGATGCTCCTTGCTCGCTTGGCCCTCGATAACAATGGTGCACAGATGAACCGCCTTGACCGACCAGCCTTGAAACGCTGTCTGTTTGATATCAAGATATATCTTGGGTGAGTGATACCGCATACTCTATGCGAACCACACAGACTTACATTGAGTTAGGATGGTCATGTACTTTGGGGCAGTGACCTCTGGATATGCCACTGCTTTCTTCACTCCTACCATCCTCCACCAATTCGGCTGGCCACCGCTCAAAGCTCAAGTAATGAGTATCCCAATCTTTGTTGTTTCGACCGTCATCACTCTTGCCCTGGCTTGGGTTTCCGACGCTATACGCCACCGCTTTGGTTTCACTATCTTGGGTTGCTCTGTAGCAACCGTCGGCTACGTCATCCTCATCTGCCAGCAACACGTTCCCATCGGGGCTCGCTACTTTGCCGTCTTTGCAATTACCATCGGCACTTTTATCACACAGCCCATCTGCGTGACATGGCTCAGCAACTGCATGGCAGGACACTACAAACGCTCATTTTCTACCTCCTTCCAAGTTGCGTTTGGTAACTTTGGAGGCATACTTGCGAGCAATATCTTTTTGGACTCTGAGAAGCCCCTATATCCGACTGGCTTCGGTACAACTCTAGGAGCATTTTGGCTATGTGGAATAGCCTGTATAGTACTCCTTTTCGTTCTTATTCGGGAGAATCGAATTCGTGATGCGGGGGGCCGAGATTATCGATTTCAGTTACCAGAGGAAGAACTCACTAATCTCGGTGACGACCATCCCTCATTCAGGTTCTCCTACTGAAATATTTTGGATATAGCATAGACAGGAGTGCATGAAAGCGTCAAAAGAGCTAATGATATAAAATGATAAATAGCTAATTTCTTTATATAACAATCCTTCAACGCACTAGAGGCAGGACAAATATAGATATAATTCCCAGGACGATGAATCCCGTTTGATAGAAATCATGGGTCCAAAGACCTGGGCAATCTTACAGTCTGCCTGAAACAACGAAAGCCTGAAAAAATGCATCGCGAACCCGAGTATGGACATTACTATATAACCGCCGATGGCACTGCATTATTTGTGTTCACAACCTATTCCCGCGTAAAACCACAACCCCCAACTCCACCCATAGAACAGAAAGACGAACGAAAAGAAAAAACTCAAGTCATGTTCTTACTCTTCTTCGGAAGAGTTGGTCAGTGACAAATAAGCAGTCCAGGCAATACCGATTGACGACACGAATGGCTACATCTGAGTTAGCAAGTGATAAAGACAACTCAAGGACACCATGATGAAGCAACACGTACGATCTGGAACTGGATAGGGATCAAGCGGAAGTTCATGATTTGGACGGCTGGCCAGAGCACGAAATTGGCTTTCAGGGTCGGCAGGTAGACGTCCTCGAATTTACGAGATAAAGCACGACGGCCACCGCCTTCAGCCACGGTCATGAAGGTAAAGAAACACGCCAGACCTAGTTACCCTTGTTAATGATCTACTTGTCTCAGGCTAGAGCGAAGTGGGGGGGAGAATAGATAGGGGTAAATACCGATTGGAGCAAAGATGAGCTGGTCCATTGCAACGCGCTTTAGTGCTGGAATGGTGGCATGGGACTGCGTCACAGGGAATATGTGGGATAAGAAGCTGAACCACCGGTGCTGGACGGGTGCCATGAAGAAGCCATATGCCATAAAGCGAGTGAGTCTCTCGAAGTCAAATGGTGCAGGTCTTTTCTTGTAGAAATTCAGCTCCCCCACGGCCGGTGGTTTTTCCTTCTCGAGCTCTTGCAAATCAATCGATATGAAGCTGGTTGTATCTCGGTTCCTTGGTAGCTCCTTGCATCTAGCACTTATGGCGGATATCGACTGTGCAACTGTGTCTGCTATTCCACCCAGAACCTATGGTGTTATTTCCCGTCAGCCAGGCTCCAGTACCTTCCCACGCATCTTTGAACTTCTACAAGGAAGCAGGGGGTCAAGGTATCCTTACAGCGTTCGTCACCATCGTTGTCAGAACTATCATGCAAATCATCGTTAGCCTCCCGTCTCGGTCCCAGCCCTATATTAAGTGATCACTCTCGATTGCCGGTACATACCAGGGTTCTGAGCATAGTATGTGTTGAATTTGGCTATCAGCCTCATGGTCACGGCGATCTCGATGAGGAATATAATGGTGTGCAGCAGAGGCTAGATACGCAGAGAATGGTTAGTTTTAAAGCAATGATAGGATAACACTGTCTCCATATCGGTATATAGAGCAGCGGAAGGCGCAAGAATGTTGATCCAACTAAGGGTGGTAAAGTTTCCACTGACCACACGACCGTAGATATATCGACTGTCCAAGGCCCTGAGCAGGCCCCATTTCGACTGGTTCATCATGGCTGCCACGGGCCGTCTCGGGGGTCTCCTCTCGACAGGAACTCCCCTGCTGTCGATGAACGAAGATGCGGGCGGCTGCAGATAGATAGAGCGAGAGCTGGTCGGTCGCGGAGATGTCCCTCGCCTCGCGGTCCGGTTGTAGTATGACGCAAGGCCTCGTTTGCTCCGTTTGGCTTTTTGACGCTCAAGAGAAATTTGAAGTTGCTGGAAAAAAGGGCGGCGGCAGCGCCGAACAGCCAATAAGAGCGGCATATGTGCTTAGTAAGTGAATGACTAAGTTATATACGAGCTGGCTCTTGCTTTCACAAGGAAGCGTGAAGCCGCAGAAGCAGCGAAGGTGATAGTCATAAGGGGGCGATCAGGCAGGGTGGATAAGCTGTTAACGGGGTAGGCAATGTATGTAGCCCGTCATCTATTCTAATTCATGCACCGGATTACCGGACGATCCGCTGTGTATACATACATAATATATTGGCCCCTTAAAGATCGGCCTTTGCGTACGCTACTATGTCTGGTAAATCCCGGATTTCCATAGTTTCATTTGACGCCAGGTCGATGACTTTCACGACATCTAGGTGTAGGAGCCCTGGGGACAGCGGGAGGAATCTTAGTCTTGTAGAATGGCATGTGCCGGGGTGGAGAGGTCTGATGAATAAAAGTCAGCATATGCTATAGATTATATCTAAACAGACGAAGGCCACCTACCCTATCCTGGAGTCAGTGCTGAGGCATATAAGATCAGTTTCATGAGGAGCCACATTTTGCTGCATTGCGTAGACGATGTTTTCATCCACTACAGCTTCTGCAACTTCATCCGCCATCTTTATGGAGGACGTCGAGGATGGTCGGGGAACATGTGCACGCATGTCTGAGCGCCTTCGAAACGGGACAGCAGCAAGCCCGAATTTCCTTGCATTTGTGGATGTGTTCACGATAAAAACGTCCCAGTCAAATGGCTTGCCAACTTCAACGCTGGCAGGACCGAAGAATGATATCTTAACTCCATGATCTGTAGGAGCAAAAGAGGCCACCTGCGGCGTAGACGGTGCTTGTGTTGACAGGTCGCTCCCACGAGACATGATACTTCGTCGCAACATGTTACTAACACCTCCCAGTGACTGGTTTGTAGGCCTGGAGAAATCAACGCTTGTCCTCCAGCGCATCGAGATCTTTGGACGACATTCGTCCGAGACTAGCACAGAAACTTTGAGCGAGATGTCAAGCATAGATGTTACTGGTGCGCCATCCGCAACCTCTGAGGATATAAGTTTGTAGACCAGCGATATATCATCCCGAGCCGGGCAGCTGATAGGGGGTGAGAACCCAATGACTTGAGCCAGGGGTTCGACAGTTCCATTAGCTAGGGATAAGTCAGCTTCCTCCAAGATAACTTCATAGCTGGTAAATGGAGTTGCTTCAAAGTCAAGGCTAGCAGTTGTTGATAGTTTTTTCAGAACGGTGGCTGAGCGAGAATATCTGATCCTAGCACTAGCAGCTGGGATAATGCGAATGGGATGATACGACGTCTGCTGTATGTTGTACATTGACCCTTCAGGCTGCGTGGACGGAACAAGCCGTAATATTCGAGACGCAGGAAGATATGGATCCAAATCCTCCCCAGCAGCGGTCAAAGATTGAAATATGTTGGTAGAAGCAGGCGTCAGCCGAGGCAAATATTGGTCATTGCTGGACGATGTATGTGAGTCCTGGGGGCTAAAGTTTGCAGACGCTGTGAAAACGACGGATGGATGTCGTAGGCGCACTCGAGGACGGTCTAATATTAAGTCAGTTTAAGATGTGCTCCTAGTGGATGAAAAGGAAAGATACTAACATAGGAATGCCTCTGTTTTCCAGATCACATATGCATTGTTTCCATTCCCTCCATCCTCAACGGTTTCATCGACAATGACGAATGGATCATCTTTCTTGTCCACAGTATGGGAATATATTAGGTCTTTTGAGCTTGGCTCCTCTTCATCTGGCTCGCCCGAGCTTCCTTCATCAATAGCGAAGACCTCGAAACGCACACTGAGATTTGATATGCAAGCCTCTAGACTGTCCTTGGGGAAATCTGATAGACAAAGTACCAAGTAGAGTGTAATTTGTTCATCTATTCATTCGGAGTCAGTGATGGGGGTAACAAGAGCCCGAATCCTAGTAATCATAATCCATACCGAAAAACAGTAGCTGTCGTTGTTGAATTTTTGACAGATATGTGCCTGGGTCCCCAGAGCTTTCTTGTATTAGCCCCAGTAGCTCTTCTATATTCAGATTTGAAGCGTGAGGAACGACTGTGTCTAGGGTCGCATCTTGTAGGAACTGGTATTCAGACATCTCAACAAATAGGGTATCATGCAAGGCTCAACAGAATGAGATACAACAGAAATATACGGGCTGGTTTCTCGCACTTCTAGTCACCATCTACTATCAAACCAAAATAATACCAAGATAAAGGAGCTGATCACTTCTCTGCTTTGTTTCAAGAGAAGTTGAAGTTTAGAGTCGAGCTTCACGAAATTCCCAAATAGGCAAACGTCGCAGCTTCAAGGGGCCATGCTTCACGTGACGCGCGCTAAAGATTTCTTCGCGCGCCAAAATTATCAGAAGCTTCATTCTATTTGTTCAATAGAGACGCAACCTGCGAGGCCTGAAGAAGCTCCGTTGTGGCAGGCGGACAGTGGCTGGAGTATTGGGTTGTTTGCGTTGGGTTGCCCTTGTTGCAATACTACGTTCGGCGTCATTGCACGCTTGAACCAGCAGCAAACCGCTCATACCATATACAAGATAACTCCTCCACGGCACGATGAATGGCCCAGAGGGTTTACCGATGCCGCCAGCGCTCTGGCAGGAGGCACGGAATGCAGAGGGCAGGGTTTACTACTACAATGTTCAAACCAAAGCTACTCAATGGACCAAGCCAGTGGAATTAATGACTCCAGTGGAGGTGTGTATTCTTTCCTGTACTGCCATTCTGAACACTTTACTGATAGTTCTCCAGCGCGCTCTGGCAAACCAACCATGGAAGGAATATACGGCTGCGGGAGGGCGAAAGTACTGGTATAACACCGAAACCAAACAAAGCTCTTGGGAAATGCCAGAAGTTTACAAGAATGCTCAAGCTCAAGCTCAAGCTCAGCCTCCTGCTAAGCCAGCCCCCTGCGTACGTTCTCTATATCCTCTACAATGGCATGACAGAAATCTAACATGGTTGTTTTCAGTGCTCCGACCTTTGTTGCTGGTGGTGTAGGCACCTTTCCTACTTACCAAGCTCCAGCCCACGCCCACGATCGTGACGAACACGAGCGTAGTACGACCGACAGACGACACGGATATGGAGGCGGTGGTATTGATATCAATGGCGCAAATGCAATAGCCGCAGCAAATCAACAAGCTGACTCTGGTTTTGCTTCGTTCGAGGAGGCAGAGGCTACTTTCATGAGGCTCCTTCGGCGCAGCAACGTTCAGCCAGACTGGTCTTGGGAGCAAGTTATGCGTGCAGTCATCAAGGACCCTCAATACCGTTCGCTCAAAGACCCCAGAGACCGCAAAGCCGCATTTGACAAATACGTTCTTGAAGTTCGCGCGCAAGAAAAGGACAAGGCGAAAGAGAGACTTTCCAAATTGAAGGCAGATTTCGGTACCATGCTGAAAAGTCATCCTGAAATCAAGCATTATACCCGCTGGAAAACCATTCGACCTATTATTGAGGGCGAGACTATCTTCCGATCCACGGATGATGAGGGCGAACGCAGACAGCTTTTCGAAGAGTATAAATCAGAGCTGAAAAAGGAGTATGCGGAAAAGCAAGCCAATGCCCGTAAATCTGCAAGGGATGACCTAGTTGATATCTTGAAAACTCTGAACTTGGAACCCTATACTCGCTGGTCAGAGGCACAAGAGATAATTCAATCTAATGAAAAAATCCAGGGGGATGAGAAGTTCAAAGCTCTGACCAAATCGGATATCCTGACTGCATTTGAGAATCATATCAAATCTCTTGAACGAGTGTTCAACGACGTCAGACAACAACAAAAGGCTAGTAAGACTAGAAGAGAACGTCAAGCAAGAGATGCTTTTATATCTTTACTACAAGAGCTCAGGTCTCAGGGCAAAATCAAAGCGGGTAGCAAATGGATGAATCTGTACCCTTTGATTGAAGAGGATCCAAGATATACTGCGATGCTTGGACAATCAGGTTCCAGTCCTTTGGATTTATTCTGGGATGTAGTTGAAGAGGAAGAACGTGCTATCCGAGGTCCAAGGAATGATGTCCTGGATGTTCTTGACGTAAGTCTTAAATTATTTGGTCATTTATCTAAATGATTTCACAAGTGGCATTATTAACATTTATGATTCTAGGATAAACGGTTTGAGACAACGTTGAAAACAACGTTTGACGAGTTTAAAACGGTGATGAGAACTGATCGTCGTACCGCAACAATTGATCAAGACACGCTCCAACTCATCTTTGATCGTCTGCAGGAGAAGGTCCTTCGACGTACAGAGGATGAGAAGCACGCAGCCAATCGACAGCAGCGGCGTGCAATTGATCTTCTCCGATCACGCATCAAACATCTTGAACCCGCCGTCCAGGCAAATGATTCCTGGGAAGATGTAAAACCCAGAATTGAAAAGATGGAGGAATACCGAGCTGTAGAGTCGGAAGACGCACGCCGCTCGGCATTCGACAAAGTTGTCCGTCGGCTGAAGGAAAAAGAGGAGGATGCTGAGCGTGATCGTGAGGCACGCGGCCGGGACCGGCCATCACGCCGCGACCACTACGACCGTGGAGACCGAGATGACCGCAATGGACAAAGATGGTCAGGCTCCGGACGTCGTAGCCGTACCCCTGAACCAGATGCGTACGAAGCAGACCGCCGCAAGGCTCAGGCGGACCGGGAACGATCATATCGCAAAGCCAGCGGGTTCTCGTCACCGCCTAGACACCATGACCGTGACCGTGACCGTGACCGTAGAGACCGGGACCGCGATCGTGAGCGGGATCGGGACAGACGAGATCGTGATCGTGATAGAAGCCTCTCGCGGCATCGCCGGGACCGCCGTATCCGAGAAGACGAACGAGATAGATTATACCATAGTCGTGCCGACCCTCGATCTAGTCGTGACGAACTAGATTATGGAGGTGGTGATACTGATACTGCCGCACGCAGCGTGACAAGTGAACGCCGCAGACGCCGGGATAGTGATGCCGAGAGCATTGGTAGCAGGTCCGCAAAGCGATACAGGCGCGAACAGGATCATCTAGCTAGCAAGGGCGGGAGACGGGATAAGGAAAAGGAAGAGAAAGCACCACCTGTGGTGGAAGAGAAGGCAGTTCATTCTGGTAGCGAAGAAGGGGAGATTGAGGAAGACTAGGAGATGCGCACCACATCTATTTCTATACATTCATCAGACCAACATCTTGACCTATATTGCCATGGTTTAGAACTTTAGACTCGGTATATAGGACGTTAGTATTCAAGAGTTGGATGATCAATCATTCAAAGATATGGTTCCTGATTTCAAAAAAGTGTGTGAAGAGGTGGAAGATGTTGAATCAGACCACCGAAATTGTAGCACAGATTTATCATGTCTGTGATAACAGTACAAGTACAAAAGAGAGGAAAGGGACGTTTAAAAAGACTACAAATTGTTTGTTTTATCCTTCTCAGCTTCTTGAACTCTTAGGGCTGCTACTGAGTGTGCGCCTTGCCATCACATAGTAGAGCCTCAATGGACACTGGGAGCCCCATAACCATCACCGGACGCCTCTTTTCCACATTGCATGGCATTTGTGGAAGGGCGTTGCATAGAAATCATGAACAGTCAGTCCTGTCACAAGTATTCAAAGAATCGTGCAGGTTATCCGGCGCATGGAAAATCCTTCGAGTCATCGACGCGTTATCATCGTCATCGTCATCGTCATCGTCATCACCATACGACGTTTCCTCTCCGAAGAACTGGACGGTACGCCATCCTTGGCCGGCATGTGGGCCGGAAATACTGACACCGTTCAAGAGGCGATTCCTGACAACTCTCCAGTAGTTCTCCTGCCAGTGTGGCCATCGACGATTATGACCATCATGGCGATTTTTCTGTGGGACAACCTTTTCAACTCTCTTCTTCCAAGAAGAACTAGAACAATGTTAGATACGAAATAAAATGTGGTTAGCGCGGTCAAAACTTACGAAGTTTCCACTCAACTTCTGCTCTTGATCAAGCTGGGAGTTATGCTTGTTGATACGTGGTCTATAAGTGCTCGGATCACGTCTGAACGTAACATCCAAGTTTTTGAGGAATCTGTTGCATCCGGTGAGGAGAGATTCGGGCTTGTTTGCTTTTGACTTGATGGAGGGAGCTCCTTCGAACAAAATGACACGGTCCGCGAGATAAGTGGCCATGATGAAATCGTGCTCAACGACGAAGGCGGTCTTCTTGGTGTGCATGATGAATCTCTTGATAACACGGGCAGCGACGATACGCTGTTCGGAATCCAGGTACGCACTTGGCTCGTCAATCAAGTAAATATCAGCTGGCATACCAAGAGCCAAGACGATAGCAACACGCTGCAATTCACCACCAGACAAGTTTTGGACTTCCTGGTCAATGAAATCGTCAAGCTTGAGTGGCTTGTATACATCAGTCTGGAACTGTGGGGACAGGAAGGCAGCCTTAATCTTCTTGAAGAAGAGCTGTCGAACTGTGCCTTGGAACTTGGGTGTGATAGTTTGTGGCTTCATGCTGATGTTCATTGGAGGAACGTTCTGGCCACCGTCTGGCTTGAGTGCACCAGCCAACATTCTACAGAAAGTAGTTTTACCAGTTCCGTTTTCTCCCATCATGACAATGATTTCGGAGTCTGTGAACTGACCGCTCTCGATGCTAAGGTGGAAGTTTCCAAGTGTCTTCTCCATCTTTGGATAGCTGAAGGCTCTATCCTTGTCGATCATAATATCGTCGCCAGCTTCGGCGATTCTGAATGTCAAAGATTCTTCACGGAAACGAAGATTCTCGGTTGGGATGTGGCCGTCAAGGAAGACGTTGATACCTTCACGGACTGAGGCCGGGAGTGTGACCACACCATATACGGCAGGACGACCGTACAGAACACAAATAAAGTCAGAGAGGTAGTCTAGAACGGATAAATCGTGCTCGACGACAATAACGTAGTCATCTGGTCGAAGAAGTTCGCGAATCATACGTGCAGCAGCAAGACGCTGCTTGACATCCAAGTAGGAAGAAGGCTCGTCAAACATGTAACTGGTCTGATATTAGATCATCTTCTGCTTTTTTGGCTGTGGGGTATCAAGGTTAACTTACACGTCCGCTTGCTGAACACAGACAAGACCAATGGCAAAACGCTGGAGTTCTCCACCAGAGAGGAGACCGATCTCACGGTTTTTGACCTGCTGGAGTTCTAAAAAAAGGGGTTTAGAATAGATTCAGCCTAGACATGAAATTTTACATACCTAGAACATCCATGACATGCTCCATATTGTCCATCTGAGCACGTGCCTCTAGGAGAGCACCGACCTCCTTTACCGGACCCTTAACGGCTCGAGGGATCTGGTCGACATACTGAGGTTTGACGACGGCCTTAAGATTATCTTCCAGGACCTTTGTGAAGTAGTCTTGAGGCAGTTGTTAGAATCTTCTTTACTTCTCGAGTCACTGTAGAAGCAACGTACTTTGAAGCTCGGATCCACGGAAGTACTTTAGGATCTCCTCCCAGTCTGGTGGGTTGTCATATCGACCCAAGTTGGGCTTCAGCTTTCCACTAAGAATCTTGAGTGCAGTACTCTTTCCGATACCGTTTGTTCCGACCAATCCAAGAACCTGACCCAGGCGTGGCATAGGGAGTCGGTGAAGCTTGAAGCTGTTGGCTGAGTAACGGTGGGTGACCTGAGACTCCAGGTTGGTAGGCAGGTTGATGATATGAATTGCACCGAATGGACATTTCTTCGGGCAGATACCACAACCAATGCACAGCCGTTCTGAAATAAACGCGATTTTCGAGTCTGGCGCAACTTCGATGCAAAGCTTGCCGGTACGGACAACCGGACAAGACTTCTTACATTCCTGACGACATTTCTATGTAATGTTAGTTAGATGACCATCCAATTAGACATATTTCAAGCCCACTAACCTTTGGTTTGCACTGTTATACGCGCAAATATTCCAGCGTTAGAGCCTGTATCTAAGCAAAGGTATAATATTTATAGCGGGGTATGGTATAGATACCTTATCGCTGTTAACGATAGCAATCCTATAATGAAAAGAAGAGTTAATATAATTTCTAACAGCACGGCAATATCTATAACATACCTAGTCAGTTTATCAGACATGGTGGATGGCTGTGAATGCTGCCGTCTATAGGTATCCCGAAAGTAGATAAATTGATTTGTGGAGGGGCAGAATAGGAAGAAAAGAAAAAAGTGTGTTCCACCAGCGTTTATCGAGTCCGCCCGGTAGCCAAAACGACCCGACTGACAGCTCCTCGACCTTTCTTACCCAGAGGCGGAGGGTCTCTTGACGAGGATAAGAATGCGGCTGTTCAACTTGGAAGCTGGAGTTAGTGGTGGACATGAAGGAAGAACGAAGAAACGAGCAAGCGTCGAGTTGTTTGTGTCTTTTTTTTTATTTAGGCTTTTCTTCTTACTTATCCGCGGCCTGTGATTCGTGTATCGTGCTTAGTCACTATGACATAAGCTTTGACTCAGCACTGACTAATCTAGTCTAATGACTCAGCGCTTACTCAGCGAGTCTAGCCGCATCAGGCAAAGACAACGGCCGCCCAACCTTTCCACCTCTTCTTCCTTTTTTTTTCCTTTGCTTCGTCCTTCTGCCGCCAGGACAAAAAAAGACCACCGACGAAACGACCTTTAATAGAAGACCAGCAACACAGCGCCCTTTCGCCGGCCACCTCTGCTTCGTCGACACGCTGAACCGCCCAGCAGGTCCCCGGTCGCGCCTGGGGGCTACCACGTTATGGATCGTAAGTGGTTTTCTGTGTCCGTCTTCTACAGCGAGCGAGAGATACCACCCCCGGCCGTGTGCTTCTCATAGTTGAACACCCCCAGCACCAAGCACCCACCCCCCCTATTCCTCTGGCTCCTTGTATGAGAGTCGAGCTTCTGGAGCTCGCTGCTGTCGCTGCTGCTGTCTGTATAACTGCTTCTGCCTCTCTGTCTGCCTGGGATGGCCTCCATATTCACGCGCTGGTCGTCCTGAACAGCCGTTCATCCATCCCCATTTCCATCAAATTTCATCTATAAATACATCAGACCCCATCTATCCCCGCGTTCTTATGCCTCCCTGAGGAGCTATAGCTACCTAAAATACAATAATAACTGGCCATATGCTCCTCGCCTGTCTTTCTGTGCGCTTTGTTCCCGCGTTTGACTGCAATTGCCTGCTCAATGCTAATTGCGACCAAAATGTAGCCTCGACCGTGGTGATCCCGAACACCCTCCCCCTCGATATACGTAACGGACATAGTCCTCTACGCTCACCACCTGCCTACGGGCTTCACGATAATGTTCCCATGCCAGATGCGCCTAGTGATGGCGAGATGTTCCCCTGCAATCCTGAAAATATGGACGACTCCGATGCCTCCCATGAATCTATGAATGCCGAAGAGGATGCAGCTTCGGTAAACGATGATGAAGATGATGAGAGTGTCAACGGTGTCGATGCCGGGATGAGCTCACACCATCCTTCTGATGATGAAAGCACTGGGGACTCAGAAGACGCGGCTGGCGAGGACGTTGCCGAATTCACGATGGAGAACGGCGTAGATGCCCCTCCGTCAGAGATGTTTTCGTCCTCGCCGGGCTCGAAAAGGGGAGTCAAACGCAAATCCTCTGTTGATGAAGAGGAATATATCAGAAACAACCCTACTCTCTACGGCCTACGACGGAGTGGACGCGCTCGTCCAACTCGACGGCTGGATCAAGAATCCTCTGCCTCCGAGTCTGATGTTGCCCCACCCCCAAAACGACGTCGTCCCGGCCGTGCCTCTGACCGTCCTTCCCCAGTCCAGATGCCTGAGTCGTCGTCTGAATCTGATAGTGACGCGTACGAAGGCCCGCGTCGTAGTCGACAGGGCAAAAAGCAACGACGGAACAACCAAAATAACCTGAAAAACTCCTACATACCGACACATGGTGAAGTCCGCTTCTCAACACGGCGGGCTAACAAGGTCTGTAACTACAACGAAGAAAGTGACGATAACATGTTTGAAGACGAGTACGAGGAAGGTACTCCCGGAGAATGGGCATATACCGTCGATGACAATACACCAGCCATCGACAAGATCCTTTATCATCGCTTCAAGGAAGGTGTAGACCTTGAAAAGCCCGATCTAGGCCGCCGTGACTGCGAGTACTACACCAAGTGGCAGGGTTTAGCACATTACCACGCATCCTGGGAAACAGTCGATACCCTTGCTAACTGCCGCGGCATCAGACGTCTAGACAACTATATCCGGAGGGAGATTGAACAAGAGATCATCTTCATGAGAGATCCAGACGTAATTCCAGAGGAGCGAGAGAAATGGAGTCTTGACCGCGAACGATATATAGAGAAAATTGACCACTTCAAACAAGTCGAACGTGTCATCGGCTCCCGCGAAGTCGATGGTGCCACTGAGTACTATATCAAATGGAAACGTCTACCTTATGATGGCTGTACATGGGAAGAAGGAAGCCTCATAAGCAATATGGCTCAAGCCCAAATTGATGCCTACCTCGACCGCTGCTCGCACCCCCCGATCTCCTCCAGAGCAGAGTCTAATCCTGCAACCCGCTCTAAGTTTGAACCTATACATACCAACCCAGACTTTATACAAAACGGTCAACTCAAGGAGTTTCAAATCAAGGGAGTCAACTTCCTTGCTTACAACTGGGTTCGCGGCCGCAACGTTGTCCTTGCTGACGAAATGGGCCTAGGAAAAACTGTCCAGACAGTAGCATTCATCAACTGGCTACGGCATGTCAGACAGCAGCAGGGCCCATTCATCGTCATCGTTCCATTAAGTACAATGCCGGCCTGGAGCGAGACTTTTGACTATTGGACACCGGACGTCAATTACATTGTCTACAGTGGCCCTGAGCCTGCTCGAAGGATCATCAAAGACTACGAGCTTTTGACTGATGGCAATTTGAAACGTCCTAAATTCAATGTTCTCCTCACCACTTATGAATATGTTCTTCAAGACGCAAGCTTTTTAAACCAAATCAAATGGCAATTTATGGCAATTGATGAAGCACATAGATTGAAGAATCGTGACTCACAGCTATATACCAAACTACTTGATTTCAAGTCGTCTTGTAGGCTTCTTATAACCGGAACTCCTGTCCAAAACAATCTTGGAGAACTCTCTGCCTTGATGGATTTCCTCAATCCAGGCGTTATCGAAATTGACGAGAACATGGACCTGAACTCCGAAGCTGCCAGTGCAAAGCTGGCTGACCTGACCCAAGCCATCCAACCATACATGCTTCGTCGAACCAAATCAAAGGTTGAGAGTGAGCTTCCACCAAAGTCCGAAAAGATCATTCGCGTTGAACTATCCGATGTCCAGCTCGAACTTTATAAAAACATCCTGACCAAAAATTATGACGCACTTAACCATGGTGGCAAGGGTCCCAAACCATCCCTGCTCAACATCATGATGGAGCTGAAAAAAGCTAGTAATCATCCATTCATGTTCTGGGGCCCCGAAGACCAGGCTGGAGGAAGCACACGGCGAGAAGACCAACTTAAAGCCCTCGTCACTAGTAGCGGAAAGATGATGGTCCTCGATCAGCTTCTCACCAAACTAAAGAACGATGGCCATCGTGTGCTAATCTTCAGTCAGATGGTTCGAATGTTGAATATTTTGGCTAACTATATGGATGCTCGTGGTTTCAACTATCAGCGTCTGGACGGTACCATTGCTGCTGGCCCTCGTCGTCTTGCCATTGAACATTATAACGCCCCCGGCAGTACCGACTTTACCTTTTTACTCTCGACCCGTGCAGGTGGCCTTGGTATTAATTTGATGACAGCCGATACAGTTATATTATTCGATTCGGACTGGAACCCACAGGCCGATCTGCAGGCTATGGCGCGAGCTCACCGTATAGGACAAACCAAACCCGTCAGCGTATATCGTCTGGTCTCTAAGGACACTGTGGAAGAGGAGGTCTTGGAAAGAGCGAGAAATAAGCTGTTGCTGGAGTTCATCACAATCCAAAGAGGTGTTACCGACAACGAAGCTAATAGTCTCAAGAACAAGCTCGCACAAGCCGGTCATCATGTCAATGAACCTACTTCGTTCGATGATATCTCACGGATTCTCAAACAGCGTGGACAACGAATGTTTGAGCAGTCTGATAATCAGAAGAAACTTGAAGAACTTGATATTGACGCTGTTCTTGCCAATGCTGAAGAACACAAGACTGTCGAGGAAGATGCTATTGAAGTTAGCGGAGGAATCGACTTTATCAACGAATGCCAATATGTGGATGTCAAGTTCGACGATCTTTCATGGGACGATATCATTCCAAAGGAATACCTGGAGAAGGTCAAGGCAGAGGAAGAGCTAGAAGCTCAGAGACGTCCCCCGAAAGAGGAGCCTGCTGAAAACTCCAACTCCAACCTAATGATTAGTGATGAGCGTGAAGAGCGAAAAGCCAAGCGGCGAGCTCGCCAACAAGTGAATATCGATGCTGAGATAATGTCGGATGCCGAAGGCCCAGATCCCAGTGCACCCCTAAATGAGAAAGAATACCGACATCTCATCCGTGCATACCTGAGATACGGTGACATGAAGGATCGCGAGGAAGAAATCATCAAGGAAGCACGCCTCGTGAACCGTGATGCTACTGTTGTCAAAGACGCTCTCAACGAAGTCATTGAGAAGGCCACTGCTCTTGAGCAGGAGGAAAACGACAGAATCCGTGCCCTTGAACGTGAGGGTAAGAGCTTCACTAAAAAGGAGCGGAAGGCAATTCTTTTCGATCACAAAGGCGTCAAACGCATCAATGCAGAAACCATCGTTAGTCGGCCTGGAGAAATGCGTCTTCTACGGGAGGCTACATCCAATTTACAGGATATAACAAGTTTCCGTGTACCGGAAGCCACTAAGGGTGCTGACTACTCCTGCTCATGGGGCGCTCGAGAAGATGGAATGTTGTGCCTGGGCATTGCTCGTCACGGTTACGGAGCATGGACACAGATTCGTGATGATCCCGAGCTAGGCCTGGGAGATAAATTCTTCCTTGATGAGCACCGCGTCGACCGCAAGCAAGAGCGGCTGAGCGGTAAGGGTGAAGGGTCGAAATCTCCCGGAGCTGTACATCTGGTTCGAAGAGCAGATTACCTCATATCGGTTCTTAAAGCCAAAGCCAGCAATGGTTCCAACGCCGCGGCAAGGAAAGCCCTGGAAAACCACCACCGGAATAATAAGAAGATCAGCTCTCGGAATGCACATCGAACCGTTTCTGCTTCTCCTGCCCCATCTCTCCCACGTAAAGGCAGAGAAAGCGAAAAGTCAAGGCGGCGTATGCAAAATCGTGGCAGTCGAGATAGTGCTGATGGATCTCATACCCCATTACGAGACCACCGGGATCGAGACCGAAATAGAGATCACGGGAAGCCAATCGATTCAGATAAAGCACGGAGATATTCTAAGGAAGAAGCACACCGCCGTCGTAGTGATGATCGCACTACATCCACTCCGATGGGTGGTGACAATATGCTTCGAAGCATCTTCAAGCCTATCCGCGAGCATTTGAGGCGAGTGTCGCAGGTCACCAAGGAAAGCATTCCAAGCAAACCAGAGCGAGCTGCCGAACTCCGCCGATTGCTACGGATGATTGGAGACTTCATTCGTGGTATTCTTAATGGTCAAGAAGCTGCGGCTTCGCTTGAAGGGAGATTATGGTTCGTTTTTACATTTTATCATCACTCGAATAAATTAATTATACTAACCTATGCGCAGGGATTACTGTGCTGCTTACTGGCCGAACAAAGGAACTCCCGGAAGTGCACTTCTCAACATGTACAGCAGGCTAGTAGCCGCCGAGAAAGCAACTGAAACCTCGAATTAACGTCACTATATTCTTCCCCTTCATTCACCTTTCGCCAAATTATCTATATGCCACCCAACTTACACAATATTCGACCCCATTCCTACCGGATATCATTTCACCATCTTACCATATTCTATATCCCTGTCATCTATATTTACTTTTTATCCCCATTTATTCGCCTTTTATTCGCCTTTTATTTGGTTCTCTGGCTTGGAGCAGCCGGAGTTTGCTTGCATTTGTGAACGGCGTTTATGCTGTTTCTTCCTAATGTGGTATAAGCTGTCCTGGAAGAAACAGGGTTGATTCGATATAATTTTCCCGGCTTCTCTTGCTTCTTCTTTCCCTGTTTGCTTTTCCCTCGTCTCCGTTGATGTTATGTTCACCCATAGCCTTGCCTGGATCACATGTATTTCTAGATGAGCCACGTTTTTCTATTGCTTTTTACGTTGATTTCTTTCATGTTTCTCAAAAGCCGTAATCACCTTTTTTGTTTCTCTGGGGGTTTTGATTTGAGGGGAGGGTTGAAGCTTATGAGCAATGAGGCCGGGAGGTATACATATTCACCAGTAGAGTTGCTTTGACAAAAACACTCGAGAGCAGTCAATATAAGCTAGTCTTTTCTATTAATTCAAATCAATGACATGGCTTCTGCTCTGGATTCAATATTTAAAAGGCCGAAGTAGCATTATTCGTAATAGTAGCAAACGCTCCAAAGAAGCGAGATGAAGGTATTGATAGTAGATAAGTAGAAACAAAATGAAGGTAAAAGGTATCATAAAATTAATCGCCAACCGAATCGTACACTCCTACTATATTAATTACACCCGATCATCATCGTTGTGAGATTTCACTTCGGATGCCTGGGTTTGCGGCCGTGACTGCTTCTCGGGCTGTTCATCATCACCACCAGCTTCTTCTGGGCCATCTTTATCCGGTGGCGGTGCGTCCGCCTGATCTGCCGTAGCAGGCATTGGTGACAACTTGCGCATACCACCATGACTAGACGGCCTTTGCTCCACGGTCATCGGGGTACCATAGACACGAATCTCACTGTGGATAAGATCATCTAGAATAAGCTCCTTTTCCTTCCAGGTCCGTTTTCTTTGAGGTTTTATCAATTCCCAATTTTTCTCCAGGGTTCTGGATTCCTGTTCTGCCCAATGGATCTGTCGACGTATCAGGCGTGCAAGTTGCTCTAGCGGCATCGCAAGCTCATGTTCATCAAAACCAATTTCCGGGTCGAAAACCGGTACGTCGCTCTGTTCCTTTGCTTTCCCTTGGTCCCCCTTTTGCTCCGACCCGTCTTGCTTTTCGCTGTTATCATTTTCTTTCCGGGGTGCCAGCTTTAATTTAATTCGAGGAGGTTTGGGGGCAGTGGATGCCGTCGGGTTGGCATGTTGCTTTGCCAGGGCATCGAGCGATTTTAAGGCATCAGTATCGTGAACTGTCCTCATATGCTTCGATAGCGCATCGGAACGCGTGAAGCTACGATCACACTCTAATGGACTCGGTCTTGAATTAGAATAATGCCAGACATAATGAAATAGACGATTTTATGACACTACTTACCGGGCAATGCGCAATAAAATGGTTTTTCTTTGGTATGGCTTCTCATATGGGCCCGCAAGGCATACCCGCTTGCATGAGCCTGCCCCTTCCTGGCACAGTCGCCCCATTCACATAGATACTTCTTTTGCCGAGATCCGATATGTTCGTCGTGTATATGTTTGACAAGCGCATCCATATCTACAAAGTCCTTTGCGCTACAGCCCTCCCAAAGACAGGCTGTGATGTGGTCCCTCCCGGCACCGCTGTAGTCTTCTTCCGGGCCAAGGATCGCCATTGCACCGGGGGAATTTGGTATCGCGCCGGAGCTGTCTGACGATATAGAAGCGACCGGAGACGGTGGCGGAAGGTCATCATTGACTGAAGATATCGGGGTATGGTGGTCCCATGTAGACACCCCCGTCTTACGGCGCTTTGATGGGTGCACCTGAGGAGGCGAGTTGGAACGGGAGCGTCCCTGGTCTTCGAACTTGACGTCTTCTGGGAACTCTTCTGACGCGAGAGAGGAGAGAGGCGAGGCTGGTGATTCGGCCATCGTGGGATCGAATGGTGAGAGTTAGGGGACGCAGCTCTTGAATAGCAACAGGCTATCTTTCAGATGAGGCTTTCAACTTGATTTCTTCACTCTGCTTGGTTGTTTTCAGCTTGTTCAACTTTCAACTCGTTCAACTGCGACTTCGACTTCGACTTTCGCGATATCCAATGAGAGAACTTTAAATTTTATCACGTGATTTAAATATTAGTCAGCGAGTAGCTCTGTCTCTTTTTCCTTTTTGGCTGAGAAAGAAAATATCAACTTGAAAACTCGACATGAGCAAGAAGCGAACGTGAAAACCGTTCAGGAAGACTGATACAAAATGCATGCATCTTATGTATCTTACTGGTGAGTGCTTACTGCCTTTTTCCTCACACCGATGATGAATAACAAGAGAGTTCTGCAATACCGACAATTTCCAGGGTAATACCTGTGGAATTGAATGTTGACATCTCACTTACACTTGATCTGAGGCTTCCACACATACAGCATCGTTTTTTTCTTCTTAAAGTAAACTGTGGTATATACTGACCGTTGCTCAAGACCAATATAGGCTTCTCCATTACATCTGATAAGAATGGCATCTGAATGGCTTCGTTCCGCTTCCTTTGCTGGACTACCTGACCACCGTGCAATACAGCCGAAGCACGACGACTGTTCGATATATATGCCGTGATTCCCAGAGGGATAGACTACAGCATTACTGTCCTGGCATTCTTTCTCTATTGTGCCTGACTGTTTGGATGACCGGGCCGAGCACCGCCTTGGTACCGTGAAGCTGCAGCCGCGTAATGATACTAACCATGCTGCAGACCTTTAAACAGACACAAACGCTAGTCAATTGCGCTATACAAGAGAAGAATCGCAAGGATTGAAAGGATACTCCGTATTTTACTACTATATGAAGGAGCTGGTTAAGCTCGACGTCCTCGCCACTGAGCAGCTCCAGCTTTAGATAGACGGGAGATAAACCCGCCACAGCTAGTAGAAGATAACTTTTCTATATCAACTATACATGTCTTACAAGTCCGCTACTCTCTTAAAGTAAATACCAGTTGATATCCCTGGTCCTGGTCACGGATTACATCACCTCCCGCATCTCTCCGACTCTCGCCCCGCCATAAACAAATAGCAAGCGGCTTTTTCTCCCCTCTATATATAAAGATCACCCCACCAACCGCCCCTTGTCCTGCAATTCAACTTCAACAACTTCTTGTCCTCGATTAATTTATTACTACTCACCAGTGAACCCCGTCAATTGTGTCAAGATGTCGCTCTCGAACAAGCTAGCTATCACCGATATCGACCTGAAGGGCAAGAGGGCCTTGATCAGAGTATGGCCAGCTACAACACCCCCCACCAAACACAGTCATAGAAGAAGCATGAGGATATAAGAGCTAACTTGCCCCTTCTAGGTCGATTTTAATGTCCCTCTCGATGCCGAGTTCAAGGTCACCAACCCCCAGAGAATTGTTGGAGCCCTTCCAACCATCAAGTATGCTGTCGAGAACGGTGCCAAAGCAGTGATCCTCATGTCCCACCTCGGACGACCAGATGGCAAGCCCAATCCAAAGTTCAGCCTCAAGCCTGTTGTTTCAGAGCTTGAGAAGCTCCTTGGAAAGCCTGTCACCTTCCTTGACGACTGTGTCGGCAAAAAGGTCGAAGATGCCATTGCCGGTGCCAGTGATGGCCAGGTGTTCCTCCTGGAGAACCTCCGTTTCCACGCTGAAGAGGAGGGAAGCTCTAAGGACGAGTCCGGCAAGAAGGTCAAGGCCGACCCAAGTGCCGTTGAGGCTTTCAGAAAGGGACTGACTGCTCTGGGAGATGTTTACATCAGTACGTCAATTGCACTTGTTCCTGTCTAGATAGAAAGCAAGAGACCTGTTCTAACCCGCATTCACTCTTAGATGACGCATTCGGCACTGCTCACAGAGCCCACAGCTCCATGGTTGGCGTCGATCTGCCACAGAAGGTCTCTGGATTTTTGGTCAAGAAGGAGTTGGAATACTTTGCAAAGGCCCTTGAGAACCCCCAGCGACCATTCCTCGCCATCCTTGGAGGAGCCAAGGTCTCTGACAAGATCCAGTTGATCGACAACCTCCTCACCAAGGTCAACAGCCTCATTATCTGTGGTGGTATGGCCTTCACCTTCAAGAAGGTACTTAACGACCTGAAGATCGGCAAGAGTCTGTTCGATGAAGAAGGTAGCAAATTGGTTGAAGGCATCATGGAGAAGGCCAAGGCCAAGAACGTCAAGGTCGTCCTGCCAGTTGACTATGTCACTGGCGACAACTTCTCCGCTGACGCCAAAGTTGGCTATGCTACTGACGCTGATGGTATCCCTGATGGCTGGATGGGTCTTGACTGCGGTAAGGAGAGTGTCAAGCTCTTCCAGGAGGCCATTGGTGAGGCAAAGACTATCCTGTGGAACGGTCCCCCAGGTGTCTTCGAGTTCGATGCCTTTGCTCAAGCAACCAAGGACACCCTCGCCTCTGCAGTCGATGCTGCTCAAAAGGGAACAATCGTCATCATTGGAGGTGGTGATACCGCAACCGTTGCCGCCAAGTTTAAGGCTGAAGACAAATTGAGCCACGTCTCGACTGGCGGTGGTGCTTCTCTCGAGCTTCTTGAAGGCAAGGATCTGCCCGGTGTCTCTGCCCTTTCGAGCAAATGACTCTCTTCTCACGTATGACATTATATCTTGCAACCCCCAGCCTTCCTTCCCTAGCTCAGTCAGCCGCCGGGCTATGTTGACATCCCTAGAGACACTAATGTAACAAAAATTTCCTAAACCAAAGTAAATATATATATCCAAATGAAAAATATTGTTCAACGTTATTTTTCAGTAAAGCACTGGCTCCGGCCGAAGACGGTTTTATCAATAAAACTAGCAACGACAGTAGTAATATTGCCCGAAACAGAAAGTGACCAAGATGTCGTGTCAATCCATTTGATTGCCACTATAAAATTTTTGTTTACTTACACCCCCAAGTCCCTAAACTCCGCTGAAGAAAACCATGAGGCTGATGAGAAAACAAGAGAAAAACTGGTAGCAGCACAGATGAGAGCCTATTCCCTAACAACAGCCCGGTCATCGCTTAGCAGCTTCGACCTTTTTAATCTCCTCCCTATAAAGAACCAGCTTGTCAGTATTTATGCAAATGAAGCACTGTATGTATATATGGTTGCTGCAACCGAACAGGCATAGGCAGGGGGTATATAGGGGTATATTCAGAGCTCGGAAGAGTACGCACGCTAGTTGTTTAGAGAAATCTTCGCTCGCATCATCGTCGTCCCAGCTTTCTTCCCATAGATGGTCGTTGCCGGACCCTCCGCTCGGAGCTTCTGCCTCTTCTTGAGGCCAATCTATAATCACAACGGCAACGTATAAGCATGCTGATCCCCAACACAAGAGAAAAAAAGGAAGAGAACTAAATAATCACTCGGATGACGAAAGGACAAGCACATACCTTCTACCGGGAAGTCCTCAAACTCGTCATCTTCTTCCAGAGGCGCAGAAGGATTCTGGGCCTTTTCTGACTGTGCTGTCTCCGCCGACTGGGGTTTGGCAGCGCTCTGCGAGGCGGGCTGACTCGACATGGTGGCTGTGTTTATAAAAGGGGTAGAGCTAGGTTTATTCCCAGCGGGCCAGCACAGGTACCGTGCAACGAAGGATCTGGAGGTCGTGAGGGAAGACTTTGGCTGATATCTGGACTTGTTGGTTCTCTTTGGGCTTTTGCTGTTGATGCGACTTTGCGGGATAGCTGTGGCTTATGTAAGCACAGCCAACAAGTTACACGCAGGCTGATCTTCCAGCTCCAGCTTCAACTACAAGCAGAACAGATTTTGATATCTTTGTTGAATGATATCTCAGTCTGGCATTGGGATGCATTAGTAGACTAGGGGAATTTGCTTATTTGCGGGTTATTCAGTGCATCGTCTGTCATCGATCAGAGTCGAGGGAGACTGCGGAGCCTTGCCTGGCCTTAGCAGTCGTATCTCGGCTCCCGTATTATTTTTGGTTGCTAACTAGCTATTCTGACCCCCTAGGTAAGGAAATATTATGCTTAAGGTGAGGAGATGCAAGCTAACCAGAGCCAGCCAGATATTAGGCGCTTGGCCGATGAGACCGCCGAGACTTTACGTGTTTGGTTGAGTCTCAAATCAACTAGTTTTACTATGGCAGACAACAAGGGGGAGCTATTCTCGGATTCTCCCTGGTCTTGATGACGAGTACGGGTACGTCCAAAAATGTACCGCAGAGTATGCACTGCCGTTGATGGTGACGGTGACGGTGACGCAGCTAGCTGTCCTCAATTAGTAGCATGCGTGGTGTTGTTTAGCTGCATGACGACAGGTATACGGCGGCCCGGACACAGGATCTCAACAGCTTAAACCGTCGAAAACAGGTCTAAACAATAAGAGGAAGCCGGCCTATCGCGTCTTCAATGCTCTGTCCTTGTCTTTTAGTCAAAGAGACATCTCACGTGGCCTCGCAGGTACCTGTGGCGGCTTCAAGAGACAGCTGGAGAAGAAGCAAACATGCAAGCCTTGGTAGTACGGCGGATCTCATCGCTTGATTGATTAGATCCAGGGACCAAACGCCAAACGAGAGGAAGCTAAGAGAAAAGGAGGCTGTCCAGAGAAAACCCGGAGAAGCCGGTGGTAAAGGGGCTTCCATGTCTGAATCCTTCCTGCGACTTCGAAACCTTCCCGGAATCAGCCTCAGCCCGTTCCGGACATAGGATATAGGATACAGCAACGTACACAGACAGGGCAAGGACGCAGGCATGGCGGACAAAGTGGCCGGTCGAGTAAGAGGCAAACGCCCATATTGAAGCACGAACGAATCCTTTGGCCATCTAGGTATCTATCTATTTACAACGCTACAAACACTATGTAACTCCTCGCGCCTCCGAGCCTTGGCGTGACCGAGACTCCGGCTTGGATCCCGTCATCTTCCCCGTTCTTTTTTTGCTGGGAGCCTTTTCTCTCGCTCTTCCTCTGGTTTTGTGTTTTTGTGTGTGTTTATTTATATACGGAGCTGCCTGCCTAGACCACGGGCGAGAGAGAAGACAAAAGAAGCCAAAAAGAAGACACAGACAGACATCTAGCAAAGGAGTGAGACAGAGAGGTCCCAAGGCTGCGTCTCGCATAATTTATGCTAGCCATCCATGGCCATGCTGCAGGGATAGGGGCCTTAAAAAGAATATAAGTTCCGCTCTCGGTCTTCGTCTTGGTATTACTGTCCGGCAGTCTACTCCGTCATCTTCAACCTTCTTCACCGATATATTTATATAACACTTCTACGACTGCGCCAACATACCGCTCTATATTGAATCTGTATAACAAGCTGCCTTGCCTGTGATGAGGTGAAGCGGTCTCTTCTACCTTGAGCAGCCTTTCTTCTTCTTCCTCCTCCTCTTCTATTCTGTCCTTTTCTATCTTCATCTTCTATACAATACCAAAAGGGTGCCTAAAAGTGGTTTTTTCCTCCTTCTTAGCTTCTCGCACATAAATACTTCTTTATATTCCTCTTTGCTCCCTTTGATACCAGCTTCACTTCATCGCTTTATTTTCATCTTCTATTTATCTCCATTTTCTCTCAGTTAAGCTTGCGACCAGTTGGTGAAGAGACAGACACTATGTTCCGAGTAGGGTCATGGCTGTACTCCAAGGCAGCTCCAGCAAGCGCATCTACTCAGTCTCTTGATGCTGTGACTGAGTCTCAAGACCGTACGTTACTTACGCCGCTTCTACTATTATAAAAACTCCTGCTGACAGTGTATTACTTCTATAGTTGAGCATGCGTTAAAAGGTATTCTTCTATACTTATTTTATACCACTTTCTCACCTTACTAACGGTCTTCTGAAAGCTGCCGCCTATATTATGGATGATGATGTTGATTCAGCAGAGAGAGACCTGGATAAAGGTGATTCATCATACCACAAGGTAAGCAGCGGTCCAATATCTTCTTCTATATATCCTTCCTCTATTGAAGTTGCTGACATTTACCATATATAGCTAGGAAAAGGCATTGTCACGTTTGTTAGAGCTACACTCGGCTTGGAGCAAGATATTATGCGGCAAGGTATGGCTTGTTCTAGGGGATATTGTTTGTTTGCAATACTAATACCATTCTATAGCTGCTTCGAGGCTTATGGATGCAGAGACAAGTGCCTATAATGACCAGCATAAAGCTCTGCACAATGCAAATGCTGTCAACGCCTATCACTCCGCTATCTATGCGCCTGGGACAGAGTACTTGCTATGCCAATGTATGGCCCAGCTCATGGCTGCCCTGGTAGGGGTGCTCAGTGAGAGCTTTTCAGAGAGCATAAAGGCGTTTTATAAGCTGAGAAAGGCTTATATTGCACTTGATAGCATTGCTCAGATGGAAGAAAAATACTTGAAAGAAAATAACCTCAGCCTTGGAGTCGATTCACGATTCGACTCTGCCAATGGTAGTCCCAATCTAGACAAACCTACGAGATCCGCGACTCACGCTGCGGACTCTTCATCGCATGGTATGGTTTTCAAATAAGGACTTGCTCGTAGATCGTTTTTTTTTCATGGCTAACGCTGCACAGAAACAAAACAAGATACCAAGGTCCCCCTTCCAAAATCAATGTCAACTACCACCTTTGAGGAGATTACCAATGAAAACCTTGAAAGCTCACAAAGACGACTTTCCCGACTAACTCTGGGAAGTGAAAGTGATGTCTCCAAGGCAGCCGAAGGGCCTCAGGCCAAGCTTGATACCGACGAAGATGTTGATATCTTCTCCCACCCTGTAGATCACTTCATCCACTCGGGAACCAGTCTCTGCTTCGGCATGCTACTTCTATTCATCTCCATGGTACCTCCGGCTCTCAACAGGATCCTGTATATTATTGGTTTCCGCGGTGACCGATCTCGAGGACTACGGCTGCTCTGGCAAGCCAGCCGGTCTCACACGTTGACAGGAGCTATTTCTGCATTAACTTTATTGGCCTTTTACAACAGTTTCGTGCGTGCAGCCGATATTTTACCTGACCCTATTGATGGAAATGTGGAAGATATTGAGGGCTATCCGATGAACCGACTTGAGAGCTTGTTGGCAGATATGAGGAGTCGTTTCCCCCACAGCCAACTCTGGGTCCTTGAAGAGTCCAGGATGCGAAGTGCAAACAGAGAGGTGGAAGAGGCCATGAGGCTGATTCGCAATGGAAAGAAGAGTCCACTGAAACAGGTACAGGCTCTGCACGTTTTCGAGAGAAGTATTGATGCCATGCATCTGCATCAGTACGAGCTCTGTGCAGAGTCCTTCATCGAGGTAACGTAATTCCCGCTGCTAACTCACATTATACGACTACTAACTTCAGTCACCAGTGTTCGGAACTCAACTCCTGGTCCAGGGCATTGTATTTCTACATTGCCGGTGCCTCACACGTAGAACTTTACCGCAAATACCTCAAGGAATCACCGGAGAAGGCGAAAGAGCATGCCAAAAAGGCCGAAGAACTCTTCCAAAAAGCACCATCTCAAGCAGGAAAGAAAAAATTCCTAGCTCGCCAACTTCCATTCGACGTTTTTGTAACCCGCAAGATTGCAAAGTGGGAAGCTCGTGCGAAAGAGCGGAACATCCCTTTCATTGATGCAGTCGGCGTATCACCAATTGAAGAAATGAATTTCTTCTGGAACGGGCACAGCCGTATGCCCGACGAGCAGTTGGAGGTTGCACTTCAAAACCTAGCATGGTCAGAGAGCAACCAGACATGGGCGTCCGAGCCACTCGACGAACACTCCATATTGGCTCTTCTCAGGGCTTCTCTATTGCGAGCCCAGCGGAAGCATACAGAGGCAAAGGCCATTCTGAAATCTGAGATTCTATGTCACGACAGAACTCTCTACAAGGGTTCGAATAAGGATGACTGGACCTGCCCGTCAGCACATTATGAGATGGCTGCGAATATATGGATGGAGCGTCACTGTTACCGATCTTTTGGCCGTGCCACCACCATACCGGCATCGGAGAGGGACGGCCACGCCGAAGACGAAGACGAAGCAACCCGTGCAGCCGAGGATGATCAAAAGGTCCATGAGTGTAAAGAATGGCTGGAGAAAGTATACAAGTGGGAGGCGTACGAGTTAGACGCTCGTATTGGGCTGAAAGTTACCACGGCACAGGAGACAATCACCAAATGGGAGGAGGCCCACACAAAATAAACGTACGCGGATCATTTGTAGACAACCCTATGTCACGTACTTAACATCGTTATCTGGAGCTACAATATATCCATCTCCATCTTCAATTTGTCCATCCTGAAGTGGCTTGAATGCTGTTTTCTTCCTTTTCAAGACGAGTCTATCACGATATGAGCTAATATTACAATCATCAAGGTTAACTACCAAATCTATTCCGACTGCACCAAGCCCGCCGTCTACATACGTACATGCACACAATATATGCGTTGGGATCTCTAGATGATCATGACTGGCAAATACTCTTCTTCCATTAGAAGTCTCCGGTTGCTTCACTTTAGTTTCTCATTCCCAATAACCGTCATCACACTGAGTCTACTTCATAGTTTCGTCGCATAGTCGTCCCACCACATTCTCAAAGTCAGCTCTGAGAAAAGCAATAGTTCTGCAGACCCAGAGGTCGGACAGGTCGGGGTAGATTCCCTACGCAGTTGCTGTTGATATGAATAGAACTTTCGGTTAGACAATATCGTGTTGAAATGGTTGCTAGAAGTTGCTTGCTGGTTACCAATTAAAGGATAATTTAGTAAATAATCTAGCATCAAATAAATTGCTTGACTGTCGACGCTCAATATCAAGGAGTATTCTACTGAAACCAACATTCCTAAAACCAGACCATCCCGCATTGATAAACAAAACCACTAATGAAACACCAAAGTTATCATACACCTGCCATTTCCATGTCTTCAACTGCACCAAATTCCCAGTCTCCGCTTCGAATCCTGCTTACTCGATCTAACTCGATCTGATACTCCTTGCGAAGATCTTCAAGCGTGATGACGATCCGCTTTGCACGGTTGATCTTCAGCTCAGTCGATGACCGTGACAGGCTCAAGTTATGATTCTGCAGGGTAGGTGAACTGGATAAACTCATCTTGCGGCTATCAGAGCTGTGTGAAAAGGGGTTCCGGGCGGAAGAAGTAGAGGTGGTGAATGGGTCGTCAATGCTACTAGTTGATCGGTGAAGGTTTGAACTTATGCTATCGCGTCGATTTGCGTCTGGATCAAATTGCTCGACCACAATGTATGCTTCGTTCTTCTCCATACAAGCAAGGAGGTTGATTAGGGAGAGAAGCTCGTTTCGCAATTCTCTGCTCTCGATGTCGTCTTCGTTCAGATCATTGGAAACATCTTCTGGTGTGAAGAACTTCACTTTTGAGGTAGTTGGGCGGTCTCTAAGATCCCTGAGCCGGCTAACGGTTTGATACGAGATCTCTGCCGCTCCACGAATGTCGTTGCGAGCAATTCGGTAGGCTTTTAGGACACGACGATATTCTGGTGGGGTTTGGGTCCCCTGCCAACCGCTCAAGGGTACTGTTTGGTTGATAGAAGGTCCCAGGGGTGACTGTTTGCTCGCGAGAGATGCCAGAACATCATCGACATGAGAGCATAGATGGGGAGTCAAGGAAAGAGGGAGGCGGAGAACCTTTTGTAGACCTACTGTTCCCGGTCCATAGGCAGTTAGGATTGTGGTGGTAAGAGATGTTAGCGCAGACTTCTGTAATGCAAGATCTGTATATCTGGCAAGAGCTGAGTAGGCATCATCAAATCGACATGTTTTCAAAGAAGCGTGGAATAACCGAGAAAGCAAGTCACTTCGAAGGTTCTTATGTTCAAGATCTGTCTCGTTTTTCTTTGGACTAGATCCAAGAGCCTGAAGAGCGAGGTTGGCAAAGTCGGCGACGTGAATAAAGGCTCGAGAAAGCTCGAAAAGGTTGACAATGTGCTGGAAATATCTCGGAAGCCCATTGTAGAAGTTATCCACAGACACAATATCAAGAAGATTTGAAGACATTTCATGGAGATTACCAACGGCTTTTCCATAGGCTATATTATCATAACGATCAGTAAACGCTCCGTTATAATAAAAAACAAGAGACCGACTTACAGAGAAGATAGGCAGCCTTTTGGAAGTAAACTGCTGCTGTGTCGAAATCAGATTTTGCTAGGTATAATCGTCCCTTGACATAGGTTGCCCAGGCAGTACTTGGTTGAAAACGAAGGAAATCAGATGCAAGTTCGAGGTTATCAGAAGCGAGAAGATCACATTGGATAAACACCAAGATGTTTGAAAGCGACACTTCCCCTTGTCTCGTAACCCATGATATGACGTCTTGAATTTGCTGCGTCATTGCGTACATCTGGGGAACACCTGCAGCAGGTTGAGGCTTGATGTGAATTGCGAATAGATCTTCTAGGATAGTAGTGCATTGGTTGACTTCACAGGCCTTTGGACCAAATCGAACAGATGATGTGGTATCAGATCGGTTCTTTTTCTGTCTGGGTCGCACGTTTGTCGCTAGCCATATCATCAACTCGTACTCCTTTAATAGGTCAATTAATGTACTAAAGATCATAGGTCCGTCGAATTCAGTGTTCTCAGACTCTAAATTCACTTCAGTTTCGACAAAAACGGCGAAAAGCAACAGGTCATGTATGATTTGCCTGCTTTGGATTAGGACCTCTTGAGCTCCGTGGGTTATTGCATTGCGTCCAAAGGCTGTGGACTGGAGTTCAGAGTCCTTCCCTGGGAAACTCAAAGGTAGTGTATCAATGATGGAAAAGAATGTTTCGGTGGTGAGGCCTTTATATCCAATAGTTTCCTCGATATTTGCACAGCCAGCTTCAAACAATTCCTCAGTAATGAATTCTGCAAATCCACAGTTGGTATGGAAAGCCTCAACTCTCTCTGCAGCGGAGAGCGAAGGCTCAGCAAAGATTTCGTTATCCAAAGCTGTCCGGCATGACTCGCTAAGTTCAGCTGAAAAAAGTGTTCGAAATGTCATTGCGAGGTTAGCAAGACTTGCGGATTGGCCAGGGCGCTCCCCTAGTTCACGGGGTATATTCCTATGTGGCCAACACGTTTCGAGGACGTCGATACCATTGCCTAGAGTCTCTCCATCATTGTGCAGCATAAGCTCAGTACTATCACATTCACGAATGATAGCCGATCCGCCACTGAATATTAACCAGGGAAGGTCACTGTATGCATCATAGGCAAGGCTTATCGCTTCTTGTGTCTTCTTGTTGATATCTTCAACAATCTGCCAGAATTGTTGCCACTTTGCTTCCAAGTCTCTGTAGTACTTTGAAAAGTCCATTTCCGCATCCGGGAGTTGTCGTAGCGTGACAGATTGAGTTATTATTGTGCAGACATCCTGTTGTAGTGATGACGCCGTCGACTTACTGCCCAAGGAGCGAGTATGTTTCAATTTCAAGGCATCCTGATAAATTGCCAAAGCAGTCCTGAGAATTTCAGATGAGTATCTCCCAGGTGCAAAGAGATATTCAATCCATTTCTCCTGTGTATCTGTCGTATCGGACCGCACGGGGCTTGGGGGTGCATTGTTTCCAGGGAATGTGAACGATGTCATTGTCCAATTGGTATTCCATACCTTGGCCAGATCCACCAAATCAAAATGAATGGTGTAAAGTCGGTAAGAGTTATGACTTTTCCAGAGGACCCAAAGTGCCATATTTCTGCCTTCATCCATTGACTTGATTTGGAAGTCAACCACGTTCCAGAATACACTACCAGACGGGTCTGGATCCGCAGGTTGGAGTTTTGAATCCGGGAAAAGGTCCTCAATCACCAATTGGCTTGTAATTCCACCCCCGACAGCCCAAAATTTGAACTGACCATCATCCTGAGGTGAGTATGTTACAGCATAGTACATGTTGCCCTCCGCTGCCCTCTCTGCAGTAAAAACTCGAATAAATGCGGATTCGTCTGGGTTCAAGGTCAAGGGCGAAGCGTCCTGGGATTGACTAGTTCGGTTCAACAAGTCCTTTGACCCAACCAGCTTTTGGCTTGCTAGGTTCCAAACTTTTAAAGAGTGGTTTAGCCCGACCACAAAGACAAACGCCTGATCGGAGGTTGTTGCAATCGCATTAGGGGTGTTAGGGTCCAGGAACCTGCCATCGTATTGCACCGCCTGCTCGCCGCTCCACTTGACGAGTCCGCGTAAAGAAAAGCTCCAGCTCTTTTCATCAAAAGTAACGGGGAACCAGTGGGATCCTAAATAGCGAACACAATTAGTTATACACTGAGCAAAAAAGGAAAAGAACTGGACGTCAGAGTAGAGGCATACCATCATCACCGACTTTCCTCGTCAGACGCAAAAGAGATCCGCTATCAAGAGAAATAAACAGCTCATAAGGCGAGGCAGCATATAACCGATGTGGAAACGAAAACCCCAACGGTGCCGGACTGCAGGTCTTGCACCAATCATTTATGTTTTCATCTATCAACTCTGGTTTCCGGAAGTATTCCGGCCTCATTGCGAATGTGTAGAGCTGCTTTGATCTCAGCATAACAAAAACACTAAGTGATTCATGGCCCTCCACGTCCGCCAGAGCTACGCCATGAGGTACGATGGTATCTTCAAGCTCGAGTCGAATAGCAACATTCGATTCATGATGATCCTGGGAGCTCTTCGTCAAATCAACAGCTCTTAGCTCAAGACAGGTGCCGTCGTCAATGACCCGCCAGAAGAACGATCGAGGGTAGGTTTTTCGTTTGCGGAAGTAGATAGAGCTCTGGGAGGCTAAGTATCGCCTTGCGAACGCGTCTTCATCCCGTATGGCATCGTTGTGGGCGGCCGTTGTTGAGATTTTGGCTCGTTGCTGAGCTCCATGCGATTTGATGGCGACGGTCACGGCGGGGTGCTGCGTGTTTGGGCCAATATCGACCTTCGTTCCCCTGTGTGTTATTAACATCTTCGTAATAGCCAGAGGAAATAGATCTGTCCCATCCGCGAAAAGGCTAGGAGTGGGAGAGATGGCGCTGTGGCATTGCTCTGTTGTAGCTTGTTCAAAGGTCGATTTTATTATTTTCAAAACTTGAAGATGCAGTTTAGCGCGTAAAATATTTAGGTTGACCAATACAAACTCTGTATTGACGCCGTATTTATCCAAAACAAGAGAACTACAGATAGGAAATAAAATGTAGTATTAGAATCAACGTATATGCTCGCTATTCATATTTGTATTCTATAGGTGCGTAATATAGACGAAGGAATCAGAAGCATGATGCATGAGAAGAGAGAAGTGGCAAGTTCCCCAAACGCCGAGCTAAATGAGTAGCAAAATCAGGGTAGAAAGTGAGAGGACAAGTCTAGATAGATCACGACTCCTTCTCTAGATCTTTGGGGCTAGGGTCTCCAATTCCGTCCTCATTAATGGCAAACAGACAGTCACTCTCCGGCAGACACGGGCTGTCGTAGATCTTGCAAATTCGGGTCTCTCCTCGGCCCTTCTTCAAACTCAGTCGCGTGGTACTTGCGTGGGCAATGATGTTACCACCAATGGGCTTCTTGGGATCAGGATTGAACATTGCACTTGGTCCGCCGTCGACTTGTGCGACAACCTGGTTAGTAATGACAACGGCAACGCCGAATTCATCAGCAAGGCGTTGTAGGGTGCGCATGAAGCGAGCCAGGTGGTTTTGTCTTGACGATAGCTCTCCACGGCCACTGAAATCCGTTCGGTAAAGCGAGGTGGCGGAGTCAACAATGAGGAGGGAGAACCGCGTCTCACACATCATCTGGGAAGCCTGGTTGAGCAACTGAAGCTGGTGGTCGGAGTTGTAGGCACGGGCATATGCGACGTTATCCAGCACTTCTTCACCCACGAGCCCATATCTTTGTGCCACAGCCAACAGACGTACGGGCCGAAAGGTTCCTTCGGTATCGATATAAAGACACTTGCCTTCACCACCGCCCATGTCGAATGGCAGCTGGCAAGTGACGGCTAGGGTATGGCATATTTGACTTTTTCCTGTTCGAAATTCACCGAAGAGTTCTGTGATGGATCCTGTCTCAATACCACCGGCAAGGAGAGTGTCAAGCTGCTTGGAGCCAGTAGTTATACATATCAAGTCCGCTCGACGAGAGTGCATTTCAGTCGCAGTTGTGAAACCCATAGGCACAATCTTAGCCGCTATAAATCAGTGTTAGAATATCGCCCATGCCCGTCAGCGCTGAAGGAAAGGAGTATAACCTTCTGTCAGTATTTTTGTAGCCTTTTGCTCTGAAATTCCCTTGATCTGCTCCAATACACGTTTTGGCCTAGGCAGAGTCAGCCTGTGCAGCAACAAAAAGCAGCCGAAGAGGGCTAGCTGTACTCCATATACTGGAAGGAATAGATATATATATATGGGGGAGAAATACGTATATGCCACTGCCTCGACAGTATGAAATCCTCCATCGGTAATCAGTTTGATGTCTCGTGCGGTTAGGCCTCCAACGCCCTATAATAGGTGCAAGAACAAAACTCGTTAGACTGTGTTTATAGGAGAGCAGAGACAATACAAAAGCATCGTGAACCAACCTCGAGGGCCGATAGAGGCGTAGGAGCGCCTGGTCCTGGAAGACCGTTCTCCTCCAACTCAGCCTGTGAAGCCTCCTCCGCAGTCATCCTGGTGGGATATATGCGCGCGTCTAAGTACACGTGTCGATCGGCTCTTACAAGGGTAGATTCCGCAGAACAGGAGAAAGAATAGCTGTATAAAAGAATAAACCTGCAAGATAAGGAATCAACTCTACGCAGAACAGCAAGACAGAAAGCCGACTCGAAGGGTTGATTCTGTTGCACTTTTCGATGCTTTTGATGCGTTCGACGTCGAAAAAAGTCGAAGGGAAAGACGCGTGTTCACGTGATGTAAATAGGGAAAACACTAAAGTTTCCCTTTTTACGGCTTTTAATCGCATTAATAATGTTGATAATTATTATTATGATTATGATTATTATTACGGACGGCTGATGGATGATGATAGAAGGAGGAAGACTTCCTGGGTAATATTTTTATCTTACTCATATACAAGAAACGCGCCAAACGAATCAAAATCTGTCGTTAGGTATCATCACGGTCGTAAGATGAGAGAGCTGGCTCTGGCAACCTACATGCATAGTTGCTGCCGTGGGAGCCGCCAAAGAGGTCGTTATCTCATTACTTCATGTTCTGGGCTCAGCTGGAAACGGTCTGTTGTCTCCATGGTCCTCCGAGCTGGCCGGTCTCAGCTACGTGGGACTGCCTGTGGCTGTATAGCGCCCGTAGATGGTCTTCGCCTTCCACGGGGATATGGCTGCTCGACTGATTTCTTGAGTGGGAGACGCTTCTGGGGTTTGCTTGTAGGTATGGTTGTTCTCTGCTCTCGCGCTCTGTCAGGTTGCGTCAGTATTATTTTTTCTTTGTTATATAAAAGTCATAGAGGCTTTGATGGATACGTACCAGCTTCGTCCGGAGGAGATGGCCGACGGCTTAATTCGTCGGAAATTTCTGTGCCAGAAGACCCTGAGCTGCTTTTGTTGTTAAGCTCTTCGACTGTGGCGGCTCCCTCGCGCTGTTCGTTCGTTTTGTTCAATGTCTCCTCCTCTCTTATGTCGACTGATAGAGCACTTCCTGGCGCAGGACTTTCGGCTTTAAATGACGAGACGGCCGCAGCTCCAAGGTCAAGATTGCTGCATGATGGAGTACCCGGTCTTGTTCCTTCAGGCGTAGCAGCCGGAATCGGACTCGCCAGGGGAGTGTTATTCTTGGACACCCAGATTCCCTCAATCTCGATTCCACTCTCGAGCGCGCGAGATCCAAAGGGTATAAGGTCGAGATCCTTTGTTCCCACAGTCGCTTCTTCCCCTTCTTTCTTCAGCTTCTCTGCCGCTCCGATCTTTCTTATCCTCCAGTTGTTGTAGATATGGACGCATGTGCCGTATATGAGAACAAGAGCCTGACGTGATGTGTTAGCAAAGGCCCTACGAGCGAGAGACAAGCCCATCGGCGGTTCAAGCATACAATAAGGCCACCAAGAACCTGTTTCCGCACGTTAGTATCTGGGTATATATAGCTAAGTAGCTGCCAAACGGCGTCCGGGTCAACTTACGAAGCACATCTGCTCCCACAGCTCCCAGTCCATCCAGAATCCCATCGTGGCTGATAAACGGCAGACGTAGAGCTGTCGATCTTGTTTATGCAACCATGAAAGAGGCGTATCTCCAGCTATCCAGCGATAAATGGCACTTCTGGCCGGTCGTAAGAAGCTGAGTGTTGACTTTGCCTGCAGGCAAAAGGAGTAGATCTGTGAATGTGACAAAATAGGCCGCAGGTCGTCACTGCCGTTGCTTTCTTTTTTGGTATAATATGTATGCAGCAACAAGAGAAGAAGAAGAAGAAGATGCAAGACTCTTCTATATCATCTATGAGAGAAAACAAGCCAGCCGCAGCGATGCAAATCAACGAGATACTCGATGTTGCTTTTTCTCTCTCTTTTATTTTAATCAACTCCAGCGATGTCCACGCAGCTGTGGTGGAACAAGGGAGAGACCACAGGCCGCAGATCAACTAGTTATATGCAAACAAATATCGACGACACGATGACTACTGACGAACGTTTATTAAGGCAAAGAAGATATCAAAAAAGGGGAGCCAGAAGATAAAATATCCAGCCAGAGTCGCATCCGCCACGCCAAAGGTTTCATCACTGAGAAAATGCAACGACGCAAGCGGCGAGCGCTGGCATCGGGCAGCGAATGTGAGACATATGTAACTAGCATAGCATGCATGGTGTTTTCTTCCGGCGCATTGGTTAGTTGGTTAACTCATATGCAGGTTGATAACTATATGAGACAGCGCGAGCCATGCCTGTAGATCGCGGACCTCGTATCGGTCGATTCAATCCATGGTATGCAGCAGTCGATACCGTCATTGAAAACGACTTCTGCACGACTGACTCTTGCTGTCTAGATATACATATTATCGTGCACTCGCCTAGCGATGGATCGGAGAGCCACGGCAGATCTAAGCATCTAGCATCGGCCCTAAGCTGGCCTGTGTTTGGCGCCGGCTTCGTTCGTATTCATAGCTTGCTTGGCTGAGACGATGATATCAGCGCCATTGTTGGCTGGAGATGCGCATCTCCGCATATACTTCGGTACTTCGCTCACACATGTCAGATCCTCGGGCTGATTGATGCACACTGCTTGGTTACTCGTTTCTTCCAGACTGTTTTGCTAGAGAAACGAGATATACTTCACTACAGGATTACACCGTTTTGCAGCCGTTGACTAGTGACGATGGCGCCGTTTCGTAACCTGTTCCCCAGACGCACTCCAGCCGTTACGGTGGAAGAAGCACCGGACGAAGCGGGCCAATTGTCCGCAGAGAAGAGCCCGGCAAAGAGTCCACGGCCGTCGCTGACGCTCGGGAGAACCAGTGTCGAGGAGCCTCATGAATATAAAATGAGTGGTAAAACGCTTCTGCCATCTGCAATCCTGACACCCGGACGTTCCGGGCATACGGAGTAGATATCATCATCATTATTCACTCCTCATCCATTATGGGCCGCATCCCTTGCCCCCTGATTCCTGACCCATGATAATAACCAGCATGCTCTCTCAGATATGGCTGACAGGTCGTCTCTCTCGCAGTCGTGAATGACAACGGGGTCTATCTTCCGGTATGAGGCTGAAATGGCGGCCCTTCTGTCCATGAACCAGCGCCCATACAACGCTGCCTCTACTCCGTATACCCCTACTGACTACTCGACTACAGCCTTCACCTACGGAGAAAAAGAGTTACTGGCAGAGGCCGTCGTCTCGAAAAGCCAGCCGGAACCTCGTTGATGAAAATGAGCCCTTTTCAATATCCCGCGAGTCGTTCGATTCGTATCGTCGTTCGTTTGTAAGACCAACAAAGAAAAGAAAAGAAAAAGACGCTCATCCATCCATAGCATAGGGCTAATCTAAAACCCTATAGGACATATCCGCTCGGTCTCCTGTGAGCCAACATTCGGACACTGCCGCATCACGCACGTCTCTTGACTCCCGCCTGTCCCGGACTTGTCCCCGTTCGATGCCAAACGGCAACACACTTGAACTCCCCAGAGACAATAATGGCAGCATGAGCGAGGTAGAAGATCCGTTCGAGGATGTCTCTCTGGCTGATGATTCGAAAACGAAGAAACGAGGGCTATTTTCTCGCTTTGGCGACTCATCTGCTGGGACCCAGGCATCGGGCAAGCCGACGTCTTCACACCATAGCTTCCACTTTCCCGGTAGACGGCGGGAACAAAGTGGGCAGGGTGCAGAGCTAACAAGCATGGATCGGGCTAACTAACCACCTAGGTTCATTAACCAGACGCTGTGCTCTTGTTCATCCCTTCTGCTTTGCTATATTGACGCACTATGATCCGCAGCAATCACCCATCTAGAGGGGCTGCTCAGGGGACTATCCTTCTCAACCTCCTGTTACCTGGCCCCTCCCAGCTAACTACCTAGTGTCGAATTCTGCACTCTGATTGCTGCTCTTGTTTTTCCTTTGCTTCTCCTTCTTCTTCTTCTGTTGTTTCTTCCTGTTCATCTTCTACGCCTTCCGCGGGCGATGTATATATCACGTGAGATACGGCTGCTTAGTCACTTATCAGATCAATGCAAACTGTGCAAACCTAGAACCGAGGAAAACTCAAAAATATAAAAAAATAAATCGAAGGAAAAGAAGAAAAAAGAAAAAGACGTTGAAATTCACTGTGAAGCAACTCGATTGTCGGGAGTTCTGCAGCTGGAATACACGAGATGGCGGGAATAAAGCGCAGGGCTGATGCGCCGGAGGCGTCCCACAGCAAAAGAACCAAGTCGAAGTCGTCGTCGGCGAAACCGGTTGAGGTGAAGGGAAGGTCCAAGCCAAAAGCCGCAAAGGTTGTCGAGGTGGACAGCGATGAAGATATGCTAGATGATGACGACGACGAGGAGGAGGACGAAGAGGAAGATGACGAAGAAGATGAGATGGAGGAAGACGGGGAAGAAGAATTGAGCAACGAGTCTGACCAGAAAGCAGCCGCAAATGGCACTTCAGAAAATAGTACGAAGCGAGATCGTCTTCCCATTTACTACAGCTGTTGCAGATAACTAATAGCTGGCTTGGACAGAAACAAGCACATCCAGAGAATCTCACGCAAAGCAGAAAGCGCTCGCACAAGAGCGCAAAGCTGCCAGACCCAATGCCGATGCGATTGCACGCACAAAGAAGATCTGGGAACGACTACGGCGGAAATCCCATGTGCCGTGTGAAGAGCGCAAGAAGCTGGTGACCGAGCTATACGGCATCATAACAGGTCGAGTAAAGGACTTCGTTTTCAAACATGACTCTGTCCGAGTCATCCAGACGGCGCTCAAGTATGCGAACCTAGAACAGCGGAAGAACATTGCCGTGGAACTAAAGGGCGACTATCGGAGTTTGGCGGAGAGCAAGTACGCAAAGTTTCTGCTTGGAAAACTGCTGGTACATGGAGATGCAGAGATACGGGATCTGATCATCCCGGAGTTCTACGGCCATGTGAAAAGGCTGATTCGACATCCAGAGGCCTCGTGGATTCTGGACGACATCTACCGAACCGTGGCCACCCCCATGCAGAAGTATAAGCTGCTTCGAGAATGGTACGGGATGGAGTTTACGCTTATGAAGAATGAGACCAGCGATGAGATACTGTCGTTGCCTGAGATACTGGAGAAGAGCCCCGAGAAGCGTGGGCCTATACTCCAGCATCTCCACGGTATGATCAACCAGCTTATCCAGAAGAAGACTACGGGCTTCACCATGCTGCACGATGGAATGCTGCAGTACTTCCTCAGCACGAAGCCGGGCAGCGAGGAAGCCACGGAGTTCATCGAGCTGCTAAAGGGAGATGAAGAAGGGGATCTAGCGAAGAACCTTGCATTCACCAAGTCTGGCGCCAGACTGATGTGTCTTGCGCTGGCATACTCGAACGCCAAAGACCGAAAGCTGCTGCTGCGAATGTACCGTGATACCGTGAAGCTGATGTCCGGAGACGTCCACGGCCACACTGTGCTCTTGGTGGCGTACGAGGTTGTGGACGATACCAAGCTGACTCAGAAGCTGCTGCTGTCTGAGCTGCTTACCCAGGACGACCTGGTGCCGCGGGCTAACGACCAGCTGGCCCGCATTCCGCTGCTCTATTCGTTTGCGGGCAGGAAGAACGGATGGCTGATCACTGATACAGACCGGCAGATCCTGGACGAAGTGTTTGAGATTCGATCACAGACGTCTAAAAAGGACCCCGAGATCCGCCAACGGGAGATCGTCGGCGCTGCTTCTCCGGCTCTACTTGAATGTATAGCCAACAACGCCGCTGCCCTGGCCGAGACCAGCTTTGGAGCCCGTTTTATCACGGAAGTCTTGTTCGACAGCACCGGCGACAAGACTGATGCTCTCGAGGCGGTAGCCAGCCTGGCAGACACTGATGCAGAGGCAGGCACAGAGGCAGATGCAGAGGGCAATGTCCTCAGGTCTCCTAACGCTGGCCGAATGCTCAAGGCACTCGTCCAGGGAGGGCGGTTCAACAATGCCACGAAGAAGGTAGAGCCCGTCCAGCCTCCGCTCAACTTTGCCTCGCTTCTGTACAAGCACATCAAGGGTGACGTGCTGTCGTGGGCCACCGAGTGGAATCCCTTTGTGGTCGTTGCCCTGCTGGAGTGCGAGGAGTTTGACAAGAGAGACGAGCTCGCAGCTACCTTGAAGAAGAGCAAGAAACAGCTAACAGATCTGGCCAGCAAGCCCAGCAAGTCCAAGGGAGACGGAGAGGAGAAGCGGAATCCTGCCAGCAGCGCTGCAAAGTTGCTCCTGGAGAAGATTGCATGATGTGAATTGAACTGAACTGTCTCTGTGCTCCGTCTCGACTGCAATTTATGTCAATATATGCCCTTGATCTGTCACACCCTGAGACTCACCACCACCTCCCTCTCTGTCTCTATGTCTCTCTTCCACCCTCTCCCTCTCCCTCCCTCCTATTCTCTTGTCCATCCCCTGTCCGCCCCAGGCTGACCCAGGGGGCAACCATACAGACACTCGTGTGCGCCTCCACAAAAAGCAAAAAAGGGGCAAGGAAGAGAAAAAAGAAACCACAGAGTAAAATAAAAATTATTACGAAAAATTAATGGAGAAAGCAGAGATTAAGCACAAGACACGATCGAGAGAACCGCAGAGGACGGCAAATCTATCTCATCCGTACGAAGTATGTATAGTAGACGTCATGCCGGCTGTCAATTGACCCTTATTCTCACTGACCCGTGAATATCTCCCGTATCTACGGAGCATAAAGGATAAAGGACGATGAAGCCAAAGAAGCAACACCAGCGGCCTAAGAATCAATCAATATCAAGTCAGGCAAATAACTAACGAGCAGCCCAAGCAAGGCCGTGGAGCAGACTAAGCCCTACCCTTACTTACTATCAGTCTGCGGTCTCCATGCTTCTTTTGCTTCTTTTGCTTCTTTTCCTTCTTCTGCTTCGATCTCCTTCTTCCTCGTCCCTTTTTCCCTGTCCTTAAGCAACGAGAGAACCGGATCTGCTGCCGCTGGTCCTTGCTATCCCGGCCGTCCCGTCCATTCATCTCTCGATATACGAGTCTCTCCTTTTTCTTCTTCTCCTTCTTCTCCTTCTCTTCTTCTCTGTCTTTTTCTCTTTCTCTTCTTCTCTTCTTCTTTTCCTGTTCTATAAAATATCGAAATAGACCGAGCTGCGGCCTCCCCTGTCCATATAGAAATCTACATATACACTTATATCACTCTATACATATACTATGCTATATTAATATCACACACACCCCTGGCTCGACGGAGAATAAAAAAAAGAACCAACAGCAGGACAACTGCCTCGCGCACGGCAGCGTCTCTCAGCTGTCTTCTTTGCCCCTTTGCCGTCCGCCGTGAGACACCAGAGTCAAGCTTCAGCGGCCAGCGGCGCGCAGGGGACGCTACCAACACTTCCAGCTGCTGCGCCTTCGCCTCCTCGCCCACGCCGGCCATTAAGTATCCGCACTCGCATCCACAGTCGCAGTCGCATCTACTATATCTAGATCGGCCCCGGGTCGCAGGTAAAGCATGCGCTGTTGACGGGACGAAACACGCCATGCCCAACACCGTCGTCTCCAGCATGGCTCCGGCCGGCCATAACGACAAGCTGGGCCTCAGCCGGGCGACTCTGGCTCCCTCGCCCACGCTGACCAACCCGGACATGATACTCCCTTACGGCGACAGACGCGAGTCCTCGACCCCGTCGCCGGCGCTCGAGGACCTGCAGCGGGCGGCGGAACACTCCAGGCTGCTGGCCAACAGCTACTCGCTCATGCACCAGCGCAACACCTCCATCTCGACCACCACCTCCTACGACCGCAGCTCCTCTGGGCACGACGACTCGATACACCATTACACTGCAGACAGCTCGGCTGAAGGGTCGCCGCGAGTGACTGTGGGTGCGGGTGCGGGTGCGAGTCCGGGCGCCGGCACAGGCACAGGGAACAGCGGGCTTATGCGATCGTCCCATATGGCGGATATAGATCACTCGACAAGGACGCATTCGAGACGGCAGAGTAGGGCCAGCACCAACAGCCTGGACGGGTTCGCGGATGCTGCTGGCTCCTCCTCCTCCGGGCTCGGTGCGAACAACGGGCTGTCCAAGCGGCATTCGAAGCTCAGAGAGCTGCAGGATCTGCCGGATGGGTTCTTTGAGCAGGATAATAAAGCGCATACGGACGACGACACGACCGCAGACGACCTGAGTGCCGTGGTCTTTGAACCGGAACACCGTATGCTCCCCATGGGCGCAATTGCAGAGGAGGATGAAGACGGCGAAGAGAAGACGGAGACGGAGAAGGAGAGGGATACGGCAGACAAGAGCGACAGAGTCTACGATGAGCTAGAAGAGCTCACTTCTATGCTGGAGAATGCAAAGCTGAAGCTGACGGTATGTGCTGTTGCCCCTGCTTGTTATATTATACGCAGTGATATTTCTAACATTGATTACTACTAGCATATGGAAGGCAACCTGAGTCGCGCAAGGAGCTCGTTTCGCATGACGCCGTCACCTTCGCCGTCCCTGAATCGGTCCTTTGGCAGCGTCGGAAATTCATACTATAAGCCTCTCGCAAAGGGGGAGAGACGTTCCCAGACTTCTCTCGCAGGCGCATTGCTCCGTCAACGGGCTCATCAAGGGTTTGCCGGAAACGGATCCCATCTTCGAGGACAGAGTGATCTCGGTTCTCCGTCACAATCGTCTTACAACCGGCTATCAGGCATGAACGGGCAATTCAGGTCATACAGTGCTCTGGGGTCCACCAGTGCCTCTGAGTATAAGAACGGATTCTTCTCCCATGCAGAAGAAGAAGAAGAAGAAGAAGAAGAAGAAGAGCAAGACAACGGCACCAAGCAGCAAACGACCGAAACCAACGCCCTAGACCCTGAAGCTACCACTGACGGGTCCATTTCCAGGACTCCCTCGTCGCAGTCTGCATCTATACCAAACGCACAGTCACGGACATCACCTCTTCCCAATGGTGACATCAAGAGCTCGCCTTCATCCTTGAAATCTCCCCTATTGATCAACAAATCTGACTCCAGCAGCCAGTCCACAACTCCTCCATCTCCCGCCAGCGCACAGCTTCAAATGCGTGGTCTACAGGGCCAGGTAGATGGCCTAAGGTCAAAGCTTTCCTCACTCAAAGAAAGGACCCAGGAGGAATCCATTCGCAGACGTAGCCAGCAAAGCCTGCGGACACCCAGCCCGTTTACCGTAGCAGATGAGAGCTACACCAATCCTCTCGAATTAAGACGTTCTTCGTACCCAGATACTCTCTCCACCCCTAATTATAATAAGACGCAGTCTCCTCCTCCTCCTCCACCAGCTGCTGCATACAAAGAAGAGAACCAAGATACTACATGCAAGCCATCCCCAACTCGGTCTGATGAGCAAGATAAGCCGAAAGCCCTAGACGTGGAAGACAAAGAGATTGCCATAGAACCCGTCCAGAAGTTGGCGTCGAATCCCTTACAGGACACCACCGAAAGCCCCATCGAAGGACCAGTCGAAGAGCCCGAGCCCGTCGAGGAGCCAGTTGACGGGCCCATCCAAGGCCCTGCTCAAGCCCCCGTTGATAACACTGCTAGGGGAGTGGCTGAAGAAACCGACGAAAGCGAGTCCGAGTACTTTGACTATTCAGACTATGAATCTGAATCTTCTGAGATTGATCGACAAGAACTCGAAGAGATACTACGTGAACCACTGTCCAGCCCACCTGAATCCGTGTACCAGGACATCTTGGAAGAGTTCCCTTCCGTCCCAGCGGGCCAGGAGACTATCCGTCACGAGGACCGCATTGATGCCTTTGACTACGAGCATTTCATCCTACACAGTGCGCTCGGGACATACTCGAACCGATTGACCCGCTCGGGAAGCTTCTGCTCCGTTGGATCTACCGAAACCACACGTCCAGATGGCCGTGAAACGCCGAAGAACCGCTCAGCCCTTTCCAGAGTTACCAGCAGCGACTCGATTTCGACAGAAGCCACGTTTGCCACCGCAAATGAAGGAGACTATGGCTACGATGACGCTCTGGCCTCGCCCAATGGCCATGGACCCTATCCTAGTAAGTAGGATCTCTTCCTTTTTTGTCACTCCCAGCGCCAGTGCTAACATGCATATCACAGAGAGATTATCGCCTCAATACACCGGCGATTCCTTGACCATTCCCACCCGCCACTTTACCGACAGTACATCCACTCTTCCCAGTACACAGTCTGCCTCATCAACACCCCGGGCCTCCATTGCCTCAGTGGCTGCATCACACGAAGAAAACGCCGCATTATTAGCCTCTATCTCCGAGCTTAAACGGGCCGCTGCCGCTCCCCAAACTCCAGACTTGCTTGTCAGATCTATCTTGTCCTCAGCCGCTAGCGCAAAAGCCAGTGACGAGTCTGCAATATACTCCCCCCAGACCGGCAGCCTATGCGATGCTGATGCGCAGCTTGTAGAGGCAGTTGTCCAGAGTCTTGGAAATGTGAGCCTTGAACTCCTTCGAGCTTCAACGGCTGACCTCCAATCTCCCATCGATAACCGGATCGTGACCATCCTACGACGCAGATTAGATGCTGCCCGGAGAATTCTGGACGGCGTAGCACCCTTGGAAGCCAATCCTTGAATCCGCTCATTTCTCAACCCATTTTCTTTTCTGGATATCCCATATTTACACGTATAATTTCGTTTCTTTTTTTTTTCCTTTTCGGCCTGGCTGAACGATTTTCATTTGTTACAATACCACAAAGATTTGCTTGTTGCGTTCATTTAATTCCTTGATATCTCTGCTGCTACTATATCCTCTGCTCTCTGGCTTTCTTGGCTTCTTTCATTCTGTTTTATTTTTATTTATTGGTTTGTTTTGGGAGGAAAACTTATTTGACAGGTTTCCTTTGCTATACCTCTATGGTTTCCACCCGTTTTCTTTCACTTCCTCTCTCTCTCTCTCTCCTAGCATCCAGTTAAAATATATTGTACATGAACGTTTAGAAGCAAATCCCTGCATGGGTATATGAATACATTCGGCCTTGAGAAGCCAACTCCATGCTGCATGAACAGACGGGCGTATCGCGAGAACGATTAGAATTAAAAACAAATAGTCATAATAATAGATGCTAGGTATGAAAGGAGCAGAAAAGGGAGAAAGGTAATCATCGTTTGGAATATTCATCATGGGGCTTGCATCATCAGTCGTAACGAGAGGATCGGAGAAATAAAATATGAACTGATATTACTCATTCGAAAATTTGGCGGAGAGAACCACCATCGACGAGTATTTGAGATCAAGGGAACGAGAATCATTGGCGTCGAAATCAGCTGCTTGGCGAGCATGTAAGTATTGATCTAGAATTCATCATTGGTCAGTCGGATGTCGAATGTCGGATCTTCACAAACTTGAGGAAGGGGGTGGGGGTCGTACAGTCAACACCAACACAATCGAACCAACGACAGATATCCTTATCGCTGCTATCCCTCGCTCTGATGGCGCCTGTAGGAGAGACCACAAAGGCCGGAGCCAATGATCTCATCTTCAGATGCTGAGAGACCACACCAGAGAACGTTTCGATCTGGGAGGCAAAGCACGAAGGCTGTCGTTCCAGCGGCCACTAGTTCTTCGTTAACACAATAATATTCAACGGTAATGTCGGATGGAACTCACCCGCTGGATGTAATGCTCGCATTCCCATGATCTAAATAGCCACTCCATCCGTTCAACACAATTGAGCAGGATAATAGTGGCCAGGAAAGTCCGGAAACTACCAAGCCGCTGCTTCTGAAGCAGCCTTTGTTCAAATTTACTGAGCAAGACCCTACACACTCTCGCTGCTCTTTTTTCGACGGCAGAGCGTAATTGTGTGCATATTAGAGAGTATGACTCCAATTGGTTCATACTGTGTATCGGAATCCGCGACTCATTTGTGGTTGATGTTAGCGGCCTATTTGCCAGTGGGGGCAGAGTAGGGTTCATATAGACCGTCCATTTGAGAAACGGATCTACTAATATCGCAGTAGCTACCCATAACTCCAATGCTGCTTCTAGCATATCATCCTAATCTCACGAGTTAATAACCATCACCAGCTATTAAAAGGGGATAATAGTCAGTTGGGCAGGGACATACCTCGTGTTGTTTGGAAAGTTCCGATGCTTGGAGAAGTGTCTGTCTGATGAAATCAGATTGCTCACTCTCAATGAACAAGCTAGATGTCTTGCGGATATACATGTCAAGCTTGCCACTCAGCTCCTCTATCTCGCCATCTAGAATATGCACATAATGCGGCGGCCCTTCCAGTATAGAATCAGCGGAAGAGGTAGGTAATTGGTTATCAATTCCTTGGCCGGCTTGTCGTTGACCATATAAGGCAGAGAATGTCAGAAAGCTTAGCGAGTCTAGTTCGAAGTGCATGACCTCGATTCGACCGGCTGAGGGTTCGAACTGTATCTCACCCTTGATACTTTGAACATCATGAAAGGCCATTGTTGAATGGAGTCCTACCGCTCGGTTAGTCTAGAGTTGTTTGGCGCATACAAGCAGTCTACTTACCAATTGAATATGACTCTAATTGGTTCATAAGGCGAGTTCTGATGCAGCATTCCATCCAAACGCGCGGATTCTGAAGATTCCGGCACTGACCACAAGGTGTTCCAGCTGAGCACTGATATTATGAGAAATGTTAATATACCATGATTATATGCTAGAGAGTAGTGAATAAGATATGTACTGACCGTTTTCTTCAGCATCCGACATCGAAGACAGGCCCCCATCTTCCTGACTACTCTCACTTCTTTCCTCCTCTCTTCAGAGAAAGTCGACCGCTTTTTGTTTGACTTCTTGGTGTCAACCACCTCACAGAAGAAATCACCATTGGACTGCTGAACTTCGGAGTTCGTAGTAAGAGGCCGAAGGTAAACTCCGGGGCGTTCATTCGATGTATGAGGAATACCCAACTCAGCAGTAATATGATTTTGAATCATCATTTCGTCTGCAGTTGGCAATTCAATGGTAGGCGAAAGGCCAATGGAGGCCTGCGGCGGTGCGGTGTGGGATGGAAGCTGCCACGCATCGGACTTTTGGTGGCACATGGCCGCTGACTCTAGATTGCTAGACGGGTCCTCGGTCACCATTTCGTTTGCGGATGCTGCAATTAATGAAAGCTGAGACGAATGAGGATCTGCGGGTGTGTCCACGGGGAGCAGAGCATGCACGGCAGGCATTGGAAGGGGTGATGTAGCATCTACGGAAGACGTCGAAAAGAAAGGGGCAGTGGGCGACGATGTGTGGATAAACTGAGCGTGCAATTCAGCTTCTAAATAGGCGTTAGCGCATAAGCTCTGAGAATGCAGCATTGCTAGCGGCTTTCTTACCAAGACTGAACTTAGATGAAGTCTCGAGCGCAGGATCAACCACCATGTCGCGATCAGCAGCACTGAGTTCTAGTATTCGATCCTGTATTTGGCCTTCATTCGAGGCACCGACTCTCCTTGACGCCTCAGCAAGTACATTGAGGCCATTTAGGCTGGGACCATTCTGGAAGTTTGCAGCGCGTTTCCCACGAGCTGGGTCGGCCATTGCTGCGGCGCTCGAGCTGGGAGCAGGCTGGCCATGGCGTATAGCACCTTTATCTCGATACCGGTTCGCGGCCGCGCCAGACAAGAATGCGACCCGATCCCTGTCCGCCGTGGAGATTGCCGGGCATATCTTCGTGATATGGTTAATCAGAGTATCTGGACGGCCCTTTAAGAACTTCTCCCCGCAGAGCTTACACGTATGCTCATACCGGTTGCTGGAGTCAGGCAGCTTCTCACCACGGTGGAAGAACTCGGTGATAAGCGTGTTTGGCTTGCGACCCATGGTGGTAGAGAAACAAGCAAGTCATCAAAAGGTGAAACCAAGTCTCAGTAAGAGCTTGCTATACCATCATTTAGGTATGGAGAAATTTCCGGGCGCGTCTTTGGGAGGGACCCATAGTATCACTTTGGTGAGATATCAATATGTGGAAGAACAGCTGCTACAAGGGTAGTCAAGTAGCTCGCGGAGTAGAACAGCAGGGGATAGATAACTTTGGCTGAAAAAAATAAAAGATGAAGTGGCAGTCTTATTCCATGGCAAGCTCCCAACCGGGTCAGCAATTCCTGGTTGACCGCGGTATTCTCCGTGCCCTCGCAGCTCTGTCTTTCAGTCGCCTTAATTGCGTTGTTGCTCCTTCTTCGGCTTCTTCGACTTTTTGATATCTTTGAAATGGCAAAATCAAGCTCCCTGGAGGCGGTGTGTTTTCTGACACTCTCCGCCGCCTTTTCTAACTTCTTTTGAAACGGAGAAATAATTTTCCGATAACGCATCTCAACGTCAGCTTTCAAGATCTATATAAACACAGCGAAATATATACATCCACGAAGAAGAAAAAGGAGACAGAGATTCAGCAAACTCGATGCTCCGGAGGCCGCCATGGCACTGCAAGTAGCTCGAAGATCCGCTTTTCGTCTCGGCTTTCCAGGAGATGGCCAGCGTTCAGCTTCACCCTACCAGGTCCTCGCATGATATCAGAGAAGAGACCTCTCTGGTTCAAACACATACCCTTCTTACTTGCCAGCAACCGTAGGCTCCGGTTGAATATATCGTTGCCTGTAAAATATATCAAGGCAGCACCGAGTTCATCCCCAGGTACAAATAGCAAGTCTATACGGCGCCATACAGGGTTTCCAGGGAGCGCCGAAGCACCATGCCACTTTGACCCATCCGCCTTCGAGGACACTGCCAGGCCTGTTTTCAGAAAGCCTCGTTCAAACAGCTGCGGGACAATTGTGGTCATGATCTGATCATGTATCTCCTGCAAAGGGGCTCCTTCTTTGGTTAAAATGAGATCGATGTCTCCGCTATCGGCAGCTCCACGTCTGTACGAGCCCCCGATAATAACGGTATACGATTTATCCATGGTCAAAACAGCCTCCCGCACGATAGCGCCATGTGTCTCTACCTCTTCTCGAGGTATCCGTTTCCGAAAGTCATCGTATCGTTCAATCCCAATTCTTTGGTTAGTGGTTAGGTGAGCTCGGTTCTTCAAATCGTCCAAGGATTTATACCCCTGCGCGATCCATTTAGAAGCTTGTTGATACCCAACCCCGTATATATTAAGGAATTGGGAAAGTAAGACATCTTTTGGTTCCATGTTCGCTTGCTCCAGTCGCCGGAGCCTGTTAGTCCATACAATTTCCTCGATTTTTGCCGCCAAGCGTTCACCTATTCCCCTTATCTTTAAGGCCTGGCTTTTTGTCATTACTCTTTCATTTTCCCTGCGTAGAGCAGCAATTGCACGCCTATATGCAAGGCAACGCCACTGGTCAGCAGTTCGCTCATAGTAGCTAAGCATTTGTTGCAAAACCTCGATTGTGCGAAAGTTAGGATTATCCGCACGGTCTTTACCGTCCATCCTTTTCATGCACGTAAATGATTTCTGCCATGCAGGACAGTCATTAGCGCGGCCTGATTTATATTCTCCTGGGATAACTCCGTCATCTTCCTCATCAGAGGAGTCCAGAGGCTGACTATATGTCAGTTGATCCATTCATGGCTTTTTCTTTTTTGGCTTTGGCGGACATAAGGACTCACAAGAGCAGCCATATCTTTTACATGCCTGATTGCCATATCCAAGTGATCTGGCTCAGATTCTTGCATATCATCCTGGCTACTTGTATCTTTGTCCAAAGAATTGAGAACTGATCCTGGCGGGGCTGGAGGCGCTTCTTCGGCGAGCTTGCCTTCAGTCTTTGCAGGGCCAGCATCTCGACAGCCGCCTGTAAGAGTGGAATCATGTCGTTTCTCGTCGCGAGGTATAACCTTCGGTTCAAGCAGCAACCTCCGTTTAATTTGAAAACGGGGGTTGGAAGCATCCAATATTCTTCGGTTCATTATACATTCAGAAGGATAATTCTCATTTACCAGGATAATCTTTTCCTATACGAAAGTGTCAGGCACTCAACAATTACCATAGCTCCACCTGGAAACTTACTGGGACCGAGGAAACCTGGAGATACTCGACCACGTCCTCATAATTAAGCCGCTTTTCTGCAACTATATGTGTGACAGAGCTGTCGAACTTTGTCGCGCGGGTTGCGCCAAATTCAAGGACCCTTGAAATGGGAATTCGTCTAGCTTGTGATATGTCATCGTTAGGGATAAAATCTGCGAACCGGTTAGTATTCTCGTTCCGCTTATATTCACCTGGCGAATCCGCCATTTGACTTACAAAGTACAAGGCCGTTAAGAACCGATGAATGGCTCTTCGCAATATTAAAGGATTCTTTGGACTTCTTCTGCTTGCCATCCCTTGCCAGCTTTAGCTTCTTATTAGGCTTTACCGAATGATCAGCGTGTTGCATTCCCATAATCTCTCTTTCGGAAGCTCCCTGAGTTGACGCTTGCTCTAAGCTCGTATCTTGACCTGCAGTACTGTTGTTGCCTGCTCTTCGGCGGCATTTTCGTAACGTAGATATAACACCATCATCGTAATCATCCTCATTCCCCTTATCTGAAGCGTAAAGCTCTCCACAGAAAGCTTCCTTGTCCATGGGCAGAGACGTATAGGCGTGTCATTTTGCAAGACCGAAAGAAATAACTCCAATGCCTTTATATAATTGTTCTCCCTCTGTCCTCCCTGGCCCCAACCGCGAACCGTGGTTCCAGGCAGCAGGGGCGAGTCGGCGGTTTAATGACCTAAATAGTTAGCCACGTGATGGATCTCACCAACCGACGGTTCAAGCTTCAAAGATTTGCAAGTTACAAAGCTCACGACCAACTCAGCAAACAAACTAGCAAAGAAGCAGCCGTCCGAGTTGTGAGGAGGGTCCTGGTTATTCAATTCGTTCTTGGACAGTCATTGTAAGTTCTGAAGCTCCGCTAGATTGTAAAATTATCATCACTCTGACTACTGCGGCATCTAGGTTTTGTATTCATTTACGACCACAATGAGCCGGCACCAGGCAGTCTCCTCAATCTTTGAGGCTGGCTTGTTTCGCCGGAGCTGTTGCAATTCATATAGACTCTCATCATGCCGTCAATTCAGCTTGTCAAGCCAATGGCGGCAACAACAGACGCAACCGCAACCGCAATCGCAACAGCAGCCGCAACAACGAAAGCTGAATATTCCGCCAGCTATTGAACAGAATCCCGTGGCCTTAAACAAGACCGAGGTTAAACAATTTACACCAAAGCCCTTAAAGCGTCCGCTAGGATTACCATATGCCCCCGAGGAAGGCCAGAATACCGGCGTTGACAAAAGAACATTGCGACAGCGCGGAGGAGACCTTGTAGACAAGGAGAAATACCAACAACGACAGTCAGAATTGTAAGGCCGAACACATATTTCCAACCATAAACTTCCGGCAAGGGGCGCATATGCTGACCAAGTGCAGGATAAAAGAATATAGCAAACCATACTACCGGGAATGGCACCGAATGAACTACCACAGCGGAAAAGTATTCATCTGCAATCCCCGTTTGTTCAAAGAAGACTTTTCCTTATACTTCCCCAACTTATTTGGTCGAACACTCCTGCGATCCAATCCAATGCAGCATACAACACCAGTTCTTCGCGGCAAAATATCCCTTGTTCGAGTGTTTGCCAGTCTGTGGGCAGAGAGCCAAACGGTTACATTCGTTGGTGAAAAGGAAAACCCCGAACTACAGAAGATAATCGCCGATGCTGGTCCATTAGTTCAGAAGGTCGATATTAACAATGAAGATAACTGGCTTAAGGCACTCCTTGTACGGTTATTCATGGGTAGTATGCGACGGAAGATGCTAAAGGAGCAACACGGGAGATACTTCTTGGTCAGGAAGGGGTTTACAAATTACCTGAAAGATCAAATAGGGATGCTTAACGGGAAAGTTGGTTATGTTTATCTTCTGGATGAGAATTGTAAGATCAGATGGGCTGGAAGCAGCATTGCTGGGGCCGAGGAGTTAGAATCCTTGAACAGGGGCTTGCAAAAGCTGGTGAGTGAAAAGAGAGCAAGCCAGGAAGCGCCGAGGATCATCTCAGCATCAGAAATACAAAAAGCCGCTCAGACGGCTTGAAGCGAGCGTTTGATTTTTTAAGATAATGTACGATATTGTATATAGACATTAGCCACCGTGTGCGGCAGCGGAAGCTTGGAACACCAAAATAAGAGACAGAAACACAGAAAGCCCGATCATATCATATCATATATCAAATCTCAACGCCTGCTAAACTCATGCCCTGGGAACGCCGCACGCCGCATCAAATTTATACACAGGCCGAGGCACGGTGATCAATCACCTGAAGAAAAACACCATTAAACAGCAAATTCCGATAAAAGTGCCTAGGATGATCCCGTCCCGTCTTCTCTTGGCACCGATCTTGTTGATTAGATTATTGACGCCGGGTATCTGGCTGGCAGCACCAACGATACGACGATTAATGCTAGCTAGCGTTTCTCGCTGCAAGCCAAAGTTCTCATTGACGGCGTAAGCCTGGCTCAGGACACTGTCCATCATGTTGTGACTGTTGTCTAGTCGCCCTCTTTCCTCAAGCATGTAGTCTGCCTCTGCTCCGGCAGGGTTAGATGCGCGGTACGCATCTATGTCCGACCGAACATTCGAAAGCAAGTTCACACGGTCTCGAGTCTCTGATATAGTCGCCTTTAGACGCTTAAGTTCCTGGCGATGTTCAAGGAGGACTTCCCGGTGGCGGGAGAGATTGTTCTGCTTCAAGGCAGAGGCGGTCAAAGCGGACTCGGAGTCAAGCAGGCGGGAGAGTTGTGATATAAGGGTTTCTCGCTAGAACAGCGCATACGCAGTTAGTCTATAGTTATGTAGAAAGAACGCGCGTGGGGTATCTGCGACGTACTCTGCTCAGGATATCCTGGATCTGAGCTTCCAGCCTGTTCTCATCCTCTGATGGTTTTGTCGGGAGCTGGCTCATGGAAGCATACTGGGCGTACGAATGGAACAGAGACTCTGTCTAAAGCATATATCATTAGCAAACGCCCAATATCCCGGTGCCAAACTATACGGAGTTGCCTATGGTATAACTAACATACCTGAGTCTCAAGAGACCGGGCCTGTTGGCGGAGCTGTGCCCACCCAGTCCCAGTCGAGGTCGTCATGGTATCTCCCAGACGATAATGTGTATAAAGTTATATCACAAACACCCAGCAGTCACATATCATATATCGCCGTCTGTCCACTCTGTCTTCTTGCCGCTGCTCGTTTGTTGTACTCCGTATCTTTTCTCCTTCTGCGTCTTCATCGTCTTCGATCATCAAAAGATGACCTAACAAGTCTTGGCAACCGTCCTCCACGTGACCACTTACATAAGCCCGCTTAGAAGATCGCGAAACGGAAAAAAAGCCCTAAAGTCCCACAAGTTCGACATTTCACGACGAGAAACTTCGACATTCAGCTTCTTCAAGGTCGGCATCAACATCGACAACATCGCAACCAGTCACCATGGTACGTTCAAAAATGGCGAAAAGAATGGCACCCTATTGCGATCCGAGGCACCAATGCTAACTTCTGTGTTTTTTCCGTTTAGTCGTCCGCCAAAGTCAAGACCGGCCAGCTCTGGGGCAAGAGCAAAGAAGACCTCACCAAGCAGCTCGATGAGCTGAAGACCGAGTTGGGCCAGCTCCGTGTCCAGAAGATCGCTGGAGGTTCCTCTTCGAAGCTCACCAGAATGTATGATTCTACGTCCAGCCCTTGCAGATATTTTCGCTTTTGAGGAGAACTTTTTAAACCTGGGATGGAATGAGGGGAGAAAGAAACAAAGACGCCAGGCGAGAAGTTCGGGAACAATATGGGATTGCGATTCAAGTTCTGGGATGACAGGCTGACATGGACGGATTTTGAATTGAATAGTCACGATCTCCGCAAATCCATTGCAAAGGTCCTCACAGTCATCAACGCCAACCAGCGCTCACAACTCCGCCTCTTCTACAAGAACAAGAAATACCTCCCACTTGACCTCCGAGCAAAGAAGACCCGCGCCATCCGACGACGACTTACCCCACACCAGGCCGCCCTCAAGACCGAGAAGCAGAAGAAGAAGGAGATGCACTTCCCCCAGAGGAAATATGCCGTCAAGGTATGTCCCTCCGCAAGCGACTCTCGTTAACTACGGGTGAACCAGAGAAGGGCAATACTAACTACGCCCCAAATTTATAGGCATAAACGTTTCCTTATTTCCCTCTGGTTCAAAGTTTCAAAAAGCGGCGCATTCCCTCTTCGGTTGAGCTTGCTGCGTCTTTTATGAATAGCTGTGGATGTATCAATAGAAGATGCAATGACGCGGCAATTATGAAAAATGGAAAAATAATTCATTGAACTTCAGCTCTTCCAACAATTCCCTACCTTCGACGTACCACTCGGTTTTAATATTGCTGAGGAGATGCACGCTTTTCATACATGGGCGAACTGGCTGCTCGGATGTGGTTCATATTAGATACCAATGGGCTTTGATAGGATCATCTACTATTTAGGCAATGTCAAAAGCAGGTGCTATTATCAAGTCCTAATAATCCCTTTGATTAATTTGGTATTGAATGAGGAACTAAGCCGCCACGCAGTTTATGTCTGTAGACGATACTCGTAAGGAATAATAGCTGTTGAAACAAGATGGCCTGCTCGCTATTACATTATTACCTGGCTATCTCCATCCAGGCAAAGCAGTAGAGCCCTTTACGCTACTAGCATTGCTCATGGACCACATTCCACCACAAGTACACGCTCGGAGAACAGAAGTTCTCATCAACATCTTCACGGCTGCCACAGACTTGGGTGGAATATCCTGTGATACTGCACAGCATCGAACGCACCTTCGGCTCGACCGTGCAGTACCGCTTGATTCATCCAGAGGTATTAAAACTTTCCGAAGGATGTCGATTTCGTACTTGTGTCTGAATAGATCTGCTCTTTTGTCATCACCAACGCCCAGCCAGCTGTAGTCTTGTAAAAACAAATACATGGGGTTGGCTTCATTCCGTATCATGGGGACCGTCTTGGTCAGGATTGTAGTGACTGCCGGCTGTAAGACGGGGGGTATACTACCATTGATAAGTAGGTCTCGTTCAGGGGCTGCCCGGTCCGCATTATTGAAGCCTGCATTTTGATAGGCATGTTTAACATCATTCTCAACGCTTGCAAGAAGCTTCTCATATACGTCCACTTTCAGGGCTGATTCTGTGATCACCGTCACTATTTGAGAATAGATTTGGTAAGATTCATTGCTGAGATTTGTTGCAGTCCTAAATCCGTTAGCTAGGCCACGGAGACCGCGGCATATATATTTGAGGAATGAGCGTGGAATGCTTGAGATAATGAGGATAGTCGACAGTGATTCGTATATTTTTCCTTTGAGTGGACCTATGTCAGCATACTGTAGTTGCATTATGGCTTTTGCGGCAGCTTTCTTACCCGATGACGATCCTGAATCTTGACTGCTGGATTGGCCGTTTAGATTGTCAGAAATCTCAAATAGGTCATCAACAATGTATTTAGCTAGGTCGAGAGCCCATTTCACATTGCCCAGAGCTATCCGTAATGTTTCTATCCGTTAATTAGTACATACGTCCGTAAATCATGAGACTCGCCATTGAACATACCGGGATCATGACAATCAACCTCAGTACCAGCTTTGTTAAAATGCAGTAGGTATGTCAGTAGGATGGATATTTGTCGAAGTTGTAGAGTGAGCCATGGAACAGCAGCTGCAAGGTTACGACGCTCAAGTCGGTTCTTGAACCCAAGCGCAGCCTGCATACTGAAGCACTTCAGGATATATGGATTATTCATGAGCTTGTCCTGTTCAATCGTAACATTCATCGACAGAGCTCGATATACTTCATTTATGAATTTCTTATGAGATTCTATAGATCTTAAGGTCAGTTCTGTGTTACTGGAAAGCTGATGGATATGCAGTACTTACCTTGGTTTAGCTGCTGCGTAACAATCATTAGTATATCGTCATTATTACTGTCACTGCTGCAAGCTCTGCAATAAGCCATGGTAAGGGCAGCCAGTGCACTCATAAATTTTCCTTCAATGCCCATCAGCTTCTGGATAAATAGCTAAGAATCACAAAATACGCACCGTCATTAAACAGACCATCTTGCTCGTGACCAAATGAATGCTCCATCACACGCAACTGGACCTGTGATTTCTCATCGAGAGAGGCTGCTATACAACCACTTGGTGAAAATGAAATATGAATGCCTTCAATTTTTCTGGTCAGTCACACCATTCAAACATAATATCAACCAAGGGCGGCCAGATCCATACCTGGAGAAATTGCAGCAGGAAAGGTGAAGCCAGACTGTGGCAGGCTCGTAACAGTTTCGATATCTTCAACGCCAGATAGAGGAGTAAATGTCTTCGCATCGTAGAATGTTATATTGCCGTCCTCAGTGGTAATAGCAAAAAGATTTCCGGTTTCCATGTAGTCAATGGAAACTATATGCCTCTCAAAATACGTATCCGCCTGTCTATTTAGCTCGGTACTTGGCTAAAGGAAAGACAATTGTCAGCTGGCTGGATCAGTAGGTAGCGAGAATACGTGCCCTAAACTTACCAGCAATGGATTGCGTGGTTGCTTAGATGCTATACTATCGAAACTTCTATGAAGGGTTTGGTTGACTGGACGGAACTCCCATCTCACAATGACGCTGGGATGTTGTAGATGAGGCCGTGCGTGCACGTTGTGTATTGGACAAGAAAACACAGCCAGTACCATTGGCGCGGTTTGCCCACCAGGAGCATCCACTGGGCAGGCGACTACTTGCAAGTGCGTAAGTGCAAATAGTCCATTCGCATTGTTGGTTATATTGTCTTCGTTCCCTATCACATATGTTGATGGGGATGGTACAACATTTGGAACTTCAACCTCGATATGAGCCAACTGAACGCTGGGTACTGCAATGGAATTATTTGGTCGTTGAGTGTTGGAATCAACCGGTGAGCCTTCCCATTTAAGCATGGCACGGTAAAGCCGTAGCTCATTGCTCGCTGAGTATGTGACGATCATGATTCCTCCGCCTTTAAAACATGTTAGTGAACACTGTATCAGATAGTGCACAGTAGTTATAGGGGGATATGTATTACCATCTACCGGGGTCATTGAGGCATGCATTAGGACATCATCGGTATATCCTGTGTTTTGTAGCTCAATCACCATATCCCCCCATTTCAATTCCTGGTTTTGATAAAGCAGTTTCAGCTTGCCAGATCTCGTAACGACAAACAAAGCCAGCTTATGCAAAGGGTGAAACGGCCCCATTGGCCTGCGCGGGTATCTAACATACGCCCATCGACCGCTTGTCCTGCCAGCGTGGCTAAATGTATGTACCTTCGGGCGCAGGTCAGCAAAAAAACCACCCACGACAAGTCAAGTAACAGCACATCAGTACACATACCGAGCGGTTCAGGGCAAGCCACATGAGTCCAACAGGCTGATTCCCATCATCGTCAGGGTCTAATACTGCCGGACGTGACTGCATCAGAACATTAAGACCAACTGACATTCCGATGATAGATATGCGCCCGCAAGAATCGACAACAGCAAGCTCTGCCCCAGGTTCATTCCACGCGAGATGAACTAGGGTATGGCCACTCTGTGCTTCAGCAATGGGATGATCGTGGTCTCCTTCACTCAGACTCCATTTGCCCTCTTCAGGACTGCATCTGAGATTCCGTAGAAAAGCCTTTGACCCGTCTTGGGAGATGTAGGCGATTGCGCCGGCCTTGGACCAGGCGATTTTCCTTCAAAGCTCCCGTCAGCGAGAAATCTTGAGTGTAGCAATGAACGATAGCATGAAATCCAGCTACAGAATTGATCTATACATACTGGCAGCATCCTAGCATCCGCAGCTCGTCAATTCGAGCTGGTAGAGCCTTTGGTGGCGCAGGAGCCGACAAGCTCAGGTCCAGGCCACCCGAGTCGCCGAAGAGGTCGTCCAACGTCTCTTCCATTTTATATCGGCTTCTTCTGGACAGTAAATCATCAGCTTAATGCAGCTGTGGTATAATATTATTGCATTTCTTGCTGTTGTTGCTGTAGAGCTGTTGGTCGCTTAAGCTGCAAATCTTGGGTTGACGTTGTTTCGCGGTTTGTTTCGACGTTCGCGCCAGGGACGAAAAACTGCGAGCAGCCAAAAACAGCCACCACGATGCTGGGGATGAATTAAATAAAGTAGATAATTAACAACTACAGGACACTGAAGATTTCACTACGAGATATAGATGTTTATACGGATAAGAGTATTAGTAGGTAATGGCTTGCTTCCATTTTAAAACGAACGATTGATGATGATATGTATAACAGCTCTCTTCGGCTCTATTACAATCACGTCTGCCATAACGCCGACTCCATGAGGTTTCATAAATATGGATAAATGGATGAGAAATAGGTCCAAGTCCCAGCGAGAGGAAAGCAAGTACACTGGGAGAAGATGAAGATGAAGAAGAAAGGAGAAAAAAAGGTAGAACAAAAGCGCGCCAGATGCTAGTAGTACACGCTTGTCCGTCAGCAACGTATCACAGGGTATCTCGTCTATTGCTGCAGGATTCACTCAAGAAAGGAGGACGTCAAAAGAGACGAAGCCGACAATTAGGTAAGGTATCCATTCATGTGAAGGATAGGATAGAGATTTTGGAGGAGAGGTGGCCGTCTAGAGGGCGGCGGTTGGTTAACGGTAAAGCCAGAGGAAGGGCTTTAGCTATGATGAACAACATTATTATTATTATTCTCCTTCGTCTCCAGCTCCAGGGGCGCCGGGCCGTTGCTTCGAGCAGACTCGGGAGGAATCGGATTCAGGACGTCTTCTATCTTGCAACGGGATGGCTCTTTTACCACTTTGGATTCTTTGGCAGCAGTAGGCTTCCTGCTCGGGAACGACTTGTTAAGCGGAACAGTCTTAGCAGAAGCATCTGCAGCCTTCGTCTTCTTCGCTCTGGGCTTCCGTGGCTGGCTGGGCTTTTTGACCATCTTGGTCCTGGCACCATTTTGTTTGGGAGGAGCGCTGGGGGTCGGGCTCTGTGACCGTTTGCCGGGGTTGAGGGAGTCTTCGGAACTGGAAGATGGCGTAGGCATGCCATTTGTAAAATTGGCGAACTTGACAGGCTTCTGGGGTGTGATGACCACAGATATTTCGGCGTTGCCTGACTTGGCGCGGTCGAACTCCTCTTCAGTGCATTCATTGAAGGAGCGGCCATCATCCTCACCCTTGTCGTCCCATCTCTTGAGGCCAGCATGGAGTGCAACCTTGTCACAGTCACCCTTGATTGCCAGATCCCAGCAGTCTTCAAACTCCTTTCCAGAAGGGAGCGGGTCGTGGTTGATCCAAACGGTGGTGCCGTTTCTCCTGCCTCTCACGACACGGCACATTTCCTTGACGATGCGTCGTACACCGGGGATCTTGAGACTGGTACCGACCACCACAAGCGCATCAGGCCTCGCGCGTAGATCAGCACTGACCACGGAGCCTATGGCCTCTTCATCTGGGTTGTACTCGTTATATAGCACCATACGAGGCCGTAATTTGCCGATACCACGGCTCCTCTGTCCCCCGGCGGTCCTAGTTTCCTCGTTCCTCTCACATGCTCCACAGAGCGGTGGGTCAGGTCCCTTAAACAAATCTGCTTCAAAACTGGAAGCATTGCTGCATTTTTGGCAGACCATCGTGTGTAGGCCGCCGTGGAGCTGGATAGTGATCGGCCAAGGCCCCTTTACTTCTAGGGGTACTTTGGTCTCCAGCGGTGGCAGGGAGGCCTCGATCCCGTCAACATTTTGGGTATACAAGCGTAGAAGCCGTCCTTCCTGTGCCAGACGAGCGAGTAGATGGTGGAATGCAGTAGGCTTTGCGGATGCAGACAGCTTCGACAGCGTCCGCACCATATCATGGAAAGAAGAGATCATAGATTCATCTTGGTAGACAACCGATGCGTCGAACAGCTGCTTCCCCGACGCTTTCAACTTATGATCCTTTTTCAGCGTCGTAAACAGGCCATGAGATGACCGAAAATCCGGTACTGCAGTTAGTTGTTCGCAGTCAGCGGGTGAATTGAAAATAAGGGGAGGGAGTCTGCAAGGAAAACTTACTTCCGGCAGAGACTGAGATGCCAGCGCCCGCCACCACCACGATCTTACGATGCCCACGCAGCGTCCTCAGCAGCGTCTGAAGCTGCTCTTCCTGGCCTGGACAGACGTACTTGTCTGGGTGCGTGAGGTCGAGATGTCTGGTGATTCTGGGCTTCGGCTCAATCTTCCGCTTCTTGCGTACCGGCGCAGATTCCACCACCACCTCCTCAGCGGCCGTCGACGACGCGGCAGCGGACTGAACCTGGAACAACTGAGATGCCGGCGGAGAGGGATAGAGACTGTCCTCTGACGGAGGCGTCGACGGGAGCGAGCTGAGCTCTGAAGACGTGTCGGAGAGCTCAAAGTCCATCGTGGGCGCGAAGACGCGAGCGGGTTTTGAAGATCGAGTGAGGGTGAAGCTGCGGCTGCGGAAGATGCAGAGGAAGAGGCAGAGCCGTGTCTAACGCGTGCCAACTCTTCGTCTTATGGCGGAATCATCGCCATTGGTGAAGACACGGCCGGCAGAGAGATGTAGGGCTGTGGTGGCCGAGTTGGTGGTTTGTGTGAAGAAAGACGAGGAAGAAGAAAAAGCTGATGACGGAGTTTCGAAGGCGACGACGCAGAAGGTTTTCCCTTTCTAGCGCAGAAAAACATCAAAACAAACAAGTGACTGAGTTACAAGAACCGACCAGGGGGGGAGGAAGAGGAAGAGGAAGAGAAGAAGGGAGGGCGGCGACGGGCCATGTCTACGAAGATTGCTTGTAACTATTTAAAACGTATAACTAGCTGTAGAGACGCCGGCAATGGGTGGTCAGCTGGGTGGCCGTTGGTTAGCTAAATATCTAGTCGCTGTCGCTGTCGCCAGAGTCCGCTGCTGCTGCCGCTGCCCGTCTCTGCTGCGCCGAGTCGCTGTCCTCTATCCGGTCCATCGTGTCTTCTTCCTGCTCTCCCTGCGACTCTGGCTCGTCCTCGACCTCCTCGTCCTCCTCGTCTTCCTCCTCGTTGCTGAGGTTGGTGTCGTCCATCGGCTCTGTGTCGTCGTCCTCCTCCAGAGGCTCCCCTTGGTTCTGGCTGCCGGCTTCCTGTGCTACTGCACCGGCCGTAGATGATGCGCCAGCGCCCGATGCTGCTGTCTTCTCCTTGTCGTCGCCGTCTCGCTTAAGTCGTTTGCTTCCTGGCTCACCATCGTGTCCGCCGCTGGCGTCCTTGCCTGACTTTCCTTTCTTCTTCGACTCGCGTTTGTTATTCATAAGGGCCGTGTAGGCCTTGAGCTGCTTTTCTAAATGTGGTCGAAAGTCACCTAGTTCTACCTCTGTCAGTGCCGCGAGCACGTCCTGCGGCGTTAGAGTCTTCTTATCCGTCATGTCATTTGCACTGTACATCCAATGCCGTTAGCTATAATAGTTCCAGGCAGAAAGTCCAGATCTGAACCGACTTACTGTGAAGATATGTACGAAACGAATACTGTAGCAGCTTTTAATATGGCCGTAACTGCATCACGCTGGACACCAGTACCCGGCGGCAGCATATCCTTTGCTAACCGCATTATAACACTCCGAGGGAGAAGAATATCCTAAGCAAAGCAGACACACAGTTGTGTCTCTCCTTGTCAGTCTATAATGGTTCGCACCCTTTGTAGACATTGCTACTGGGCATTGACACTGGTAGGATAGTCCGACCCCCCAGATGTGCCACCCCAAAGAACACCACAGCAGTGCCATAAGTAGAAAAAGTGCCAGGATATCTCACATCAACGCTTAGCCCTGACTCTGTGCCTTCAGAGCCTGGTGCATTATCACCAGCATCTGTCTCTCCCGCTTGGGTATTTATAGGATCTCTGCCGTTTGGCTCTCCCGCCTCATTTGTAGACATTGTGAAACGGGCGATAGAGCAGCTATCACTATATTCAATCGAGTAGGATAAAGGATACAGTGCCGGTAAGGCCTGCCTCACAGCTGCTGTTGGTGTTGATGTTGCAGTTCAGTTGCTGCTGCTTGGGTGGTAGGGGAAGAAGGTGGATTGATGTCCTGATCGCGAGCAGTTCAAGTAGATGAAGCTGCAAATGAGGTTAGCCACAGCTTGCCATGGATGCAGACGGGGCCAAAAAAGACGAAATACCTTCAATCTGAGTAGTAAGCCTTGTAGAGTTCGTAAGGAAATGCTGGTTGTCTTTATGCGCTTTGATCTGGATGATACAGTGGGATGTTTTGGTTGCTGCGAGCAAAAGTTCAAGGTTTGGGGTAGTTTTTTTCCCTTTGCCAACGCTTGGAGAAGCTCGACCGCCAGAGGAGCTGCGACATCTATCAAAAAACACTTACTATTCGTGTATAAGGGACCAAGGGGCTACTGCAGGATAGATGGACGGAGACGGCCTTTGATTGCTTAAGAATGACCACGGCAGTTTCTTTTGTACGCCGCGAATGGGAATATATCATTTCTGCATAAGCTACGCCCGGTGGAAATTGACTACTAGAAAAAACATCACATCGCCCTCTTTGCGCCGTGTATTATAATAGACCCAGAAAGAAACAAGAAAAAACGCATCTACTCCTTCATCTGCTCGTCGTTATCCTCTTGAGCTGCATCGTCTCCCCATAGGCCCTCAAGCTTGAACTCCTTCGCCCACTCGGTCACTATCTGCTTCGTATCAGCAGTTGGCGCGCCGGCCTCTCCTGCAGCAGCACCCTCTTCTACGCCAGCAGAGACGGGTAAGGCAGGGGCTTCAAGCCAGCCCTGGATGCGGCCATCTCTCCAGTCAGTGATGACTGTCGTGGCTGCACTGCTGATATTGGGCGCACCGCCTCGGCCCAACCTGCCTCTTCTGCGCGCAACCTGGATAAGAAAGTCGGTTGTCCTGTCACCGTTAGTTGGGAACAGGGGAGGGATGCCGTAGAAGTCTAGCATCTTCGAAAACAAGGCTTCAGACGCAGAGAGTCTCTTGAGCAAGAGTGTAACAGCTGGCACAGGGTCGGAGATCTGTTTGGGGGGTATAGCGTTGAGAAGAATGAGGCGAGCCTGTTCTTTTATTTTTCGAGACTCAGACGACTTGGACTTGTCGGAATTGGGGAAGACAATTCCAGGCGAGTCGATGACCTTTAGTTTGCTGTCCAGTTTGACTTCGCGGAGGCTTGTAGTAACTCCAGCCTCTGCGCCGACAGGGCATACGTTGGCATTGCCCCTGGTGACACGGCTTGTCAATGAGTTGATCACTGAAGACTTGCCCACGTTAGGGTATCCGATCACACCGACTGATACGGCCCGTTTTAGCTGCTTGTCATGTGCATATGCCTTCAGGGCCTTGAAGAGAGTCTCTGAGGTTCCCTTGACCGTTAACTGCTTGTGGTCAAAAGTGTGTGCATTAGGCGCTCCAGAGGACGCTCGAAGGGGCAGCGTGGGGAAATATCGCCGTAAATATACCAGCCATCCCTTCAGCACTGGTGGAGGCACGAGATCAATCTTGTTCAGGATAAGAATGAGACGCTTCGATCCGTGGTCTGCAGCCATGATATCTCGCTCCACCTCCTTCGACCGAGTTCCTTCAGGGTCTCGAGCATCAAGAACGTAAAGTATCACATCCGCCCTATCAATAACCTCCTTAAAGGCTTTATCGAATGCCCGCCGTGAGCTTTCTTTTGTCGTTGGCACAGCCATGTCTTCAAATGTCACCCCACCATCCTCATCATCATCCCCCATGTCCTCGTCCCCGTGCTGATCTTCATATTCAGCTGCGCGAGCCTTTGCAGAGGCTAAAAGTGCAGCCATTGGGTTGGGCTCCTCTCCCTCAATCTCCATATCATCGTCGTCACCATCTACCAGTTCGTCGTCCTCATCGTCGATAAGATCAGCATTTTCTGCTATATCAATATCTCCAGCTTCTTCTGCATTTTGCGCCTGACGCCGTAGCTTCGCCTCCTCGCGCAGTTTCTGTGCTTCTTCAGCCTTTAGCCTTCTCTTCTCTTCAATCTCCTGCAGGAGTTTGTCTTTATAGGGGAATAGATTTGGAATGCCGGGATCTTTCTTGAGCTTTGAGCGCCATTGAGGATTCTAAACCCACGTCCACCCAGTTAGCACCATATCCCTAGAGCTCAGTCTTAATGCCCAAGTCTCTACTCAATGGGGATCGCAAACCTTTTTGGCGAGCTTTCGATCTTTTCTTTGCTTTGCAGCACTGGCTTTTTCAATCTTATGCCGTAGCCGAACTGGCGTCCGCTTTGACGATTTCCCTAAACGCACAACAGTCAGAAAAAGGCCGACAATATATAACCGTCAGAACAGTGCGCACTTACCTAGCTTTACCATCTTGTCTGTGTCTCTCTACTTCAAATCACAGAACCGGCTCAAGTTCTTTCTTCTTCTTCTTCTTTCTTCCTCTTCTTCACTTTTCACCGCAAAGAAAAAAAAGATAAAAAAATAAAAATATTTTAATGTGGGTCCAAACTTGCCAAGATTTTACTGATTATAAAGTCTTGGCGAAGACGATAAGATAAGATCCTGACTAAGCGGACGTTATCTCGCTGAGTTGTCATTTCGGCCAATCAGAGACAGTAATCCTACAAGGTGGGATTTTTATATATAAAAGTCTTTCTTCCGGCGGGGAGAAAGAGACAAAAGAACAAGAGCGAAACAGAAGAAAGGGAGAAGTGACGATAAATCCAGTTTCTTCTTCTTTTTATTCTTCTTATTCTTCTTGCTTAAACAGTACTCTCGATATATTTTACCGTTAGAGAAGCTCACTCAGACCGGAAGACTTGCTTCGATTACAGCCGAAAGTCAAGATGGGTTCAACCGGGTCGTTCAGCGGCCCTCGCATGTCACTTACCTTCGATGGGCTGCTCTTCGACTTCGATGGAACAATCGTAGATTCCACTGCTGGTGAGCCGCCTTTGCATCATGCAGTCCTCTCCCTCACGTCAGCTGTATTTTTCTTCCCAAGCTAATCATGCGGTTCTAGCGGTCGTGAAACATTGGCATATGTGAGTCTGGCGCTGGCACATCCCGCACTTCCCTTGGGGGATTAACGCACGCCTTATCACCAACCCCCAACGTGTGTAGAGCATTGTTTTGTTTGATCGTTTCCTTATCTAAAGCTATGGCCTGGAAGAATAGGAGAAGAGATCGGAGTAGACCCGAAAGTGATCTTGCAAACCTCCCACGGCAGAAGAAGCATTGATACGCTTCAGATTATTGCTCCTGAGAAGGCAACCTGGGAATGTGAGTCTTCACACCTGCATATATCCACATATTCTCCCTCATCTCATTTCCCCGTGGGGGAGCGGAGAAGAGAGGGGAAAGAGAAGAAGAAATTTCGGCACAATACGGAAAGTCAGTATCTGACTAGAGCGTAATTCACAGACGTTAGCATGATTGAAGGACGAATCCCAAGGGATCTTGGTAATGATGCAACTGAGATACCCGGTGCACGACGGCTCCTCACCTCGTTGGAAGAGGCCGGAGCGCCATGGGCCGTCGTGACGTCTGGCAGCAATGCGTTGATTACCGGCTGGCTCGGCGTCCTGCGGCTTGCACATCCAAAGTACCTCGTTGTTGCGGAGGATGTGCAGGCTGGCAAACCAGATCCTTCCTGTTACCTACTAGGCCGTTCTCGGCTTGGCTTGGACCATAGTGATTCGATGCTTGTGATTGAAGATGCTCCGTCTGGTGTCCGCGCTGGGAAGGCTGCCGGGTTTAAGGTTCTTGCGCTCGCCACGACACATGTGGTCGAAGAGCTGAAGGAGGCTGGAGCAGATTGGATCATCAAAGATCTTGACAGTGCCTCACTCAAGAAGTTCGCCGATGGCAAGGTTGAGGTAGAGGTCTGGGATACACTTCAATAGCGTTTAGCCGCCTTGACAGGGGTCCTGGAGATAGGGCTATGATCGATGACTGGGTATGGGGTACTGACATGACTCCTTGTTTACACCCTTTACACTGGTTGATACGAATATCGTCGTGTGTTGGCCCTCCCAGTGTTCGCTGATTGTTAGTGAGATCAACATTTGTTTTTTGTTCACGCCGTTTTGATAGACCGGTTTGCTTGCACTAGGGCTATGCATCTCTTGGGAAAGGTGTCATGCACGCCCGAGTTTGAACTAAGAGACTAGATAGAATCGAGTGCCTGAATTCTGTGGCTCAGTGTACAAGCCTATACCAAATACGTCACGCCTAGAGGATCTCGCCTTTATGCTCCCTTACTGCTCTGGACAATTTTGTCTTTTAAGGCTTGGGGTAAGTCGCCTGTGATGCGGAGCCAGTCGGTATCGTGCTAGAAACAAAAAAGCAAAACGGCAGTTGAGCGTCGTGCTAGTTAGCGTCCGTTCCCTCGTCACGCAAAACCGATGTGATGGAATTCCACGTACGCCTTATAGCTGTGGCAAAGGGTACAGAGCTGCGACGTCCGACCTTTGGCTCGGTGTCTCATATACCTGCAGGTCATCGGCATTGCACACATATAGGTACGTACGTATGGAGTACTCTCTGTGTGATACGCAAGGGGTGAAAAATGGAGGTAGGAAAACGTAGGTCCATCTAACTCTGCACCTGCATTGCAGACACATCGTCGTGTGACTTTAAGCCAGCCACCACTTTTCTCGCATACATCCGGGTGGGATATGTGTGCTATGATCCCTTCTTCGTCTCTTCGTCTCTTCAACTGCGGAAATGCTCCACACACACATAAGTTGTTAGTTCTCTGTATGGAGTACTGCCTATATAGTTATACACTTGTCCAGTATAGATGGCAAAAAAAAAGAGATCGACAGCCACAAGAGCGACAAAGTGACACCTGCATGAGACTTCCCAAGGGGCAGGATCTGGCGAAGTCCATTTCGTCACATCCCATCGATGTGGTTTTCTAGTGTCTTCCCGATCTCTTCCCCAGCGGAGCATAAATGAATAGTATGCAAACTAGGTTTTGTGCCGTGAAGCTGATCACTCACATGGCTTGGCGTATAAATGTGTGGGAGGTGTGGGAGTGTGGGAGGCAGTTTGATTCTTGTGTGCTGATCAGATCATCGCCGGAGAATTCCTGGTTGCTAAAGAGGGCCTAGCTGCTATTGTTGTGGTGCACTCTGCGTATTCCGTGGTCCTACTCCATCACCTCTTGACGTTGCTAGTATTCACATATGGGGGGTACATTGCATGTATAGAATATCATGATATACCCTGGTTTGGCGATCTAGCACGCCTCGATAGCTCCTCAGTTGCGAAAGAGGCTTGAAGAAGACCAGCCCATTCGCTACCTTCGACCTTCTCTCGCCTTCTCTGATCATCGCCTTGCGCTGAATATCATCCATCGGGTTGCATGGCAAAAGGTGGGTGATATGTACTCCGTACTCCATTTTACTTTGTATAGATGTTGTGTGGTATCTCTTTTGTATATGGTCGCAGGCTGCCCTGCAGTCATGGAGATCGACAGCTTGCGCATGTTTTTCCTCCATGTTTTCCGCTCCCACGGAGAGAAGAAGAAAGTGGTGCGCAAGAAACGAGAAAAAGCCCCTGAGCATCGTTCTCTGGCTGCAGGATCTCAAAGAAAACTTCCTTTCTTTTTCCTCTCATCCCTATCACTTTCTTTTTTGTGTAGTGTGCATGTACCGGGAGATAGACTGTTGTTGAGCTCGCCATTGTGTCGTTGCGCAGGGTGTAACTTTGGGGCAAAAATCGGGACACCCACTCGGGAGGTACAGAATCGAGACATTCTCGCCTAAAATGCAGCTCCCATCGTCAGCGAGTCTTTTCCTCTCGCGTTGCTGGGTGAGGAAAATGCGAGATATCATCTTCTACCGTAGTCTGGGAATCCCGAAGTCCGAAATAACTTCTGATGTGTCCCAAACTTCATAAAATAGAAAAAATAAAATTATTACCCGGTAAAATAAGTTTGGTAATGAATACAACACATGTACGGCGTACCTGGTATTACAATACGGCTTATCTAAGAGTTTAGTCAGTAATCACATGACTATCCCTTTTGGGAAAAGCAAAAACATCGACAAAAGAAGCAAAAACGACGACGACGACGAAACAAAAACAACAAAAACAACAAAAACAACAACAGCAACAACAGCAACAGCAACAGTAACAATAACACACCAGACATCGCCAACAAGGATGGCAGGAAGAATAAGCAAAGGTGGTCAGGACGGGTGCACCACCACTCGTCCGATATCCAACCTTCAGCGGGTACATAGCTTACACGGCACAGTGCCCAGCACAACAGGCAACAAGACTTTTGGAATCCCAAGTTCACGGGTACCAACCCTGCCAACGATCGTCCCACAAGCGCAAACCTCCTTGTCCAATAACGCACGGGAGTAATCCGCCCCTGGCTTGGAGATGGAGTCTACGGGTCGAAAGGGGCCTCCCGTAGCCCAGAATGGCAGGGAACCGGTCCATCATAGTTGCTTGCCCCAGACAAGACAAGACAGCTCGAAAGTGAGGGAGCTACACTAGATAGCTCTCGATGGGTGACCGAGGGGAGAAAAAAAGGAAGAGAGAGGGCCAGGCAGAGAGAAACATAGCAGGTGGCCAGGCTTCCAAGCATGTTCCAAGCGTATTTCTCTCTCTCAAGGCAAGAGAGTGGGTTTAGATCAGTCACCTTTTTTTCTTCTTCTTCTTCCTCTTCTCGTCTTTGGTTTTTGCGGAGTCACCAGGCAGAGAACGAGGGTAGGAGAGCAAAGGTCAACTGGACCCGTTGTGAGACTCCGTACAGAGAACAGCCGGCTAGATCCAGGTCCAGGGAGGTTACGGAGCAGTGGTGTTTACAGACGGGCGACACACCCAGGTGGATGGAGTACGAGCTTACTTTCGATGCAGGAACAGCCCGGAATTCGAAGTGTGACCAAGCCTGCAGCTTGGTGCCTTTTAGAAATGCTCTGCACACTTTTCTTGTGCTTTGATTCGAAATGGATCCAAAAAAGAACAGCGGAATTCTCCGTGTTCTCTCTTTTGTATATGCACAATACAATGCAAGGTGCTATCTCGATCACTTTTGTCTTTCCTTGAAGCAAAATCTGCGCTCTGGCATCGCCCTTTCAACCGGGTTCCAAGTTCTTTTTTTCTTTTTCTCCTTCGTCTCTTTCTCTTTCTTTCTTTTTACACACTTTTTTTTCGTTCCTTTTTCCTTCCTCCTGCTCAATCTCTCTCTTTTTTTTTTTTACCTCGCATTTCTCGTCACCCTTGGCGATCGGTTCACCCCGATATTAGCGTGGAGAGACAAAAGCTATCCATGACCTAAGAGGGCTGCGTATCACATCAAGGGTTACTTGTTGCCAATATTTTACAGGGAGCCGAGGTCACCGTTCGTTCTCATCCATGGCCAAAGGTATTTGTCACAGCTCCATAGCATACGAAGCGCTACCGTCATCGCCAGCAGGGTTTGCTCTGACTCTCTTTTTAAACGCTCAACACCGTTAGTCTGCATCTTAGTCGCAAAAAGCGGGCAACCTAAAAGATGGCCAACAGGGATATCTGCTTGCCACTTTAGGCTGGCTCGTTTACCTTTTCGCCTAACCATCCGTTGGAGCTCTTACCTTGCTTTACGTGCGGTATCAACGGAGTCCCTTGGGCTTGCCCTTGGAGGCTATCTGGGGTTATGTCAAAAGATCCCTGACCCTAAAGCTGCTTGGCACAGGAGGCTTGCTTCTGATGATGCAGAAGCCCCAGCGCAGAACTGTGATGAAGTGGATCTTCCCAGCGGGGTGCGGACTGGTGGATTGGTAGGCTCGCTGTGGTTGCTCAGCCATTCGGCGGAAAAAGGGGCACCTCTCTTAGCCGTACCTGATGTTACACGTCCGCCCAGGCACCGTTATTACAATACACCAGGCCTTGGTACGCGGCTTGTGTGATGGAGCCGCCCCTGCTGTCCGCTGGACACCCCCTGGCGCCGACGGCGAGGCCTGGCTTATACTTCTTCCCTCCTCGCCGCCCCATCTCCTCGACCTGTTGTTCTGTCGACCGCCAGCCGTCTGCGTGGGAGCCCGTCGTTCATTATCCGATCTTTCTTTTAGTATTAAGATCACCATCAGTCCTTCTTTTTTTTACATTTTGTTTTTATTTCTCCCTCTCTCTAATTCTATCACACGTCGTTCCTTATAACTCCTTATTTACTACTGTTATTCGCTGTCCATACACATCATCACCAACAAACACACCCTTGCAGGAAATAGCTACAGAACAGCTACCTATTACTCTCATTCAACAACATCAACACATCAAGTCGACAGCACTGGATATTTCAGTCTCTTCTCCCCTTTTCTATCTCGGTATCACTGTCTTTTTTCCCTTTTAACTGGAGTCACGCCTACCATCCTCTATTCCCTATCGCCTACCGATCTTCGAAGTCGGCAGCCATGAACTACCTCCAGACCCCGTATCAATATGCGGTGCCAATTGACCAGCCTATGGGCTATGGCATGCCCATCTCACATCATCCTTACGACCAGCCGATGGACCAGTGCTACGTTCCTTACCACCAGAATGACATCCATGGCTTCTACACAACCGGTGCCATCGAGGAGTATGAGGAATATGTTGAGAATCTGTCACGGCCGCGTTTGACGAAGGAACAGGTTGAGATTTTAGAATCACAATTTCAAGCTCATCCAAAGCCCAATAGCAATACAAAACGGCAATTGGCCCTACAGACCAGCTTAACCTTACCCAGAGTTGCGGTATGATCTGGCCTAAACATATGCACCCTTCAAAATTATGTACTAACTTGAGTATAGAACTGGTTCCAGAACCGAAGAGCAAAGGCCAAACAGCAGAAGCGGCAAGAGGAATTCGAGAAGATGCAAGCTAAAGAGAAGGCCATGGCGGCCGAGGGGGCCGGAAGCAAACAACAATCCTCAGAGAGCTCAGATGAACAGCAGAAGTCAGAGCAAGACCAGAAGAACTCGATGCCGACTCCGACAGATGCACGTGGAACCTCTTCGAGCTGTAGTGAGCAAGGAGACCATGGCCTACAAACTCCTGCAGATGAGAAGCCAGAGCCCAAGTTTGAGGTTGTTAGGCACCATACCGAAGCGAAAGCTGAAGTTCAGAGCTCAGAGCCAGCGGAGCTAATCTCAAGCCCGTCCCTTAAGGATGGTCAGGAGATGTCAGGCGCTATTGCTAGCGTGCACAACTCTGCTCAGCCCTCTTTTTCCCAGCCCGAGGCCGATAACCATTTCCACCAGTGGGCCTCTACCGGCATTCCTCAAATGGCAGTCAGCGTTAGCCCTGCAGATGCACACCCAGTTTCAAGCGCAGCCCCCATGATGGAGATTGACTCTAATGGCTACTGGTCCCCAGATTCTAGCAGCCTTGTCAGCCAGCCATATACTGAGCTGCTGTGTAACAACAGCTCGCCAGAGGAGCTCTCTTGCCAAGTTCAGCCAACTACTACAGCATTTACACAACCTTTTATGTCATCAGAGGTACCACTCTACTCTTCGCAGAACATCATCAACCAGCGACAGGTTTCCCTGCCAATAGAGCAAGGCGATATTTCTCCTCGCACCGGTAACAGCTCTGACCCTGAGTTGACCAGCTCTGAAGGGCGTCAACTACCTCGTCTTCACATCTCAACTTCCGACAATGCAATTGGCCTTGCAGCGCGAAGAAAGCGCCCGCGACCAGCAGCCATTGGGACCTCAGGATTCAGCCGGTCTGTGGGTGGACCTGTATCAGGGTCACCAACCCGAAGAGTATCCAGCGCCGCCTGGAGTGGTGTACGAAAGTCATCACAGATTGCTGAGCTAAGCCCGAGATTTGGCGGAATGAGGAAGATCTCCGGCTCTCCTAGATCACCTTTCCCATACTCCTTGGATGGGAGACCACATGCTCTATCCAGCACAGACTTGGCCGTGCCTCCATCAACTACATCTTCTATACCCCCAGCCACTCCCATGACACCCGATGAGATGCAATACCTCCTCCCTCCGACACCAATTGACAACCAGTACTGCCTCTCCCCACAGGAAGAGATGGGATACTCCCATTCCTTCCCAACCTCCCAGTCAATGACCTTTGATGAAAGCCAGGAGTCAAAGAGACAGCCACCACCATTTGTAATGGTTGGAATGCACCATTCCCAGTCATATCAGCAATTTACAGAGCCCATGTCGGCGCCTCCAAACTTCACTACATTCACCGAACTTATGCCGGGCTGTGGGCAGCAACAGCAGCAACAGCAACACCACCCACTAAGCTCATCTGAGGCTGAGGCATCTCTCAATGTTATCCATATGCCTCGACCAACACACATTTCACCCATTGCATATGATGACCAAGTACAAAGTGAACAAGTAGAGGAACCTGCGGCTACTGAGGAGTGGCAGGGCCAGGGGCCCTCCGCACAATCCACAACTGGCCCAAACTCACCTATTTCAGAGTCCAGCCAAGCCTATAACTCCACTGACAAGGCAAACACAGAGTTTTATATTCAAGAGTTTCCCCAACAGGGCGAAGCTATGAAGGTGGCTGCAGAGCAGCTCCCAGAGCAACGGGCACGGACATACACCTTTACCAACCAAACTCCAAATGACTTTTACCGCACAGCCATTTTCCCACCCGTATAAAATTGGTGTTTATGTTTCCTTCAATTTTCTCGTTGCGCTATTGATACCATAAACCAGGGATTTGGCTACCTGGTGCATTTCTCGCGGTCATTGTGCTTCTTTTTTTTCCTCTCATTTCTCTTCGACTCGTCAATGATATATGTGGGATAGGTAGGGATGGACTTTTGGATTTTGTTAAAATCATTTGATACATATTTTCATTCAAGGCGCTCAACCCGGCTAGTTTATCAAGGCTCTCCTGCTGTTTTAGTGTTTCTTGTCATTTTACTCTCTTTGGCTGTTTTCTATCCCTAGCATTTCTCGCCATTTTCTTTCATTCTATTCCTTGGTACTCCAAGCACCTTGATGTCTTTTGATATTACGATTATCGCATACTGCATAATTACCCATACTAACTTAATTTCTAATATTAATTCACCCCTTCACAGGGCTCCTATTTGCCTGCATATTGTTGGTCTTTTGGAAATTGTTTGAACTTTCTCTTCACTTTCCACATACAGGCTATGGTCATATATTATTTCATTGTTGTTCTTCCCCTTGCGGCCTCTCTCTCGTTTACTGAATATCAAAGTTAACTGCGCTCGGATAGCTAGCTGGCTCCCCTCAAGAAAAGAAGAAGACAAAAAACAAAAGAGATAAATTGAAGTTTTTCAGCCCTTTTACTTCATATACTTTAATTGCACCCCGGAGTCAGTCGCCTGATACTGCCCTTGGCGAGTTGTAACCAAAGCAGGTGGAAAGTTTCAATTTATCAGTAAGTATAGTAACTATAACCGCCATATAAATTTCTAGCTTTATATTAAAAGGTAATTTGGTTCTTGTTTAGGGAACTGGACAATCTAGACTGGACAACAGACTTACGCGCGAGGTGATCAAGAAGAGCTTGACTAGTTCCTTGCATCTAAGAGCTTGAGTGTGAACCGAGCAAACCCCGGAGATTGGGGCGTTCATTGAGAGAGATCCAGCAAGAGGTGTTGCCCAGAATCTACCACCCCCTGACCTTTGCCCAATTCATCCAGGGCTAGTTGGCTCAAGACTGGTCACCCTCTCTGGCTGTGGTCGTGTGATGTAAATGAGAAAGACTGAATGTGTCTCCGTTTCCTTCCCAGCGGCGTCTCTCCCCCCTCTCCCCTTAATCACCTCGAGGGCGGCGGGCTTAAGGACATCTTGGACTAGGCGGGCCACTGAATCAATATTTGACGGGTTCGAAGCCATGAAATCATCCCACCGCTCGCGGACCTGTGCCGTAACATCCTCGAAAAAGCCATCAGCGGACGCAAGTCCTTTGGCGGGAAGTGTAACCGTCCCAATCTGCTTGCGGGTCGTCTCTCTAGAGCCATGGGACTGGAAGGTAGACAATCGGCAGCTGGTGCGAAAGCGTTCAACCTCTCCAGTCTCGGGATGAAGATGGAGAAACTCAATGGAGCCACGGTCCTCACCGACAGCGAGGATCACAGAAGGGTTCCTCGGTTTGGTAAATGCATCTATGAAACGGCCAAACATGTTGAAGGCCGTCCAGGTGAAGAGGAGCAAACTCGTGAAGAGTAAAGAAACGTTGGCTCTTTGACTTGTAAACGTGCAGAGGAAAGATTGCGTGGGAGACGATACCCGTTACACATGTTGGATGATGTCTGGGGTATATCAACTTCTTCATGCAGGCACCAATATTTCCACACGGCAACAACAATCATCCACATATCCAACTCTCCAGCATTATCCGCCAATAACTATACGGAGTGTTCCGTAAAGGGTGTCATCGATTTAACTCGATTTAACCATGACTTGGCACCATGAGAGGAGTCAGGAACTAGAACAGATCCCTCGGGAGACATGGGCTACTCTAGAGGGTATTCCGCAGTTATCAGGCCCAACCATGCCGTCTGCCGGCCGCCAATTTTCCGCTCCTTCTCCCTCTACCATCCTCAAGGTCGGTACCGGCGAAGACGAGGCAACTATGACCGCGCGAGGCCGTACTATCATGGGCCATTCGGTTCCGCGCATCGACTTGCATTGTTACCATTGCACCGCTGCAGCCACACCTAAAGCCGCGACGAGGCATCCTGATGTCTCGTCAGCCAGGCACACCGCTTGTTGAGATCTGGCCGTCACTCTCTCCTCCGCAGAGCAGGTCCATCAAGGAGGAGCTGTGCCAGATTCTTGTGCGTATGCGGGCTCCCAAGTTCTCCTACTCGCCATCCATACACCCTTTTTGGCGTATGCCGCAAAGAGACGTACGACTTCTGCGCCTCCCGCACAGAGTGGGACGAATCACGGATCCGATTGCTGCCAACCTCTGAAGCAGACGCAGAACGTATAGCTAGTCTTGAGAAAGTGCAGCGTGATACTGCCGGTATACTTGGCTGGGACCAGCCTGTCGTCACGCATGCGGACTTATCTGACCGGAACATTCTTATAGACCCCGACACGCTCGCGGTGACGGGATTCATAGACTGGGAAGTAGCTAATATTATGCCTGCGTACTTTGAGTACGCCTGTGCTCGACTATCTGGGGGGCATGACCCTGCGTAGAGGGTCGAGCTACTGGATGTGATGAGGTCCGTCCTGCGCCGTGAGTGTGATGCTATCAGTGTGGACCAGGGGGAGCAGCTGTATCAGAAGACATTGGCAGCATGGGATGTAATCGTTGGTGTTGAGGGTTTGCACAACATCACAGCGATGACTGCTATTGGACTTTTGAGACCGGCCTGCCTGCGTCAGAGAAGACTGACTCTGCCTTGTAGTCGGATGCACTTGATACTTGGTTGAGCATACGGGCAGAAGCCGGGGACACGTGACGTTTTTCTGGCGGACGCTCTTTCTCAAGGAGTAGACGGCATTAAGCTGCATTTTAATAGAGTAACCAGATTCTTATACTAGAGTTGGGAGGAATCCAGATATTCATTTGATATATGAAGTGCTATACGAAAGACGAGGCTGAAATGTACCATAGTAACCGTAAGTGAAAACCTTTGATAAAAAACATAGACAGTCTCAACCATATCAGAAGCGAAGAAGCAACGAAACGAGCAAGGAACTAGGCAAAGGACAGGAAACCAGCAGACCAGAACCCATAAACATAAAGCGCGCAGGGCATAAATATCGAATCGATTCCAAAGAAACTAAATATTGTACTCTGCAGACTCCATGTCCTAACGTTATCAGGAGAGAAGAAGCAGGCAGCCATAAGCATGAACAGGGAAAAGAAGTCGAAAAGTTATATGAATGAATGTGTGCGGCATATCAAAGAAAGAGGAGAAGAAGGGCAGAGTGAGGGAAGGGGTATCTTAATATGCAGGCATGAACAATGAACGAACGAAGTAAGGCAACGAGGAAGCGGATATCGGGTCGATTTGGGTTGCGGGAAGTGAGATACGATGGTAGAAACATCAAACCACGGATAAGGGGAATAGGATAAATGTAAAGAAGAACACAGAGGGAATTGGAAGAGAGAATAAAAGGAATAATACAAGTATGTATGAAGGGTAGAGAAAAAGAGGACGAAAAACTTGATAGCCAAAAGCAGGATGTCAAGACATGAAGATATAAAATAGGCAACCAAAAAAACAATTTACCATATTGCACCTTAACGGGTATCCCAGTTCCCATTGCTGCCCCCTGCCTCTTCTAGTAAGTCCCAGGCCATGAACCGTGTGTTCCCTGCGGGCCTGCCTGGCCCTGTCCCTGTGGTCCAGTCGGCGACCAAGGTAAACTAGCGCCGGTGCCCGCAGATACGGCTGGCATCATGCCAGCACCACCAGCACTAACACCTCCAACTCCCATTCCGAAGGGCTGTTGTATCATGCCTGGAGAAGTGTACATTCTTGCCCCAGCGGCCGCACCTGGTCCTGCCATGGAATATGCCGTGTTGACTACGCCCGGGTAGGCCATAGAATTCATACCTGGCTGCTGTGTATGGGGTTGTTGCTGCTGTGGTTGAAGCTGTGGGGAGGCGAGTTGCCGTTGGCCTGGTGATTGTGATGGATGGTGTGGATGGTGTTGGTTATGCAGTGGAGATGCATACTGTGGATGCTGCATTCCAATCGATTGATGGTGTTGGGGTTGATGTTGTGTGTGTGAAGGTGATGGTTGAGATGGATGGTGTTGCTGTGGTTGCTGATGTGGAAGTGGTTGCTGTGGTGGAGCTCCCCAGAATTGCTGTTGCGGGTATGCATATAGCGATGACTGGGAGGACACAGGAAGTGAGACCGGTGTGGAGGAGAGAGGAAGTGACATGGGGTTGTTTGGAGAGCGGTGATGGCCTTGCTGCTGTTGCATAGTGCGAAGTGGAGGTGACATGGACGGTTGCTGGTGTTGGGGTTGCTGGTGATGCTGGGGCTGCTGTTGCTGGTGGTGGAGAGCCGGCGAGTATGATGTATGGGGTGTCATGACGGTCTGTGGCTGTTGCAGCAGAGGCTGCGGCTGCAAGGAGGAAATCATGCCCGAGGAGTTGAGCTGGGGAGATTGCAGGTTTGTGTTAAGCTGGCTGCCACCGGTGGATGACGGGAGAGTTTGAACATTCACGTCTGATATCGGAATCTCGCGCGGCCTATTCCAGTGATCCTCTAGACCCTTCGCGCGGAAACTTCGCTGCTGATTAAGGATCTTACTAAACTCTGCCGTATGCGAAGCCTGATTGACGATATCAGCGGCAGCGCTGGGGACGGAGCGGTCCTGGTATGGCTGGCCGCCTAGATCCTGCCTAGGCCGTGGGAGGCTGTTGTATTCGCGAAGACGTGGATCATCAGACGGGGCGGGGTTGATCATGGGCAAGGGAGCAAGCGAGGCAGGATGCGAGAGTGTCGAAGGTAGGCCGTGAGCGTCGGTCGAGGTGTTGGTATAGATGACATCGTTATGACCAAGTGAGGGCATGGCATTCATCGAAGCGGCTGCTTCGGCGGCAGCAGCCTCCCGTGCCTTTCCTGCTCCTGGACGCTTCTCGCCAGCCATGTCCTCTTCTGTAAACCCTTGTTTAATAGCCTTGCTCTCCCAGTAATCATCGCGCACGCGTCGGCCATTTACTATGACCCTGCTGCCGAACTGACGGAACATGGAACGAGCAGTAACTATGGCAATCTGGCGCGAGCGGTACGAGTACGGCAGGATGTCCTGCGCGATCAGATCGTCCTTTTCGGCCTGGTTGGCGATAATTTTGAATAGAGATCTGTTCTTGTTGAAGAGGAGGTAAGAGTCGCGGTAGCCTAGAACGCGCGCACACTCTGTAGCCAGCATGAAGAGCTTGTTGCCGCGGTTTGAGAGGCGAAAAGTGCGACACTTGTAGGTACGGGTATCCTGCAGATAGCCTAGCCCGTCGACCTTCTTCTCGCCGTTTGCATCGAACTCTTTGGGAATATACTCATCGCCGTCTTCTCCTAGCTGGTCTGTCGTGTGGTCTCGGACTGTGGGCAGGGCTTTGAGGACGGATTTTGTCGGCGTAGCCTTGGGCGGAGATGACTGAAGGGGGATATCTGGGGCTATTCTAGGCGTCTGGAGGGGCGACTGCGAGGACGCCATGGCCGCTGCAGCTGTCGTTATCGTCGTAGCAACAATGGGCGTGTTGTTGAGGTTGATGCTGTTGCCGCTGGCGTTGGTGCTGAGGTTGTTGTGACTGGCGGTAATGATGGATGTGCTCGGCGGGCGGGTGGCTTTTGGGGGTCGCCCTCTTTTGCGCCTACTGTCTGCGATAGATTGTCAGTACCGGCCGTGTGTTAATATTTCTTCCTCTTTATTTCGCTCTCTTTCCCGCACGCTTCTTTTCTGCTTTTCTCTGGTGAAGTGGAGTTGCTACGCTAAGGTTTGGGTAGGCGACGAGGCAAGTTCAAAGAAAATGATGAAAAATCGGATTTCTGAGAGTCTTTTTCGTCCGCCTAAGATCAAAACTCACCATCTTCGATATCCTGGTCGGCGAGCTGCTCGCCATACTGGTCTTCTGAACGGCTGCGCTTGATGCCGCGGGAGCCAGTCGCGTCAGCGGTGAGATCCGTAGCAAGCACAGTAGATGGAAGGGAGACTGCTGGGTCAGTATTATTAGTATCATCACAGCCGCCGTCACCAACATCTGCTCAGACTGCAAACATAAGAGACAAACACCAGGCAACATAAACAACGTACTGGGAGAGTTGAGATCCGCGGGGTTGATAGTCCCGGAGTCGACGCGGTTGTTGCCCATGCCGCTGCCGCCGTTAACCTGGGCGGGCGCGGAGGTTGTATACATCTCGAGGGGGAACTGTGTGTTCACGATGGGCGGAGGGGGAGGAGGAAGAAAAGGGTGGGGAGGACGAGGGCGAATGGGATGATGGAGGAGAAGATGGAAGGATAGAAGGTATGAGAGGACGATGAGAGGATAGTGGTGGAGGGCGCGCGTTTCTTTTTTTTTTGCTTCTTCCCTTTGACCTCTCTCGCTGTTGATGTCTTGCCTTTCTTTTCTGTGTCTTCTCTGGGCGCCACAGTGATATCACAGCGAGGATATAGACATGCCTGGGCGTAGTCGTTGGAATAACTAGCGAAGGATGCTGGCTCAGAGATGCTAGCCCAGCAGCGCGCGGAAGTGGATGGGATAGAATAGTGGCGCAGTGTATATTTGGCCAGGAGCGTTAGTTAGTTGAAGAAGTTGCAGAAGGAAGAACAGGCGATGCAGGCAGCCGACGCTAGAGCAGGGATGGGAGGATGAGAGGTGAGGACGAGAGTCGAGGAGACGAGGATCTTCCACCTGGAGAGAAGTTACTATAGAAGACAAGGAAAAAGCAACGAGCACAGGCTTGCTCATGATCGTGTTGGTGACTCTGCAGAAAGCGAAGAGCGCTGGTGATGGTCGATGCAGAATAATAGGCTTCTCCGGGGATGACACTGCTTCATGATAGGTGCTTGCTGATGCTCCAGGACGTTTGTTGATAGGCTTTCGGAGGCTGGTCCGTATAGAAAGTTATGTGTTTCGTTATTTTAGATATCTTCTCGCCTGGACTCGTTTGTGAAGAAGGAAGGCTACAGGCTGGGGCCTCTTGTTACTTTTAGTATGCGGCTCTGCTTAGCCACCAGCGTCGTCAGCGACTACTCTGGACAGGGAGTCTCCTGCCTGGTGTCAATATGAGGGCAGGCGGATGGTCGGTCAGGAAGAGCCAAAGCATCGTATCCATGGCGGAGATCCCATGAGAGGAGAGGAGCTTTTTGGGCGGCCCCCAGTTGCAAGGATTCACCGGATAATAACCACCCACGCCAGTCATGGGATGCTCCTCAACTAGGGATCTGTACAAGGAAGAGGCAGTTGTTGAGATGTATCCTCTTGGGCGATCGCGGGATCTGATCCGAGTCAGCTGAGATGCAAGACATGCATAAAACTTCATAGATATAGCTCTCTGCTTTCTCTTCCCTCTTATCCTCTTGCTTGTTGAATTCTCCCTTGGCTTGGTAACTCCCTACTTAGTTATGCTTAAAGGATGCTTAAAGGATGCTTCGGCGTGAAACAACACCCCGGCTATTCCCCAAAGTGCGGATTATCAGTTCACTCTGTAGAGGACAATAATATTTCAAGGACCCATCTCTGTGACGACTCTACTCTGCACGAGTACTCGAGCTGCAGTACTCGAGCTGCGACTTTTGTCATACTTGCTTTTTGTGTCCGCCTGATGGGACGAAAAAAAAACAACGCCTGAACTGCGGTGGACGTTGACGGCAATGCGTCGAGATGTGATGTTACCGTGCCATAGAGCTGAAGGGCAGCCAGAAGGACAGACGCCGTCTTCAAGTTGCAGCAGCTATCAGACATATCACATCCTATGGAACAGGTCTCTGAGCCCTCTTGACCGGTATGCCATTGCAGTCGAGTCGGGGATTTTTTCCCACTCGGAGCATTTTCTTGAAGCCTTGTCCTATCTTGTCTTAATTCTTGTATCTTGCAACAGACGAGCCAAATCCTTTCCCTAGGCAAGCAATAGATAGATATGAGTATGGTGTATCAAGCCACGGGTTCCAGAAACTTACGAGTTCGTCCATCTAACTGGCCCGTTAGTTAAGATGGCCTGCTCATCAGGTTTGGCTGTACTACCTGTGCCATTCCCTGTGCTGCTATTATTAATGTTTGCTCCTGCGCCTCGCTCTGGTTTAAATGTCGACAAGGCGCGTTTTCTTCTCCTCCACTGGTCGTACATCCATCTCAGCCTCTCTGCTGCTGTTCCATTGACCCGGACTAAGCAGCCAGCAGGTTGAACAGGCCAACGCACTTCGTTTAGCAGGCCTTCTTTTCTCTCCCACCAGCCTGCCAGACCTGGGATATGCCCTGCACGGCCAGGATACACTCCATGACACAAGCTGAAGTTCAAGCCGTGACGTTGAAATATAGATCTGGTCACGTGGAATTCCCGATTTGGGTTGTTTGTTTACTTATTGGTATAAAAGGGATCGAGGCTACGAAGTGCAATATAAAACATAATGAAGGCTTTGATATCAAAGGGAAGAGCATAGGTGAAATAAGAAAGTCAACTACCATTAGGTACATCAAGAGGAAGCCTTGTCAATGCTGGTCTCTGACTCGACGTTGAGGGTCGGACGAGGGCGGTTGAAGCCATGGTAGTCCATAACGCTGTCAGATTCATACACACCTTCAAGACCAAACGATGCTTTACGAAGAGACCTACGTTCTAGAGTACAGATTTCTCTCAGCATCTCTCGCTTAACAATCACTGCCTCTACAGAAAGCTGACACTGCCTGGGATAGTCTTTGTTCGTGCAGTAGATCCGTTTGATATTAGGCACACATGCGGACAGACTGGCCTCCTGTGTTTGCGAGTATATTAGCAGCCGCAAGAACTCGTCACATTTGATTGTTCGTGTGCCGTCCTTCCTCTGTAAATTCGAAATTTGTCTTGCGTGCAAGCGTGAAGAGTTTCTTGTTATTGATGCCTTGTGGTATGGTGAGGGTTGGATTCTCGCTTTTACCGGCAATTCTAGGAAGGGCATGACGAGAGGGATCCGGGCTGCCCTTGTCTCTACCTACACCGGCCTTTTTTGGATATCCAGATCAAGTAGCTTGCTTGCTTCTTGCCCTTTTCAGCCAACGGCCTTACCTTTACGAGTGTATCAGGCAGGCTGAGCATTCATGTTTACACAATCATGGTCATATTCACCTTACTGCCACGTTGGTGGTGGAATACCACTCGAGTGATACGTATAAACATTGAAAAAGGAGATATTACTGGAAAGAGAATGATCAAGGCAAGCGTCCCTTTATTATCATTTAGCGGCAGCAAGGGTATAAAAATAGAGGTATGTTCAGAAAAACGCCAATTCATCGTCATCGTCATCATCATTATTCCATCCCAATCGTTCATAGATTGACTTCTCAGGGGTTTCATTAATCGTTTTGTTCGCGTCATCACCTGCCCGCTGGTGCAGGGGTGTCGTGACAGGGATGACATGCTGCCCGCTACCTTTGGCGGGAGTCCTTGGCTGCATAAAGTCAACTCGTCTAGGCACTGTCATAAAGTCAACTCGTCTAGGCACTGTCGGCTCGCTAACAAACATCATCTGCTTCGGTCTAGGGGGAGTTTCATCCACTTCTGTAGTAGAATGTGCGGAGGTGTTAAGGTCAAATTTTAAAGACCTGGTATTGAAAGAGCACGGGCTCAATTTGCGGGCCAGAATAGGACTGAGTTCTGTCTCGATACCGCTCTCTGCGGGGTTAGAGGTAGCACTTCGTTTTAATCCATTGGAAGAGGGCTTGGACGGTGTTTCATATACGAGGTCCTCTGTTCGAGAGAAGCTCAGAATTGGCTGGCTCTTGGACAACATAGTTGAGTTTGAAGGACGGATACTTGACGACGGTACCACTTGGGTGTCGGGGTCAGGGAGCGGGCTTGCCATGACTGTTGGTCTTGACTGTCTCCATGTCTTTGGCAAGGATGGCAAGTCACCAAATCCGCAGTCTTTATTGCGCGACCCCTTTGGTGTCGCCATAACTTGTACACCTTGACCAAATGGATTCCGAGTGGGATTCTTTTGTTTCCTAGGATGAGAGGCAGTCGAAGATGCTGATCTTTTCTCCGCAGACTCGACAAAATCCTTCACCGCCAGCTCTCTATTTGGCTTTCTGAGAGTATTGATAGCGGCATCCAACTCCCGTTTCTGATCCACTAGAAGGCTCATCCTCTTCAACTTCGACTCGTGCTGTTTGGCCACGGCTTCGAGATCCACCTCACGGTTATTAACTCGCTTTGGTTTCTGAATGCCACCCCTCCCGCTAGTAGAGGCGGAAAATGATAACTGATCATTACTCTCACGCCTCACCTCCGCTGTAGCAGGAGCGGTGTTGTTCCGTGCCAGACTGGGGACCTTTGCCCTAACTGGGATCTTCTCATCAGTCCTGACGCGCTGCAAAGTCCTTTTCGACTGTGACCCTTTGGTGGATTTTGATAATTGATTGGTTGACCGCTTTTGGTTGGAACGACTAGGTCTAACAGGTGACATAGCGGGACCTCCTAGTTTGCGATTTATGATCTGGCATTGCTCGGGGAGACGGGCGGAATAGAAAGGGATAATGACTTCAGTGCAGAAATCACGGAGTTTGTCGTTATTAGGTTTCCCCGGTCCAGTGGCCGCCTTACTTGAATCTCCAGGCATATCAATTGAGAGGCCATGAGCGCTCACTGTATGCCAAATGCACAATCTATCCAGCAGTAATTCTAATGCCGTGGCCATACTTTGTGTCTTTTTGCTGGACTTTTTAGGCTTTTCAGTGTTCCCATCATCAAGCTCAGCCAGACTTCCAACACTACCTTCTAGAAGCATAACCTCCAGGATCAAGAGGATCTGCAACTGGGTCTCGCGCATACGCATATCTTCAATCAGCCTCTTTCTCTGATTTTCCAATGCAGACTTCTCTACCGACGAGTTAATTTCGTATGTAGATTTCCACCACCTGGATATGAACTCTTCTTCGCCTGCATATAGACCGTCTTTGCCAATGGTTTTCTTTTTGCTCTTACGCCTCTTCTTCGCTGGAGCAGCCTCATCACCATCAGAAAGAGACGGGTTGATATCTGCTACTATCTTTGGTAGAGAATCCCTGTACTTTGCGTCCATTTTTTTCATCGGGATAATGCAAGACCGGTAATAATGATATAATACCATTGGTCTCATAGACGGGACATCATCTGAATTCTGAAAAGCCGCACGAGCACGCGTGAGGGGACCCTTTGCGAAGTAGGCCACAGATGTCTAATACGCGTTAGCATATACACGCAAGAGCTAAAATAATAATAAAGATCTCACCTTTGATATATATAGGGCCTCAAGATATTGCACCTTGAGGGTAGAAAGCATATCATCGGCATTGTTAACGGCATTGCTTTGCGAAAAGTTCTGGCTGTCGGCAAAGTACTCGGCTGGTAGATTGATACCAAGTTCAACACTGTCTCCCTCCTTTGGAGGTTCTTCAGTTGCAACTGCTGGTGATCGACACATAGTATTAGGACGTGATCCAGGTCTGTCAACCTGGCCAGACCCGGGCCCTTCGAGAGGAACATCTCCAAAAGCGAAGGAGACAGCTTGTCTGTGAGCAGGCATCTCTTGGAACAAGTCAATGTCAGGAATAGTAGCAAATTCCAGGCCGTCCGTAAATGGGTCAGTAGACAGCTGAAAAGACGCAAATTCCTCTGGAGATCCACCGCATTTAGATGCAACTACCAAATCTGCTTCCCGAATCTCGCTCCTTAGAGGACATATTGCATATATGCAGCGTTTCACCCTTTCAACCACATAATATGTCTTCGGTATTTCATCGCAGTGACGTCCCGCCGTGTCTGAAATCGCCGCGGCCAGCACCGTTGATGCATTCTCGCCGGATAAACCATGCTCAAGAGCGGGTATATTTGCTGTAAATAGGCTTCCTGGCCGTATGCTTCGTGAAGGCGATGGGCATGTATCTAGCCATGATAGCGGGACTTGGGAGCGCGGTATCAAGGTTATAGGGTAAAGATTATGCGGTTTACCTGACAGGGAGGTACTGCAAGGCTAAAAGTTGTTGATATTAGAAGGGTGTCTGAAGGATACATAAGACTTCAACGAAACATACATTGATGGTAAACTGAGCAAGTGAAGTTTTACAAACAGCCTCGTCACTGCCATGATCTAACTTTAATCGTTTCGAGGGGGGGAAGAAAGCATGGTTATCGTCCAAAGAATCCGTAGATGTCACCTTCGAGGTAGTCAGGAGGGGGAGACAGGTAGCCATTCAATCATAACTCTAACAACTTCAACGCGACGGGAAAGGAAATAGTATGGAAGAGAAGCAGGAAAGCAAGAAAGCTAACAGCTCATAGCTAGTAGAACAAATGTATAGTTGCTCCTTTAGAAAATCATAGATAGTTTCTATTAACTTATGGCGAGCGCAAGACGCGAAGTCGCTTACACGTGAAGTCAAACTTTCTTCGCGCGCGTCTCGTATTAAGGATTGTTAGTAAGCAAATCCCGCGCTTTAACAAACTTCAACATATCCCACGAATTCTACTTGGCGTTCAGGGCAGTGGAAGACAGGACATAGGCTACCGGGATACGTCAACGAAGAGGTTAAAAAGTTTGAGAGCAAGCTGTTGTCTACATTACAGGTGCAGGAGAGTATTGGTTTAATATGCATAGGAAGATAAGAAGCCGAATTTGATAGCTTGATTGATTCTATCTACCAGGCCACCGAGAATGACTGGTTCAACTTTTTTCACCGAAAACGCCCTCCGCCAGATAAACTGTTAAATGTAGTATGTGTAAAAGCGTAAAAAGGAAATTGGTATCATGTTGAATTATTCCGGATATGCTGCAACAAAACCAGTTTGTAAATGCAATAAAGAAAAGTCGTGTAGATCCCGTAAAACAGACGAAAAGGGCATAAGTCTATTTTGTATATGCTTTGAGTTGTTGAAAACAAACGCAAACGATCATCACTATGATGAACTTGTTTTGTTACAACCGGAGAGTGAAAGGAGGTGGTTAATTAGATAGGAGACCGGAAGTATAGGAGAGAGGGCGGACGAGGAGAGGGGAAGGGTAGAGAGAGATGCTTAGTAGTTGAGGGTCTTTGGCTTCTTCAGAGAAGCTCTGGTCGGTGAAGTGCGTCTGCGGCTGGAGTAGATGGGCTTGGCGAGGTCGAGTCTGGACACCGGGGCGCCCCAAAAAGGTCTTTCGGATGATATCGACGAGCTCGTCGGAGGTCTTGTTGGAGGTGCCGTAGGTCTCGACGAAGATGGAGAGGGGCTCGGCAACACCGATGGCGTAGGAGAGCTGGACGAGGGCACGGCGGGCGAGCTTGGAGTGGACGATGGACTTGGCGATCCAGCGGGCGACGTAGGCAGCAGAGCGGTCGACCTTGGAGTAGTCCTTTCCGGAGAAAGCACCACCACCGTGGGCACCCCAGCCACCGTAGGTGTCGACGATGATCTTACGGCCAGTGAGACCGGCGTCACCCTGGGGACCACCGATGATGAAGAGGCCAGATGGCTGGATGTGGTAGATGGTGCGGTCGTCGAGAAGGTTGGCTGGGATGACCTTCTTGATGATCTTCTCGAGGATCTCCTTTCGGAGGACCTCAGTGGTGATATCCTCACTGTGCTGGGCACTGACGACGACGGTGTCGACGCGGACGGGCTTGACGGCACCGTTGTCATGGGCGTACTCAATGGTGACCTGGGTCTTGGTGTCTGGGCGGAGCCATGGGAGGGAGCCGTCATTGCGGGCCTCCTTCATGGCACGGTTAAGCTTGTGGGCAAGCTGGATGGTCAATGGGAAGAGTTCAGGGGTCTCATCGGTGGCATATCCGAACATGATACCCTGGTCACCGGCACCCAACTTCTCCAAAGCCTCATCGTAATGAAGACCCTGAGCGATGTCAGGGGACTGCTGCTCGATGGCAACAAGGACGTTGCAGGTCTTGTAGTCAAAACCCTTGGCAGAGTCATCGTATCCGATGTCCTTGATGGCATCACGGGATGATCTTCTGGTAGTCAAGACGAGCCTTGGTGGTGATCTCACCGAAGACCATGATCATACCTGGGAGGACAGTCAGAACACACGAATTCAAACAGGCTACCGCAATGCAGCAAAAGAAGGCTAACTTACCGGTCTTGGTGGCAGTCTCGCAAGCAACCTATGATTTTGTGTAGGTGGTTAGTGGGTGGCCGCAGAGAATTTTCCCCATTGCAGGGATCCTTGGTGCTAAGGAGGGGGGATTATAGCTACCTTGGAGAGGGGATCCTCAGCGAGACAGGCATCGAGAACGGCATCAGAAACCTGATCACTGCACTCAATTGTTAGCAGGCCGGCCAGCGCAGACGACTAGAGACACCATTGCACTTACGCGATCTTGTCTGGGTGGCCCTCGCCGACGGACTCGGAGGTGAAGAGGAAGTTGCCCTGGGCGGCACCGGTTGCTAAGCTGCCCATCTTGACGGTCTGGATATCTGTCTAACGAGGAAGACGAAGACGAATGAAACACGGAGAGATATAGCGACGAAAGAAACAAGACAGTAGAAGATGTCGCTGTCCGAGAGGGCGTTGCAGTGGAAAAGAGACCTGAGTTTGGATGGAGGTTTGGGAAAGAAAAGGGGAAGCGGCAGAAGGAGAAAAAGAGGTTGACGTTTAAGTAGTGGCTTCGGCGGGCGGTCTGGCGGGGCAGAAAAAAAAAGAGTCGGCGCAAGGAAAAAAAACGAGGCAGCCGAAAGGGGAAGGCGGTGAGGGGCGGCAGAACAAGGAAGAAAAAAGGCTCCGAGGGGTGGCAGAAAGCCCAAAGGGGACAGGCGGTGTACCTGCTGATAGTAATTGCGCCTTCTACTGCTTTCTACTGATTTATATTGATTTATATTGACTGATTACGGGAGAAGGCAGGAGAAGGCAAGAGAAGACAGGAGAAGACGGGAAGACAGACATGACATTGGAGGGAATGCGGGCTGGTTGAGTGTTGTCGGGCTTGCGAAGGTACAACAGATACACCGAACGGGTTACGGGCCCCGGAAGCCTTATTCTCCTTCCCAGCCGCTGAGCGCCGCAAAAACCACACAGAAAGTGTTGAAAGGAGGGAAGACGAAGAAACTAGCCGAACGATCCTAGCAAGAACAGGAATACGCGGGACCAGCATGTCGAAGTTCGGGGTCCTGGTGATGGGGCCGGCCGGCGCGGGCAAGACGACCTTCTGTACAGCCCTCATCCAGCACCTCCAGAACACCCGGCGCAGCTGCTTTTATGTCAACCTCGACCCGGCCGCCGAGAGCTTCTCCTACGAGCCCGACCTGGACATCCGCGAGCTGATCACGCTCGAAGATGTGATGGAGGAGATGGGACTAGGTCCCAATGGCGGCTTGATGTACTGTTTTGAGTTCCTACTACAGAATCTCGACTTTCTCAACGACGCCCTCGACCCCCTGAGCGAAGAGTACCTGATCATATTCGACATGCCCGGCCAGATAGAACTATATACCCACGTCCCCCTTCTGCCGTCGCTAGTCCAGTACCTGTCTCGGTCTGGAGCTCTCAACATATCTCTCTGCGCCGCCTACCTGCTCGAGAGCTCCTTCGTCGTCGACCGGCCCAAGTTCTTCGCTGGCACCTTGAGTGCCATGTCCGCCATGATCATGCTAGAGATACCACACGTGAATATCCTCAGTAAGATGGACCAGATAAAAGGTGTCATTTGTAAAAAGGAGCTCAAGCAGTTCACTTCGGTGGACGTCAATCTGATACAGTCAGGCAACGACGAGGAGTCGTCCGGTCGAGACCCGTCGTCTACCAACGAGGTCCTGACCGGTAGCTCGTTTAACCGCTTGAACAAGGCTGTTGCTCAACTGATCGATGATTTTAGCATGGTTTCGTTCCTCAAGCTGGATGCGCAGGACGAAGACAGCATCTCTGCCGTCCTAAGCTATATTGATGACGCGATACAGTACCATGAGGCGCAGGAGCCCAGAGAGCCTGCTGCTGACCCCGAAGCAGAGGAGGACATGGAGTGATTATACCGCCATCTTTTGTTTACTACCGATCGTCGAGCTAGGTTGACGATCTGTCCCAACGCGCCGAAATTTAGCGCCCCCGCGCTAGTAGCAGATGGTGCAATAGCCTGCGAGGATGGCACAAGCGAATGCGAGAAATCAACGCGCCTCCACATAACTGCATGGTTAGTCCGCGTGGGTATTCATAGCTTTGGGAGAAAACGGATATAACCACACGATTGCCATGGAACCAGTTTTTGAGCGCCCGTCCCAATGCGTCATAAACATGAACATTAAAAGTGTTAGAAAGGAACTAGTTTAATACAAAAAAACACCCAAGAATAATAAGAATGAAAAAGGGAAGAATTCAACACCCCCAAGCCCACCAACACAGAACGTACAAGCATCCATTCGTGGAATAATACCTTCACCTCCATGACCTGCCGCCTTGCGAGCTCCTCCACTGATCCTGCTGCGATCGCCACCCGCCCGTCATCCGAGAACTTCTACTAGAAGGCGGCTCGTTCGCTATCAGCTGCCGGATAAACCCTTCCAGCAACCCAAGCACCCACGCAGCGTCATACCATACTCTCTCCCACCCGACGTTATACGCGTACCATGCAACTCCTGCGACCGCGCCCCAAAACATCAACCGGAACACCAACATGACCCAGAACATAATCACCCTCCGTGCATAGTCCAGCACTTTCAGTGATATCATGAAGATAAGAAACAGCGCGATTATCGAGTAGAGGTCTGGAGGGGAGTTGAGGAGCGCATTTATCGGCTTGACAAGGTATGGCTCTATGTATGTGATGTCCTTGCACCATTAAAGCTAGCTCAGATTGAAGTTGTGAAGCCTTTACTCCCAGCTGGTATGCAATGAACGTTCAATAGGCCTTTGCTTTTTCCCCTACACCCGTGATACTAACATCATATAGAAATTATGGCCTCAATCCTTGACTATCTTTCCCCCACCGACCTTATAATCGTTGCAAGGACATCAAAGAAAATGCATGAGATGGCGTACGATGATACCAGATGGGTTAGGTTTCTAAGGCAGATAGGCTGTTGGAACGAAGCAGAAGCTAGGAGTGCGGCAGAGGGCTCTGAAGAGGACGCCGACCGCCCGCACGGTGGGAGAACACGCCCTAAGCCTTCGATACCCGGATTGGATACCGATACATCCAATGGGAATATTACAGACCCCAGTGGATTTGATATCGTGGAATTCAATGCAGAGGTGGAAGCAGAAATCACAGGCCCCCTGGCGGCACTCAAAGATGCTTGCTCGGTCAGAGGTAGAGCCAGGGAGGAGTACGGTAAAATCCACGAATCTCTGAACCCCTTCTACCAGGATATTATCAAAACCGAGAGCCCGACTGACTCCTTGGTTTTTAAATCATATGATAAGCCTGAGCAGCAGGCCCTGTTATTGTCAGAGCTACACCAGTTCTCAAATGCTGATATAGGACTTGGGTCCACGGCGCGCAGAAGAAAGCTGGATGATGTCATATTCCTATTTGAAAAGGCTGCTTTACGAGAGTTCAAGAATGGATATGAAAAC